ATCGCCGACACTGCTAGACGGTGAGCAGACCGATCGGCTTGACATCGCGCATGCGATTGAACATCTTCATTTTTACCAGCGGAGAACCGCAGCGACGGCGTTCCCGATAACTTATCGCGTTCTTCAAACACCGATTTCTGCGAGCGCAAAGGCAATATCTGGATGTCAGAACCACGAGATGCGACGAACACGTTGAATAGGCAACCAAGTGACACGAGGGGAGCGCACAAAAAGGCCTCCAGCATCACTCCGCGCGCAGGGACACACGTCAGGGTTCGTAGCAGACGCATCTCCCAAGTCAGCGAGCCATCCACGCCCACCACGTCCACCTCGAAAGAAAACGGAAGGGCTGGTCCATCCTCATCCACCGCGTTTCCGACGACACCGGAGTCGCCCACCCCCGTGCGCGTTCCTCGCACACCGCGCACTGCAAGCGAGCCTGGCCTGAGGTCTGTCTCAGAGAAGTCCGTGCTTGAGACACCCGTGAACACCAAGGGCAAGCGGAAGGCGGAGGAAGTGGATCTTACGCCTCCCGACCAGCGCGCAGGCCATCACGCTAAGTTTGTGCTTCCGGAGGGCGGTCATCGTGAGTGCCTCCGTCTTCAAGTTGGGACTGAGCTCAATATCGCCTAGGTTCCCACCATGTCTCCGAAGTCTCTCGCGCCCCTTCCTCTTACACGGGTCGCAAACGCGCACGGTTGTCCACGGCCTCCCCCTCCGCTAGTCCTTCTCAATCTAGACCAGCATCTGTGTCGCGACACCCCACCGACTCCTGGCCCAGTCGCTCCGCCATTCCAGCGACCCTTCATCGTGCCAGTTCCAAAAGCGCGTCCATGCGTTCAGGTGCTCGCTCCGAGTCCATGATCGCTTCCGCACAGCGTAACTCGAGCCGACGCAAAAGCCTCTCTGAGATTTCCATCCCTCTCAGCGCGCTCGTCGCTCCCCATGCGCCATCCGTAAGCGTGCGCTCGAGTATGTACCACATGCGAGACCCGCGAAAACCTCCACGTATACACCCCACCCCATGGAGCCTGGAGTTACGCAACCCAGATCAAGAAGGGTCGCCCGTGCACGCGTGGTTCTTCTTCATCGGTTTCGTGCTCTTTCCGCTGTGGTACGTCGCGAGCTTTTGGAGGATCCCGCAAACACGCCAGGTCGGTGGCTCGGACACGGAGAAGGCCGTGACGCTGGACGACCCGCAAGTGGAACACGGTGAGTGCCCTCTACGTCGTCCGAGGACGCACCTGAAGGCAATCCTGCACAGACGCGCGGTCGTGGCGGCGGCGCTGTCGCATTATGTCCGTGGTATCGCTCTTGACCTACATTCCCTTCATCGTCTTGGTCGCCATCTTCGTCCCTCGCAGCTAATCTCTTTCGTTCGCGATAAATCGACACCCCCTCTTCTGCGGTCCGCGCCGTATTCCCCCGCCCTTCTCGAGCCCCGGTCTCCGTGTATTACCCACAGTCCTTCCTCCTGCCATTCTCTTGAACAGTCTTGGTTGATAGTATCGCAGTCGGACCCTATGCGCCTCTGCGAAATACTCTACATTCCGAGCTCGGACATGTTGTGCAGTAGATACATGTCAGAAGTCAAACTAATACCTGTTGTATCAGGGTTTTATGTCTCAACAGAGGGTGGTAGTACATGTCGACGTTACAAGTGGTGGGGTACGGAGACTTCGCCTAACAAACGTAAACTGATTCTAGCTAGCTACAAGAGCAAGCCTCGCACCTCGCGGCGTGCCCCTATGAATCATCATCGACGTCCAGGTCTCCCTCTATGCCCGCACCCTCCCCTGTGTCATCAAACACCACTTCATTCGCATTATAGTCCCAGTGTTCGGCATCCTGTGCGTAGTCTTCTGCGTATTCCGTGAAGGTGGCCTCCGCTTGCGCCGACTGAGCAGCCTCGGACGCGCCGTTGACAGCGGGGGAGGTGTCCTTCAGCGAAGTCTTGACGGCGGTCAAGATATCCTCCATTTGATCACCGTAGCGGTCTTCGAGCTCTTCCACTATCTGCATAAAGAGTCAACTGGGCTCATACTCGACATTCCGACACTACTCACAACGTAGAGCTCAACAGGTTCCGTGGGTGCGAGGTTCACGATCTGCAGCTTCTCGGCTTTCGTCAGATCCCACTGCCCGAGCGTGCGGGTGAGCTGGGAGATGCCCTCTGCGGTCTGTGATACTGAGGGTTGATAGTCTGCAGACAGATACGAGATGGCCTGCGGTCACCGCTGATGTCAGTCGGCATCCGTCCCTCGCTATATGCGATGTTTGAAGGATGCCTACCTCGACTTCTACAGTCCTCAAGTTCTCCGAGACGTCATCCGTATGTGGCTGGTGTTTTGGTGGGAGCCCAGCGGCCTCCTCCTCCTTTTTGATGCGGTGTGCAGTTTTAGTCCGGGCGAGATGGTCGCTCTCGAGTTCCTTTAGGAGCCAAAGAACCTCGTAGTTGGAAAGCAGCGCCGAGCGTTGGTTGAGAACCTGATGACGCGTTCATTCTTTGTCTTAGCCGGACCAGGGAGGCGACGGACCTCCATAATTATGGGAGCATATATCTAGAAATACAGACAGCGAGGCGGCAGCGTCGAGAATATTTTGCGGAGGTCGAGGTCGGTAGTCAAGTCATGCTCGGCAGCGGGCGCTCGCTGTGCATTCCCGCTTTCTCCGCCACCATCATCCGACACAGCGAGCAAAGCCTCTTTATCTCGTCGTCCACCTCTACTCTGTGCTTTACTTCGCCACCCGCATCTTGTTGAAAACATGCATCGAGCAGGTAATCGCAAGGGCTCACAAGACCGTGCCGGCATGTTTACATTCCGCGCAGGTCAACCCCCACAGCGTCCACCAACTCTCGCACCCAACCCTGCGCTCGGGGGGCCCTTCCGCGGGCCCTATCAAGGCTATGGGATGCCCCAGCGGAACGTCACACCAGCATACCCGATTCTGCCTAACCAGCGGACGGTCGTGCCTCAGCCATCACCCAATTTCCTGCAGCAGCGCGGGCAAAGCAATTTCCCGTTCAACGCTGCCGGCCTCCAGCAACAGCAGGCGCAAACGCCAGCCCAGCTCTCCGCACAGCAGACGACGCTTGCGCATGCAGCTCACCAGCAACAAACGCAAGGGTCCGGCGCCAGTTCGACCCTTCCCCCGCACTTAGCGCAAAATGCAGCGCCCAGTCTCGGGACGGCCCCCTCGGTGTCGTCGCAAAGCGAGGTTGGCCTCGATCCGAATGACTTCCCCGCACTGGGAGCAACGCCCGCGAACAACTCATCGGCGGCATCAAGTGGGAACACCGCGAGCTATGCGACGCAGGCGGGGACAGGAGCGGGGGCTAGCGGGGCGCAGGCTGGGAATGGGGCAGCGGTCAATCAACCACGAGACTTCACGGCGGAAGACTTCCCTGCACTAGGAGGACAAAGCCAGGCGACACCGCAACAGGCGCAACAAGCTCAACAAACACCTACAGAGGGGCACCCCCCCGGGTTGAACGGCTTTCAGCACGCAGACCAGCAACATCGACAGAACCTCCTCGGCTCGCTAACAAGCGGGGCTCCGGGGCAGCAGCAACCTGGGTTGTTGAATTTGGGGCAGACGAGAAATGTGCATCCGGGCTTCCAGTCTGAGGCGGACAAGCAACGGGTACGTCCCGTCGCTCTTGGACATGTGACTTTGTGCCTCACAGCTCAAAGACGTACCCTGTGAAGAACAACCACGCCAACGCTGCAGCGTGGAACTCCCCCAATGTAAATCCCAGCGCACAGCAAGTGGGAACTTTCCCTAACGGGCAACAAAACCATGTCCAGAACGCGCAGTCACAAACACCCGGGCAGCAGCCACAACAGCAGCAAGGACAGCATTTGAACGCTCCCCCAGGCGTACCACCACCAGCCTTCTCCTCCCAGCAACCAACACCTGCGCAGCAGACGCCATACGTTGCGAATGGAACCGTTGCAGGTGATGAGACACGTCACCTGTCCGCGAACCTTGGCTCACGCGCGTATCCGTAGTGCCACAAACGCCGGCCCAGCAAGTACTCATGTCACCCGCGGACCGCTGGGGGCTTCTGGGGCTACTAGCGCTCATCAAGAGCGGGGACCCCGATTCAAGTCTGCTCGCAATAGGCACAGACCTGGGGACGATGGGGCTGGACATGCAGAATCCTGGGTACGCAATGCAGCCGCGTGTGTATGTTCTGCCTGGCTAATCAGGAGATGCTCCAGAAGCCTATACTCAACGTTCATCACCCCTTGGGCCGACTCGTCAGCCGCGCATACAGTAGAACCAGACTTCCACTTGCCGGCGTGCTACAACGTGCAACCGCCTCCACCGGGGCCGAACAAGGCTGCTGCGTTCAGCGATGAGACGCTGTTCTTCATGTTCTACGCGTCGCCGCGAGATGCCCTGCAGGAAATCGCTGCACAGGAGCTGTATGTGGATTTTGTGCTTCTTTTGCGTCGGGTGGCCCATATGAACCCCATTTATAGGTACAACCGGAATTGGCGGTACCACAAGGAGCTGCGTCTCTGGCTCACGAAGGAAACCGGCACCCAGGCATCACAGAAGGTGCCCGGAGGCGAGCAAGGCACGTACTCGTACTGGGATCCGGAGATGTGGGAGAAGGCCCGCAAGGAGATGACGGTGCTCTACTCCGACCTCGAGGAGAAGAGCCACCCACTGTTCGCGCCCGGCCAGACACTGCAGATCAACGCGCCCCCGCAGCCGCACACGCCTGCCCAGCCCGCGCGAGTGGGCTCCGCATTCCAGGGCATCGCCATGGGCGCGATGTGAGGCCGACGAAGAAGCTACGACCCGCGCTATTGTAATCCCAGCTTGGACAGAAACGCTCCACCGCCTCTGCCACTCCCCTTCCGTTCCGTCTTCTCGCTTCCTGTTCAGTTATTTGTTGGTGCTCTCCCTTTCTTCCTCAGCCACCGAGCTATCATACGCTTGTATCTGTAAGCCATACTGTTTGAATCATATCACCTCGTCTATTGGCTGTCTATAATCCGCTGGTGAGCACATGCCGCGGCGCTGCAAGCTGCGCTCGTTTTCCGTGATTCACCGGTACGTTTTTCTACCGCAGTCCTGATATGCTGAAGTGGTTTTTTGTTACAGGCTATATTGGTACATACAGATAAAGCAATATTCGAAATCAGCCATCGCTCATCGGAGTTGTTTTCTGTCGTAGGTCGCGCCGTCTCCTCGTCTTCTCATCACAGCTCACACTACAGTGGGAACTTGAGCGACAGCTCGGTCATGAAGTTCATCGCGTCCACCCGGAAGTTGTCCTGAGTGATCGCCAGGGGAATCAGGCCGTCTTGGAACGTGAGCAGCTTCGGGGCGGACGTGGAGTACTGCGGCCAGGAGAGCACCGTCTTCCCGTTCGGGTCCAAGTTGTTGACGAAGTTGATCAGGTAGTCCGCCATGTCGCCGCCGCCGTAGATGTTCAGGATGTCTGTCGCGTGCGCCTGCGGTGCGAGCACTGGTCAGTCACAAATCGAGCTACACTGGGGACTGTAGACGCACCGAGCCGAGGGCGGGCAGACCCTTCAGACGCTTGTTCACTGAGGGTATGTGTAAGCGTGTGCATGCCTGGCAATAAAGAGGAGGCAGCTTACGGAAGGACCACATCGGCTGTTTCCCGGACCGGCTCTGAAGCAGGAGTCGGCGGGGGGCCTGGAAGACGAGGTCGCCCTGCATGGCTGCGAGGCGCTTGAACTGCGGGGTGAGCGCGTTCAGGATACCGGTGTTGAAGGGCGAGCCCTGCGTGATGTCCTGGGGGTACAGCTTGAGCAGCTGGTCGAGGTCGCTGCTGGACGCCTGCGGGAGGTAGTTGCTATGGATGTAGTTGCGGAGGTCGGTCTCCGTGCTGCAAATGGCGTCAGGGTGGGGCGTTTGGGGGCAGGACGATAAAGACTTACGTTACGTTCGTCGTGGAGAGCGAGAACAGGGTCCCCTCGTCATCGCAGTCCTGTCCGCGTCGTCGGCGTTAAGATAAATCGTCGCTTGGGTAAGATATTGGGCACATACGCCTGAGACGAACGGGACCCCCGCGACGCTACCATCCTGCACCAGGTTTTGCGGGGCGTCGACCAGGAACGTGCCATCGACACGGGGCAGCCATGCCAGCCGTAAAGACTAGCACAATTGTGAGTTCGTCCACATCTTCGATACAGCCGCACAGAAAACGTACCTGCGGGGAGAAGATACCCGGCGACGCGTCCACTGCTGTCTTCAGCGTAGCGAACGGCACCTGGCGCAGGCAGTTGAGCGTGTCCGCAGCACCAGTGCAACCCGTCTTCGAAACGAGGGCGTCGTAGTCCGGCTGGCCGTGCGAAATGTCGCCGACCGGGATGGGCGACCCGGACTGCATGAACGCGCCGCGGAACAGGCCCTCAGCATTGCCCCCGTTCGCGACCATGTGCAGCCCAACCGAGATCGCGCCCGCACTCTCGCCCCAGCTGCGTGCGGAGAGCGGCGGCAGTCAGCATGCGAAGACGTGCAGCTCCACTCGGTGAGAACGCGGACGCACATCGTGACTTTGGTGGGATCGCCGCCGAACGCGGAGATGTACTTCTGGATCCACTTGAGCGCGAGGCGTTCTGGTGCCAGATAAGCTATATTAATCTCGATGGGTGTGCGCAGGAAGGGGGTGGGCACTGACGATCCTGGAGCCCCAGATTGCCTACGCCTGCATCTTTGACTTCTTGGCTCGCGAGGAAGCCGTACGCTGGTCGTCCGTTCAGCATCAACTACCTGCGTCCTCAGAAGGGAGATACATACCAGAGACTCTGCCAAAGGATGTCAGGACGTTGTTCAGGCCAGAGGGGTGCGTGTATCCGACGACTCACCGATAGTTCATGCTCACATAGATGACTGGCTCTCCCATTTTGACGGACCTGCTCACGATGCTGCTGCCGTCGTACCTGTGGTGATGTCGGTCAACATGTCCTGTAATCGGCCTGAAGGTGGGGCTACTCACATGCTCGGACTCCCTAACTCGAAGCCGCCTTGCAGGGTGTCAGAACTGTTTCCAACATGCGAGTCAAATCAGACTCAGTACTCACCACCGAAGATCCACTAACATTGCGGAAGAAGACACAAGCGTCAGTGCAGAACACCAACCTTCGGAATATGAGTTACGCACAGCGGCTACAGGCAGCTTGGCACCGGGTTGTGTGCCTGCGGGGACCATGACGTTGATCGAGAGGCCTAGTTCCCGAAGTAAGAACATGGTCTCTTCACATCAGGCGGTGCATGTCACTCACAGTCTTCATCTGAAGGGAAGACTAGCTGAAAGATAGAGTTCACGATGAAGTTGACGGCGTCCTCAGCGAGCTGTGAAGGAAGGTCGAAGTTGATCGCCTGTTGGGGACAGGATGGTCCGAATGCAGTGGCAGTGTGGGTCCCTGTGTACGGGTCGACGGCGACGGGCAGGTTGAAGCGAAGGTCTCCGACGCTAGACGCGAAGGTTCGAGGTCAGCGGCGTGGAGGAGATAACACAGCGGCGAAGACTGACGGAGCCTTCCCGAACGGTATACCAAGGAACTTGGTCGTCGTACCGTCGGTGGTGCCAACAAAGGTGCCTTGGTCCAGCTGGATGGTGGGCGGCGCCCGCTCCTCGAGTGGAGCAGCGAGCGCGAGCCTAGCAAGGAGGGGGAGAAGGGAGAGCGACCGGACGAACATTTCGCGAGGAACGGCGGCGGTGTGGGCCCTGACCCAACCGCGTCCCTCCCATCAGCATTTTATAGCAGGGGCAGCCAGCGAACAGTGCATGCAGCACTACTCGTGCGCGACCGCCGCGTACCCGTACCGACCCAGAGACACGGAGCGTTGACATCACTGCACCCGCTAAACCTTCGTCCCCGTCCGAGTAGCCGTAGGCCCATGAGAAGAGAAGTCATGCAAATCACAGACTCGTACACAAAGACAGGAGGATCACACGGTCGTAAGACGCATGCAACGGAGATGAATGGAGGTCACATTGTCGCCTTCGCGGCGTGCAGCGGACTGAATAGAAGGGCTGCGTACCTCGGTGATTGGGATCCATTGCCGCGCGACCGTCGCGACCGAAAAGAATGCTGGGTTATTTTGGCATGGTGTACGTGTGCGCGTGAACGTTTCGGCCAAGGGGTGGCGTGCGTCTTGGTATGCACGTCGCCGCCGCGAGGCCTGCAGGTCATCTCAGAGGTTAACACCTCACGCGCAGGCTCAGGTCGCCGCCACATCTGTGCGTAAAAGGCTATCCTTTAGCGTGTTCGCGCGATGTCTGTGAATCTGATAAGAGTCGCACAGTTAGCTCCATCTAACCCTCCAATATCCGGGGTCATCTGGGGGAAGACCGCAGTGCAGATGTGATGTGCTGTACCTCATTTTGTGTCAGGCCCCCTTCGACATGTCGTGAGTGGTTTGATGCATATCAAGCACTACTCTCCACGAAATTGGGGCCATACTACGGCTGACGAACAAGGACCTGAACATGCCATCTCGCGATGCATACCCCGTCGTGAGATAGTACCAGCAATATTTGGGGCATGATCGTACCAGCGTACCAGATGCGAGGGCGTGGCTGAGGGCTGCACGGCCATGATGAGCCACGCGGACCGTTCGCGTCGCGATGGGATGCCCAGCTAGTTCAGGCAACATGTCCACAGTCACGAACCACCAAAAGGGGTCGGGTGATGTTATGCGCAGACCGGGATATAACAAAAGTCAGGTCCGCCACCGTCTTGGGACGATGCCCCTAACCTGTAAAAGCATCTTCAGACCAAGTGCATCAACCGTCGGCGAATCATAGGAGGACTGACCTCTCAGTAGTGCTCCCGCTGATCTCGTCATGGGGCCACACCAGCGGCTCAGGTGTTTCGACAATTCCTTGACATTGTCCGGCGGCCTTACCTCCGGATTGGCGGGGTCAGTTCCCATGCATGAGGTCCTGAAGATCAGCGAATAGCCATATTTTTGCGAGCCGACGTAACCGTATACCCGAGGGTACTTCTCATCCTCATGGTGGAGGTTAAGAACGCGCTAAATCCGCTTCGCGACGATTTCGGCGTTTGCAATTGGTTCGCAACGGCACACACTTCGTGATTTGACGTGAGGCTGGTGTTTTAACTGCCGCAATGAGTTCCACCATGGCGATATGGCCGAGCGGTCTAAGGCGCCAGAATCAGGACCTTGGTCTATCTGGTCCGAAAGGGCGTGGGTTCGAATCCCACTGTCGTCATTTTGCCTCCCGCGTGCCTACTCAGAAGTCAGGTTCAGCGACGCAGAACCATCTCGGCGTGGAGACACATTCGTTTTAGAGCTCACTGTAAGGTACTGCCACCAATCCATGCACAAGCTCACGGCACAGCCCGGGCTTACTGGCGCCGCCGCCCCATTCTTATCATCGGCTCCAAGTTTGGCTCCATTCGTGTGCATGTATGCGTCGACGGCGTTCATGGAAGCAAGCGCAAGAATAGCTCAGAGCTTCCGGGTGTTGCGCGAGGTTCCCACTAGGAAGGGCGGCAAAACGGAGGCCATTCGGCACCGCTGTGTCACCCTGCTGACAATGACTGGCCGTGTCTTATTGGTCGTTCATTGCATTAGAATATCGAAGTAAGCCAAACCCGTTTGGAAGTATGAAAAATGTGTATGCGACGCACATGCGCAAAGGAATTCTCCAGATATTGACGCTTCTCAGTCGAGTAGTCTGAAGGCTCCGTGATTGCACGTCGACGGGTGAGGTTTTGACTTGTACGTAACTCCGCGGCGTATGTGAGAAATGCAATGAGTATGCAATAAGTAACGTACGCTCTCAGATAGAACATCTACGAATCTGCCCTTGGGATTCGCTGCGATTTGGTGGGAGCGAATACAATATTGGCAGTATTCCACAGTGAAGCTGGAAGCTGGGAGGATATGAGTTGTTTGCATGTGTTAGGATCACAAGCCTTTGCCTTTTTGAGAGGAAGGACCCCGGAACGCCCACGAGCAAACTTGAACTCTATCTGAATGGAGAAATCGACTTTCCTCAGCAGCGAAAAGAAATCATATGCACATAGAGAGCAATACGATTCCCGGCCTCATTTTACTGGGTTCTCTCCCAGATTTTGTAGCTTAAGCTTGTCATGCTGCGCACACGACTTGTTCAACTTTCGGGGTCCTGGGCGTTCCGAAGAGGGTAATTGCCACGACCGGCGCCTACGACGATCTACCTGGTTCGCCTCCTGCCTCGTCCCGACCTCTGCTGCAAGGGCCATGCAGTCCCCCTCAAAGTCTCTGCGAAGCTTTGACAGAAACATGGAGACTCCAGGTTAGTCACGTGATGATGCCAAATGACAGCATCTGCCACGAGTGTGAATTCGTCCGAGCCGGGCTGCGAGGCAGTACGCCGCCGTCTATCCCCGTCGTATTCGCGCCTCTTTTTCTCCTCCATGTTCCGTTGACCGAGTATCTCTGCTCACGTACCTGTGGCTTAGATTACTGACGCCCAGCCCCGGCTGCGTCGCGCAGCCAAGGAGGGCCATCTGCCGCCGCCATCCAGAAGCGACCAGTCGGGCGAACCACCATGTTTTGGAGATGTGTCAAAGCAAGCGTCAACTTTTACCGGCTTCATTTTCTCGCATTGTAGGTATCTCATCAAGTGTTCATACTGGCTTCGACTCTGATACAGTCGCAGCACCGTCGTTCCTCTAGTGGGGGCTACGATTCTTTGGGCTAGCAACGGAGAATTTTACATCAAATTCATCGACTCGCTGTATATTTCCGTCAGCGGCGCGACCGGGACCGGACTTGTCACGGTAGATCTCAGCGCCTTGACAATATGGCAGCAGGTCGTCCTTGTCATCCTCGAACTGATTGGGAATCAAGTAAGCGCGACACTGCAGTGCATATATACTATCCCACTCATCATATCTAGGCTTTTGTGGCCTGGGTAGTTGTTCTCGTGCGGAGGTAATGGCCCTATGAGCTTCCGATGATCGGAGGTTTACGTCGTATGCGCATAGATGGTACTTCCTCCGCAATCTGCGACATATCGTGTCTGCCGAGATGGAACGAGACCACACCACACAGTGCCCCCAGGATGTCTCGCCCTCACTCCGACATATCCGTGAGACGTTGGCGCGATTCAAGGAGGCGCAACATGCGAATGACGGCACCGCTCGGACGACTCCCTTCCCCTCTCGGGGATCCAGCCAGAATCGAGGCTTGAAAACTGGACTCCGCGCGGACATGGTGCGGAGGCTGGACGTCGCACCGCATCCTATCGACCCTATGGGATCGCAGGCACGCAGAGTATCAACTGATCGGCTTGCCGAAGCGAGTGGTATCGATGTACTCAGCAGCGTGGCCAGCCGTCGGTCGCGTCGAACATCCATTCTCTCCGCTCCTCCGCCAGTACATCAGGAGGATGAGTTTGGAGGCCTTCCTAGCATCCAGGACATGTTGACTTCCCTCGCGCGCAAAATCTCTCCGCGTCTAGAACGCCGCCTGAAGCGCACATTGACGGTGCCGCGAACGGAAACACTGGTGCCTCAGGCCGCCGGAGCAGTCACCGAAGATGCAAACGCCCCTGTCAAACGTGTTCCATACCTCAGCTTTAGTGCTACCGTCAAACGCAACTCGTCATTTTACGGTCTCACGACGGAGAACATTGAGGAACTGGGCGGCGTGGAGTATCGCGCGTTGTGTTCGCTGTCATGGGTCATACCAGCGGTAAGTACTAATGTCCGGCAAGGTTGCGCAGTGGTTGAAATTTCTTTGCGCGCAGTATTATCTAGGGTTACTTGGTGTCTCGTTCATCGTGACGGCGCCGTACATGTCCATGCCGAGATGGCAAGAGAACTACCTACCGCCTCTTCAGCACAAGGTCATCAATTCTGTGTGGTACGTTGGCCGGAAAGTCAGTATACGAACCGTGCTCACCGTGCGTAGGTTCTCGGCCTTCCAGATCGTGGGCGCCTGGGCAAATACCGGTAACACCATAACCCAGCCTGAGCCCACCCACCAATACTGACAACAATGCATAGGAATGTCCCTTGTAGACCAGAACATGGTGCCTTTCCAGACGGCATACCCAATGATCATATTCATCGTGATTTGCGTGCTCGCGGGGAATACATGTTTGGTAGGTCTATATGGACGACTGTTGTAATTGCGTGCTAATCGACACCTTCTCCCGCAGCCTATATTGTAAGCTTCCCGACTTCTGGTCTCGGATGCAGTGCATTGACCGTCCTTCCCGCGCCGCAGCCTCCGTCTCTTCATGTAAGCTATAGCACCCCGCATGCATCCCAGTGGGCGCGCGCTGATCCCCCGCAGCTGGCTTCTGACGAAGCTCCCCGGCCGATCGCGCACGAAAGAGTCATTGCACTTCCTGCTCGACCATCCGCGGCGGTGCACGATCTACCTCTTCCCCTCTCGGCAGACATGGCTCTTGCTCGGGACCGTCATGCTTCTCAAGTACGTCGCGCCGATAAGCTTCCCCGCGCGGACCCTGACCCGACCCTGATCGCCGATCGCCTCTTCTCGTCGGCCCTGCAGCTGCACGAATCTGTTCTTCTATCTGGTGCTGGATATCGGGAACGATGCGACGGACTCGCTGCCGTTTGGAGTCAAGTTCGTCGATGCGGTGTTGGATGCCGCTGCGTGCAGGAATGCAGGGTACCAGCCGATCCCAATGTCAAGCCTGATGCCCGCCGTGCAGTACGTAGCGTCTTCCATGCATCCTCTTCGATCGGCTCTGAACACGCCCACACAGGGTCCTATCCGTGGTCATGATGTACATCGCGATCTACCCGATAGCCATGAGGTAATCTGCCCCCTCTACCGCACGGTAGCCTGCGACGCTAAGTGAGATATCTTAGCGTGCGCTCCACGAACGTATATGAGGCGAATTCGCTTGGGGTCTACGAAAGCGATAACGAGGACGACGAGATCAACGACGATGCGCACTGGGACCGGCCGTCCGAATCGCGCGTCGCGATCTGGGGCCGGTACCTGATGCGGCACGCTCGCAGACAGCTGTCGTTTGGTATGTTCCTTCATCTTGGTAGCTAGCGGTTCGCGCGTGTGCTGAAGGGTCTTGTCAGACATGTGGTGGCTGGCCGTCTCGCTCTTCCTTCTCTGCATCATCGAGGTACGCGCATTCAAGGTCCGAAGGTATGATGGAGGCTGATGCTGAGTTCACGTATAGCGCCCCAACCTCACGGACACCAGCAAGCAGTCGTATTTCAACATTTTCGCGTTGCGTGAGTGCTGCAATAGCATATATCTGCGTTCAGAAAATACTGACTAGCATATAGTCTTCGAACTCGTCTCTGCGTACGGCACTGTCGGCCTGTCTCTCGGGATCCCAGGCGTACGTTTAACACACCGTCACTTAGCGGTGGATTCGCCGCTCACCTTTGTACCTCCAGTTCAACTACTCCCTCTCCGGGGAGATGCATACGCTCTCGAAGCTTATCGTCTGCGCGGTCATGCTCCGCGGGCGCCACCGCGGACTGCCCGTCGCGCTCGACCGCGCCGTGCTCATGCCGAGCGAGTTCCTCGTCATCCACGCCGGCAGCCAGCAACAATCCGACGACGGTCAGGGAATGAACGAGAAGGAGAGCGAGGACGGGCGCATGGGCCACATGCAGGTGCTGCACGACCCAGACGAGCTCGCGACGCGCATGCGTCTGCGCACGCGGACGATCAGCCTCATCGTGGAGGAGCGGCGCGAGTCCCCGGGGAAGGAGGCTGGGTGGGCGCCCGACCGGGTGCCGGAGGAGAGCCGCGATGCGAGTGTGGGGAGCGCGGGGAGCGAGCGGAATGTGTGAGCGAGTGTGAGTGGGTTGGATTGGTGTTGGAGGTTTGCTATAACGAACGTCACGACTTGTATTTGTATCGGCCTCGTCCTTCGGGTGAAATCGGGGCAGTCTGGGTTCGGGGCGCATGCCCCCTTTAGAGTTTTATTGTTACCGTTCGAACGTTCGCCGCTTTGCCTTGCAGTCGCTGTTTTCTGGAATTCATACGTTTTTCTGCCGATTCGAAGAATGGTAACGGTATATATAGCAGGAGATGCCTCATGTACTGAATGTCAGTATGCTATCTCTGATTTTGAGGCGTACACTCCGCTCAGCAGTCCACTCAAACTGGACGTTCGTCAGTGTAGTCTCAATGCCCATATGCGCTATGCACATTCGTCAGCACAATCTCTGCACTTCCATGCGCAGAAGAAGACATACCTGCTTCGCCGATGTGAAACTCGAGCCGTTTGAACGGTTCCGAGCCTCCGTGCCCCTGTCGCGGCGGCGCCCCGGGCATGAAGAGGCTCGTGAAGCTCGAGCCGACCTTCCATACCAGCACATCTTGCTCCTCGAGCGACATCGTGACGAGGCGGCGGCCGTCGGGCGAGAAGCTGCACGCCGTCGTCCGCTTCTTGTGCCCCTCGAGCACGTACAGACGTGTCGCGGTCTTTAGGTCGTACATGACGACTGCGCCCTCACTCGTGCCGACCGCGAGCCGCTGAGTGGCCATGTGGAAGTCGACTGTCGGGAAGCTGTGCCACAGCGAGTAAGCACCAGGCGGGCCATGATCATAAACAGAGACGCTCACGTCTGGACAATGTGGCTGAGAATCTCGGTGGCCGAGTCCAAAACCGCGTCGCGGCTCGCGCTCGAGTTCGGGTCGAGTGACTTGACGATCGCCTCGACGAGGCGCGGGAGGTTGCTGTACAGCACGAGCGGCTTCTTGCGGATGAGGAAGATGACGAGCTGCATGACGGACTTGCGGTGCTGCACGCTGCGCGGCTGCAGGATGTCGATCGCGAGCGTCGTCATGAACAGCGGCGTGTTGCCCGCCGCGATCTGCAGCACGGCGGAGCGCGCCTGCACGCCGATGTTGGGCACCGCGATCGCCTCCTTCTTGGTTGTTGTCGCGAGCGTGAAGAGCGCGCGGAGCATCTCGACCGCGTCGACGTACTGCTGCCAGACTTGGAAGCCGCGCGAGCAGAGGTCGATGGCTAGGGAGCGGTGTGGGGAGGTCTCGTCGTGCAGGTAGAGCGCGATGGACTTGGCGATGTCGGTGAGTGTACTGGCCGACGGGGCATGAGTACAGTTAGTGTATGGAAATTACCAAGGTCTGCGTACCTGGTGGGTAGCAGTGTATATTTGTCGACCGCAATGAAGCCACAAATGCACAGCGCCTTTGCACTCTGTGGTAAATCCTTCTCCTTGTCGGTCCGCATCACTGGTACTGTTTAAGGTCAGTATTGGCTTATACCAGACCCATGTGCAAGCGACGTACAATATTGTTGCCACACTTCCACGAGTTCGGTCGTCTCGCTGTCGGCTAACCGCGCGACCCCAGCATCTAACAACAAGCGCACCGCTTGTCGTACTTCCGCTGCTATCCCTATGTTCAGCGATCAAAACTGTCAAGCACGCGGAACACGTTCAACTCACATTGAATATGTAGCATGTGGTGTGCAAGCCGAGGGAGGCTCGGGTGCTGGTGGTCGGGAACTAGCTGGCCGATCGAAGCAGCATAGAACGTCGTGACCGTGCTCGCGTCTTGGGCCAAATCTATCCCAGTATTGTGAGCATATACGGTGCATTTGAAACAGGTCAGGCCGTGACGATACCTTCAAACTGCGCGAGAAATTGGAGCAGTGTAAGGATCGCCAGCGCCCTGTCTGCGGACGCTTCCGGGGACACCGTCCATATACTCGATGAGCTGTGTTGCGGGACGATCACCAACGTCTCTGGGCTGCTCTCTCCGTTTAGTCCTCATACGACTCATGTCGCCATTGGAAGAGTACCTGGATATTCCTAGAGTGGCAGAAGCAGGTTTGATAGCCAGCCCCTCGTTGCAGATGGTATCAATGCCCTCGCTGATGCCGAAAGTAAGCAATATCGAGAGTAGGGCGCGCGCATGTTCGAGCTTCTTCTTCGAGCTGAAACTTGTTGAAGACAACGCAGCGCTTGGCGACAGCTGCTTCAGCAACGCCGGGATGTCCAACGAGACGGTGGAAGCTATGGTTTGTTGAGTACGGTCACTCCTGCGCCTTCGGAGACGCTCGTACCTGCGTCCGGCGATGTGTACCCCGGTGAAGCTAGAGCTTGCTTCTTGTCTGACGCCCGGTCCATGTACCTGCGGGACCGTCTTAAGTGACTGTATGCGTAAGACGAAAACTGTGAACGCACCATTCATGCCAGCCGCCCTGCAGCAAGAGCTCTTCGGCCTTCTCCACGCTCATGGACCTCCAGAACTCCCGCGTCCCAGTGTCCCACAGACGCGCGCGCCCGTCGGTATACACCAGAAGCAGGTTGTTCTCTCCCAGGCATACTCGCCTCAGGGGTGCGGCGGAGGCCGGAACCAGGTACACACTGCGGTTAGAAGTGAGCGGCGGCAACTACGATAGTACACAAAAACAGCACGGAAGACGCACAACTGATACCCGTCCACGGCGATCACAGCGATCGTCCCGTCCTGCGAGATGCACAGCACGCAGCCGTGCAGCCGCCCGACGCCTTCGTCCTCGAGGGAGATAACGCGCGCGAGCGGGGTCGTAAAAACCGTCCATCGCGCGCACAGTTTCAGTGTGCTGCAAAATCGTGAGCAAATGTCACAACATCCTCTGCCCTGTGCGACGTACTTGAGAGCCCAGACGGCGATCGTGCCGTCATCCGCGCCGCCAACGAGCACGCGCTCGCCCGTCCTGTGGTTCTGCACGACGTCGAGCGCGAGGACTGCACCTGGTAACGCGAAGTCCGACCACTGAGCGGACGCGTCACTGTTCTGAGCGCCCTCGAGCAGGGAGGTGCGGCGGATACGGCCGTCCGCTAGCATATTGTCAGTAGTCAACTGGGGTGTCAGGGAGCAGGACGTACTGTAGCCCAAGATAATCAAGTCGAGCTCTAGAGGAAGGGCGGAGGAAATCCGTGGCGCGGACTGGGTGGCGAAGGCATCCGCTCGTGCCTTCCACAGGGCCCGGGTCTTGGCCTGTGCGATCGCAGAGTCGGGCAGAGCGAGGCAGGTGTGGTGTATCCGGTGTCGACCATTCTTGACACGCGTCGAGACTGCGTGCCCACCCGGCACGAGCGTCGCGACGTCGTACGGGGAGAGGGGGATGGTCTGCGTCAGCTTAGGCCTGCAGATGCGTGGGTATATGCGTGCCAATATGCGCGAAAACGGGAGGCTTACCGTGCTTCCTCGGGTTTCTCGCCAGCGGACAACAAGACGGCGTAGACGGCAAGCCCATCCTACTACGGTGTCACCTCGGGTAACAAGTACGCACAGGAAGATCACGCACCTCACTAAGCAGCGAAATCGAATCGTGGTCGATCCATCTGACGTCCCGTACTCCAGATACGGGTACGACGGGCAGCTTCTCCATCATGCTCTGCGTCCATTTACAGATCTGCACCCAACGCAAACGTGTACTAAGCTTCCGCATATCCACCACCGCCCGGCCACATAACGCACACACGTACCGACAATTCGCGCGCGGTCCACGCGCACAGCCGCACGTCCGTCCCATTGTCGTGGGCGCGCAGGCCAAGCAGAGGCTCCGTGAGGCCGAGATCGCCATGGTCTATGGGGTCTCCGAGTTCGATGCGCTCGTACCCGGTGCTGGTCTCCGTATCCGGGATGTTCTCCGTAGACAGTGCCTTCAGCGCCTTGAACGGGTTCGGCAGCGGCAGATGGTTAGATGAGTGCGATCCTGGGAGGTCCGCGGGCTCGGGCGGGGGGTCGTGGACCGTCAGGGAGCGGGAGACGAGGTGGCCTCCGGGCCCCGTGTGGAAGAAGGTCAGGGAATCTATCAGGGAGGTTAGTGAGCCTGGCTGGATATAGCAACTTTAGAGATGTCCCCACGGTCGTGCTCGGCGCGCAAACCAATAGAGTTCAGGGGTCCGCTCACGGTCCATTGCCCCAGCTGCTCGAGCTTCGCCTCGCCTGCTACTGCATCCGCGCCGAGGCAGAGCTCGTACGCGACGACGAGCGTCTGGTTCTCTGAGTCGCCGGAGCTCGCGTCGAGAAATTGGTTGTTGGGATAGAGCTCGTCGGGAGATGCGCATGCGAACAATAGGATTGACTAGGTGGCGTATGTACATGGGATGGTGTGATAGAACTAATTAGCGAGGGAAGGTCACCGAGGGCGGGCCGGCGCACCTCTTCGGACGCGGCCACGAGCAAATTCCGCCAGACCCACAGCACAGAAGGCGTCGCTTGAGCCTTGCCGGCTGAAGCCGGTTTTGACTTCGCTTCCACGAGCGTGGATGCGATGCACGACCCGTCTATGGACGCGTGGACAGAGAGCCCACCCGACTCGTGTAGACATGAGATGTAACGGCCCGCTTCGTGCACTTTCAACGTAGAGACAGAAGAGCCTGGACGAGCGTATGGGGGATATACGTGACATCGCAGGTTCAGCGCAAGCGCGCCGTTGGGCTCGGGAGAGGCAGCGGGCGGGAAAGTCGGCGACGGTGGATTGGATAGGGAGAGTGTGGAAGAAGACGGAGATAGCGCAGCCGACAGGTAATTTCGAGTGTCTTCTTTGCGCAGACTGCTGATCTGAGCTGAAGTACTCTGGGAGGACGCGCTGAGGTCTTTCTCTTGACGGGTGCGGGATGTGGATGAGTGCCTTTCCCGGCTTTTCCTCCCCTTCAGCATGCCCCGCATCCGTTCCCGTTCCTCGTCAAAGTCGACGTAGTTCTTGGGTGCTTCAGCAGACTCAGTGGATACAGCGGAAACAACGCGAGAGCGACTGAGTTGGAAGGGGGAGAGCGCAGATTTAAGAGAAGACGGGGAGGCAGATCGAGAAGACGGGTGTCCAAGACCGCGATAACGGCGAGGGCTAGTAGGTGGCGACGTTGGCTCTGGCGGACTGGGAGTAGGCGGTATGGAGACTGCTATGTTGGGCTGCAGAGACGCGGAGTTGCTTGCCGACCGCAGGATGAAGAGCGAACCATCCTTGCAGCCTACTGCGACACCGTGCGCACCTGCAATGTCGCCGCTACTCACTGACAACGCAAAAAGGTCTTGGTTTCCCCATGCGGTGACGGTTGACGGCGTGCTCAGAGAGAAACTCTCTTCGATGACCGTGGTATTGTCGGTGTTTCTGGCACCATGAGGATAGGGTGGTAGGGTGACTGGAATGTTGAGAGACCAAGAGTCGAACTTCCCAAGCATTGATTGCAGTTCTGAGGACTAGGCCTAGCACATATAGTAGTACCCCAGGGGATTTCCAAGCCAGAATAACCCAGCGACAGAGTGCAGGCGTCGGCAGAGATGGTGGCGCGCAACGACGAGCACGATGAGCGCGTCCAGGGACCACCGGGCCGCGTACCGCTGCCGGTGCCAGCCTGCCCTAAACATTCTCACGGTCGTCCTTTATAAACGGCCGCTGCGGCGTTGCGTTTTTCTTCGTGCGGCTAACCGGCCATACTTTTCCCCATGTTGCTCATGACTGCAATGCTACCTTCGGGTGCATTTTGCGCGGTTGTTCGAGTGTCAGGCCGGTTCAAGACGAACTCGGACGTCTCAGTGCCCTATTCTTCTCTACTCGATCTTTTCGTAGAGAGGATGGGCCGGTGGTTCTGTACATTCTTCTCCTATTATATCTCCTTTTGTATGGGTCCTTGTTTATGATCAATCGATGTGTATCTCGCGCTTTATCTCAAATGTGGATCCGGGAGTGTACGCGAAAACGAGTGGATAGACGCGTAATTTTCGCGTCAAGATAGGTCGGGTCCGATACTATTGGGCGCGAGGCGCGGGGCGCGTGGTTGTTTGGTTTGTCGTGTGTGCACAAGGTACATGCCGCGGAGTAGCCGTATAAAGTAACTACGTTGGAGTCAGGAACCTGTAGGTGCGCAACTTGAGCGTACGTCTGCACAAACTTGTAGAACTGTCGAATTCCGACGACTCGCAAAGACTTGAGCGAGTGCATGCTCAGCTGGGATATTCACTTGCTCGGTGCTAGAAATTACCCGTTTCGTCTGCGGCGACGAACGTAAACCTTGTCTATCGCTTACGGGGCAGCAGCCTCGAGTTATCGGATCTGCTCCCACCACCACCACCACCACCACCACCACCACCACCACGACTCGTTGAACCCAGGCGTCCCCTCCAGGTCGAAATACAGGTATGTCTGCAACCACCCGTCTGCATGCGTGGTGCGCTCTTGGTTCTAGCCTACATGACACCCATAAGACGTAACGCCGCGCCGTTATCAAATCGCACCGGATCCTGCGAACCTCAACCCTGAAGGCGAGGCAGATGCAGCCAGTCGCAGATCCGGTTAGATTACGAGGCCCGTCGTCGGCCAGATCGCAGTCTGGGACGAGATCAGAGCCCCCCAAACCACGTACGACCGTCCCCGCATGGCACCGCGTTATCCGGTCATATGTCCGTTGTACCCGGGGTGGCGAGGAATACGGACCGATGAATTAAAAGCGCCTACACGCGGCTTAGCATGCAAGGTAGGTTTCATAACCGTGCTGTTGCGTGCAACCGTAAATTTCTCTTTGAATGGGGGGCGGTGCAGCACGCAACGGACGCGAGGGGGTCGCCGCCGGGTAGCTGCTTCTGCAACCGCACCAAGTCCCTCAGCCACCGCTAGCCGTTCACTCCGACTGCAGCCTGGCTCCAGGTACCAGGGGGCCATTTTTCATCGTGAGTTGCGCCTCGACGCTGTGCAGCCGCGCGGAGATAACTCACACCTAGACTCCGCAGAGCACCTTGACCTCATGACACCAATGCGTCACCTCAGCCCCCTCGCGCTGGACCCATGATGCCACGACTCCGACGGGTCATCGGGTGGTTCTCTAATGAAGTCCTCAAGGGCTCAGCCTTCACGTTCCGGTGAGCGCACGTCAAGTCACCTGCGATACGCACCGAATACCGACTGCCTACACCGTAATCTGTCTACAGCCCTGATTCACGCTGTCGTCCTCGCCATCATCACGGTGACATAGGCCCCGGTTTTGTTGCCCACATCTCTCACATTGCATCCGTCCGATGGAGCCTTCTCCCGCCGGCGGTCGCTGCGGCGACCACGACCACTCTCGCGTCACTGGGGTTTCGGAGCAGAGCTCGGGATCGGACCCCGCGCACTGTTACTCTGAATTTGAACGCCACGTATGTAGATCCTTTCCCAGGTTTGGACGCTTACGGCTTAGGCGAGTGCTCATTGGCAGCTCTACGTTCACAGGATGCTGACCCTGAACAGACTTCGTCTTCTAGAATAGTAGCAATGCGCGGCCACACACGGGGGTCCGGATTTGGCCATGCATCTTTGGAAGGCACGTAGGGTTCTCCTCATTTTTTCACGGCACGAGTTGATCTCGGCGAGGATGCCTCAATCCGGAATCACATGAAGGCAGAGCGCTGAGAAGCGGAGCGGAGCCTCCGCGGCACGAACACCGAGCCTCCGTGTGTCCTGCCGCCTCAGATGGTACGCGAGAATTGGAGAAAGGCAATACTGGTGTGATGCCGTAACACTGCTGTCGCTCGAGAAATGACGATGCGCCCTCGCGCAGCCCTTTAGTAGACATTTAACCGCTCTCCTTGATGTTCATGTCTGCGGAAGGGCTTCGCTGAAGATGCCGTACGCTAATCAATTCTGCTACTTCTGCTGGGGTGCGTGAGTTGATCGCTCGCGCATAGCCGAAAAATTCTACTACGGCGTCGCTTGCGATGGGGTTCTCGCAGGACAGGTCGGCTCGAACCAACTAGCCTAAAATGCACCTTTGGAATACTGGGACGTATCTGCCATACCTGGGACAACGTTTCGCATTCCCACCCACTAAGCCTCGTGCCACGCGAGGTGTACTCGGGAATGTCACAGCCATACCATCAAGGCTGTGGGTGCGGCCCCTCCTGTATATAAGCTCACATTCTGTAGGCCTTGCCGCAAGAAACCTCCCCAGCCCTCCCCGCGGGGCAAAATGACGACCCCCACTTCCGGCTGTCATTCCGGAACCACCGTGTCCTTCTGCCCTAGCCCGGAGAGCAGTACGCCGTCCCTCACTGGCAGTATCATCTCTGGGTCCCTCATCTTCGGACGTGAGTCCTTTCCTGATCGCGATGATGAGGTCCTGATCACAACTGACCGCAACTTACAGTTGCCTTCTTCATATCCATCGGCGCCCTCTTCTGGTACCGTTACCGCCACCCTGATCGCTTGCCTCTCCGATTCTTCGATCCGGAGGCCGCTCGCTGGGTGATCCACTCCCGATCCCGAGCCGGGAGTCACTCCTGGAGAAAACGTATTCGCGACTCGTTCCTCTGGTCCCAGCTGTTCGGGAGCTGGCATCCCCCTTCCCACACTGGGGGCCCCCGCCAGACCGCCCGCCGCGCGCACAACGGCGCGGACGCCCCAGCCATCGGCGTACGTCGCCCCCCGCGCGCGCTCACCCCCGCGCCGCCCCCGCCCTACGATCCGTACCATTTTGATCCCGTCCACAACGTCTTCATCCTGCACGAGTTCTCTCTTGCAGAGCTGACGCCCGCACGCTCGCCCGAGGCCGGGCCCTTCGTAGTCTGAGCTTAGCAGCGCGCCGTCCTCACCCCTTCCGAGTCTCTGGGTGATGACGGGCAACGCGGCTGGCTCAGACCACCCGAGGATACCCAAAGGTGCGATCCTTTTTTTCGCTTCACCGCCAGCTGTGCTGACGCCGCAGTCCGCAGATACCCCCCACCTCACGAATTGCAATCGATACGAACCAGAAGTCTGATACGCCAGTGTAGAAGTCCACCCTCTGTATTCTTATCATGTGCCCAGACCGCTGTATCATACTTACTAGGACACAAAACGAGGGACTGTACACCGCACCTGTAGCAGAGCCGTAGGCAGTACAGAGACAGCTGCTTTCCGATAGAACCAGCTTATTTTCTGGGCGCACCGCTATCTGCCATATGCAGCGGTTGAGGAACAGGAATCCTCAAACCCGCGGGAGGATGACGCATGTTAGGCCCGTCTGGCCTCTTTCATGGCAAGCCCCGAGGTCTGCAGACCATGGGCGCTGCCCTGATGCCCCACGCTCGGCGGCTCAGGGTCAATGAATATGACCATGTTCTGTAAATGCGATACGCAGCCGCGCATAGGATAGGGCCGTCGACGCCCACTCAGCCCGACGGCCTGGGCTCCCCAATTGAATTGTGAACTTCGCACTGCGCGTTTAAATCAGCGTCTCCGGGCTGAACATTGAACAGCAGGTACACACAGGATTCACACACAGGCGCAGCTGAACGTCATTTGCTCTAGAATTCCGCCGTCACACAACCGCGGGTAACATACACTCGGGCGAAGTCCGCTGAGTTCCCCCGTCGACAGCTGCATCCTCTCAAGCATTGAGCGGGCTCGAAAAGGACATAGCTCGGTCGCGTCATGCTACTAGAAGCAGTCACCTCGGACGGTGAGATGCCAAGCCCAATAACTTGAATGCGGTGTCCTATGCTAAAAGGTGGAGCAACATATATTAGGTTTGACCAACGCACATATGTATACACGCACCGTGCCGCGACTGACCATCCCCGCGCATGTATACATATACGCTGCAGATACCGCGGAGCCCCGCGTCCTCGCGAACCGTGATAGCAATAAGCGCGTAAACGTGCTACGAACCGCCAAGCCGCGCGATGACCCATCACCTACACAGCGAAGCTTCCCAGGCATCGGCGGCATCTCAGCAGCAGCTTCCATCCGCCGCTTAACAGACTCGCGAGCACGACTGAATGCCACGAACTCTCGCAGCGCCATCCGCATTAAACCCGCACGCGGACGCGGTTAAATAGCAGCGCGCCCCCGAGCCAGGCAGTTCCCGCCCTGGATGTAACGTCCGCCGCCGCGCGCGAGGCTGATCAACTCCCCCATCGATGGCTGTTCTTCCTCGTTCGAGCGGCGCCCCCGGGACCGACGGCCAGATCAGCAGTCCTCGGGTCGCTACGCGCACCGTAGTCGGCATGGTACTCGGGATCTGTGAGTGTCAGGGTTTTGCGCGCGCGCGCAACAGTACTGACATTCATTCGCGCCGTAGTGTGCTTGTTCACTATGGTCCTTAGCTACCAACTTATGTCCTGCCCTTGCAGGAGAAGGAAGGCTAAGGCTGCGAAACACCGCACCCCCCGCACATCCCCATCCACCCACACTCCTTCGAAGAAACCCACACGCTCCTTTATCGACTTGAAGCGCCTCTATCAGAACGCCCGAGAGCGCTTCCACCGCACACACGCCCCGGCGCTCGGAGAGAAGCAGTCTCTCGGCACTAGCTCGCCGCGCGGCGTGACTTTGCGGTCGCTCTTCCTCGCGGCTACCAAACCTCTCAGAGCTGCGCTGCATCGTACCAAGGAGGAGCAATCCTCTCCCTCCGACGACACCGCCCGACCACCTAACCTCCGCGAGCGGCGGGCTCTTCGCTCGCTCTACCTCAACACCCGCACACCCACTACTCCAACCACCAAGCGCTATCCTTGCAACCCGCCAACCACTCCGACCACCCCCACAAGGAAGAGGATGGCGGGGCTGCTTCATCTGAGTATCGGCGGGTCGCCAGACTCCCCCGACACACTCTCACCATTCACCCCGCGGAATACGCAGTCCCGCCGGCTCTACCAGAAGCTCAACGACACCGCGTACTCGGACTGGTCGAACGAAGAGTCCTACCGCACCGAGCGCCCCATCTCTGCGCTTATCTCCCCGTGGTTCCCGAGCGAGTATGAGTTCCCGTACCCATCACTCCACTCACCAGGTTTGACACCTGCGACTCCGCCACCGCTGTATCCCCCGCCGCCCGCGTACATCCCCGAGGTTCCCCTGCGGTCTCCCGGAGGTGTGGCGGATTCTCCCGGACGTCGCGCGGAGATGACGGAGATGAAGCGCGAATCTCCTCCGTTGGTGATGCCCATGTCGCCGATCGTGTCAACGCTCACAGAAGAAATTGCGAGCGACATCGTCGCGTGGACTGCGCTGCACGAGAGCCCGTCTGGGGTCGGAGCGCTGCCAGAGCATCGAGTCGACGGCGTCTTCGTCATTGCGAACGAGGACTCCGAGGACGAGGCATCAAACAGGGACAGCATGTCGACAGTCTACACCCAGGAATCGGGGACGTGGGAGGCGTTTGAAGAATAACGTCGGCTGACATAGACCTATGCGGCTTGTATGTGCTGCTATGATACCGCTGTCGTAGTCCCTATCAGTGTACTTGTACTATCACGCATCTTTTCCAACACTGTACTCTTACCGTTTCCAATAGAACATCAACATATGTTTTCGCACACTGGCAGTGACTTCAAATTGAAGAGCGACTCAGCGGGATCGAAGGGTATGTGACGCAGTGAAGCTCAAGCCGCAGAGATGAACCGGAGTACCACAGTAGTAGTCGCTCAAGTAGCCCAAGTTGTGGCCCCGGTCGAACAGTGGTGTGTACGATGGTGGGGGAATGAAACAACAGATCTGACCCACGAGATCCGCACTAACTGCGTCGGGCGCTGTCGGGCGTCGCGCGCGCCCTTCCCGATTCGGCTACATTTCCGAGAAAGGAAGGCGGCGGCTTTAGATCCTAACAAACGCAAACACATCACTTTCCTGCTCCTCCTCCGAGAACCTTTGCCACGTACCTCTAGCTGTGACTGCTCTGGACTGTGGGGCATCGTTCGCCACTAGCGCAGCCCATCTACTCGTGTACTGTCAGCATGTGCCGCATGACTCAGCGGCCCGCATTCGACATCTCGGCCGCATCGAAGCCACTCCGATTCTCCGCATGTTTGCAGTTTCAAAGAACTACGAATAACGTCTCATATGCTGATTTCAGCTGATTGTCCAGTCGCATCTAAACCTTAGGCTAAGTGCTGGGGATAGGTGTGGAGCTATACAATGCCGACGCTGCTCTTCGAAAACCTTGTACACGGGCGCGACTCTGCCCCAACGGTTCTTCAACACAGCCTTCGCCTACGCGGGTCTCGGTGCCTACCAGCGCCCACATCCTCGGGAATCGCTCTATATCAGTCTACATCGTCTTATCTTATCGACTCGGGAGGGTCACCGTCGTTTGCACTGGGGCGTTGGGGTATTGGAGACATGGGGAGGGACTCCGAGGCACTCCGGCACGCTACGGCAGCGGCACGGCCTCCTTATCGATTCCATGTCGTCCTCAGAATCCGATTCTCGTTCCTGCGCTTCAGACATAGGGGCTTTCTGACGGAGATTTCTGACCGGCGTGGACCGTGACGGCGGCGGTCTGCGACGGACGCCCCGAGAAGACGTCTGCTACTCATCACGCCTAATACCCTCTTTCGGCTCTCGCCATCCATTGAATGTGCATCGCCTCCGGCGCATTTTCAGGACCCCGGGCTGTCGTCTCTCGAGTCAGCTCGACGGGCGCGGAAAGAGTGGAACAGCTCCCGCAGGGGCATCAAGCTCAAGGAAGTCTGCGGGTCGCTTCACTCGGGGCGGTACGCGAAGCTCATTGCCCCGCTGTCACGGCGGCAGGCAGCTCTGCTGATCCAGCTCCGGACGGGAAACGCACCATTGGCGGCCCACCTCCACCGGGTCAACCGCGCCGACCACCCCACCTGCCCAGCATGCAACGACGCGCCCGAGACGGTGTTCCATTTCCTCGTACAGTGCCCTCGCTACGCTGCGGCACGGAACCGTCACCTGGCCCGTCTCGGACGAAATGGTTGCAAGCTTAGCTATCTGTTGAACACGAAGGCAGCGCTCGAGCCGCTCTTCAAGTTCTTGACGGCGACTAGGCGGTTCCACTCGACGTTTGGGGCTCTGTACACGGACAAGGACGCCGCCAGACAGAAGGAGCAAGCACAGCGGAAGCAGACCGCCGGTCGCCAGAGAGGCCGACGGAATGGCTGAGTTTCTCACTACCCCCCTCCTACGCTCTGAACTTCGGTTTCACTTCGCTCACTGTTCGCACACAGACCCGACCGCGCCCCGTGACTCCGCCATTGAGCTGCTCAGCTTCCATGTCGCTCCATAGATCTTCGGCTCTTTCTTGCACGTTCCCCTTTTGGCTCCCCGGCCCTTCTTTTACGTCTATATCCCTCTTTAACTCTCGTCTCTCGTGCGCTCCGGCGCCATGCATTGCGGGCGTCCATCCCGCTCCAGGAGCGGGGGAGTTCTGACGACCGGTGGGGGACCGCCGACCGTACCCCTGACTGTGGCAAGAGGCACAGGACCCGGGAGCTGCGGCTACCCAAATGCACAGCAGGTTTATAACCCGACTGCCTTACCTTTGATGGTCGGGAGGCCAGGAATGGCCGCCTGCAATGCATGCCCCCTATGATAGCACCCCCTCCACACCCCCCATCCTCTGCCTCTGCTCTAGGTGGTGCCATCCGGTACACTTAGGTCCTTGGTCGTCTTTCACTCTCCTAGACATTCTCCTGATCGCTGGGGTTCTCGGACCCCATTTGTTTCCATTACGAGTACCTACGCAGGCCGATTACATACGACAGTTACGCTAGTTTAGTGCCTAACATAGGGCTAGGCCCTGACGGGCAATAAACGGGAGTTAAAGAAAAAAGAAAGAAAGAGTCAGCTCGAATACCATCGTAAGTGGTTCTAGATCGCTAGCTATAGAAGCTTGATGTGCGTGGCTATAGTTGTGCTTACTACAGCCTACTTCGCAGGTGACGTGACGATGTATTTGGATCGGCACAGCGGCATACGCAGTATACAGCAGGTGCCCTTCAGTCGGACGTGACCCTTGTCAAATACCAGGACCACAACGCATCACCACCCACCCGTCTTCTCACTCATAGTATCAATGAGAAGCATGATACCGGATCCGCATGGAGAGGTATGCGTTCCTGTTGCAGACCTATAAGAGTGTATACGGGCTTTACGTTGGATTCACAATCGATCAGGATTGCGATTACAGAGGATACACGCAGAAGAGAAGACTCAAGAGAGACCTTTGTCGGCCCTGGTGCCTGCCGCAGCAGTCGAAGAATGGTACCACCGCTAGATGCACGCACGAACGGCGCGTTCCCCGGGGTCCTCAGGCTCTTGGCCCAGGCTGGTTCTCGATCCGCAGTGCTGGGACGGGGGCGGCAGCCCGTCGTTGTAACGCAGACGCGCGACACCGAATGCAAGCCCGGGGGTGAACGAGAGTATAGATAGAATCCGGGAATTGAAGTTCTATCAACGACTCACTGAAACGACGGGTCCATAGCTACTCGAGCGCACGTACCGTGTAAGGAGGAGGCGACTTCACCACTCAATGTCCATATATTGACATAGACCACAACTCATAGTCACATAATGGAATGGTCGAAAACTAGCCAGCGTGCATTTGAATGGTGAGAAGTGAAAGTGAGAGAGGAGAAGGTATCTTGGAGGCAGCATCACAAGGCCGGGTATGGCGGACTAAACGGAAGGCCTTCACGGTACTGTCCGACCTGGTAGAAAGAACCTGTGCATGAGTGCCCACGTCTCGAATTCAAGGTATGCAAGTGTTGGAGCATGAGAACGCCAGGGGCTGCAACTGAAGGTCACTCACTATACAAGCGTTAATGAAGCATTTCAGACGTTCTCCTCCCCATTCCAGCTCCGTGTCGGCAGGAGGGGCACGAAGGTCCCGCCAATCGAGGCCGCGAGAGTGCCGGTCACAACTTGGAATGCCCACGCAGTCCACGAAGTATCCGGTTCCGCGTATGGCTCGTGTTCCGCGCGCGGTAACGGCATCGACCTCCAAGTCGTGAGATGCAGGGGCGGCGAAGACACAGTGTTTCCCTCCAAATTGAAGTCGTCATCCGGGTTCCCAGCGCAATCACATCTCGGTGAGCCGACGGGAGGAGGTGTAGGTGAATGTGTTGGGGTGCGATTGGAGGGTGAGCGCGAGGGGCGGTTGGAAAGACAACGGCTCATCGAGCAGACCACACAAGTCATGCTGAGGACTGGGTGGGACAGTTACATTGCGTCAGAATGATGGTCACATCTGGTATACGAGTACTCACCGCCATAAGCGACGCACCCTGCGAAGAGCGGCCAGGGTATTGAAACTTCGCAGTTGACTTCTGACGGGTCTGAACCGAGTGAAGTGCTATTGGAAGCTAATGCTATTCGCAGAAACATCTGGAGTGAAGTCTTTGGCAAGCGTTTGTCTTGGCAACGCTGCGAGTATGCGTGAGGATGGGAGGGGGCTCGTAGGAGTCCATGACATATCCTCAAAGAGTCTTTATAGCCAGAAAGGAGTCCGAAGCAGAACGATAGATTCTTCGTCGTCGCCTGGTCGTTCAGTGTCGTATGCGCAGGCGAATTCGAACAAAGCTAAAGGCTGGGAGGCATAGGAAACGCGGATATCCGTGCTCACTGGCAGATCGAGGCAGGATCTCTATTGGTAAAAGTGGCTTCGTCTTACATCAGATATCCAACTTCGGGCGACGGTAAGTGAAGAAGCATGAGGCAAGATATCCGGATAATGGTAAGGTATGGTTCGAAATAGACGCCCATAGCCCACGTGTACGTACAGCCGGACTGCATCCGTGCCTGAGTCTCACGGATTCGATGTCTGTCACTGACCAGCGCTCGGATCTGCACCAGTCTCCAGAGTCTAGCTGCTTGCATTGTTTCTTTACTGAGGTCCTCCCACATCTTTGCGTAACATAACAGCACGGGCGACTGGCTATGGCGGTCTCGGCCTCCACGAAAAGGGCGATTGTGGACGGTGAGTGCACCTGATTGCTGCGCGCAGGGAAGTACTCACCACGACCCCATAGTTGCTATCTTTGTGGCCTCCCAAGTATGTACCTCATCAAGCATTCCATGATATCCAAGACTGACTTCTTCGACAGGCCGCCTTGTATTACACACTAAGAGTACGTCTGCTCGTCACCGCCTACTAGGCATGACGTATTGTGCTAACTTTCACAAGTGGGTCATGGACACCATGTCACCCGTCGAACGGAAGGAGGTGAAGCAGAAGAGCCTGAAAGCCCTGGAGAGCTTAGGACACAAGGACCTCAAACTGGATGAATATGAAAGTGCGTTCACGCTTCCTGGTTCACTTGCACCTTTCCATAACGCCGTCGTTCCAGGCCAAATTGCTTCCGAGGTCATACACCCAGATGACATCGACGTTCGATTCACCGGTGAGTGTATTCGATGTTATCCAACCTGACGCGTGCTCAGCAGTTGTGCGAAGACATTGGTGGCCTGGACCCCATCATTTCCTCCCTGCGCGAGTCTGTCATCTTCCCGCTCCGCTTCCCGCACCTCTTCGCCTCCTCATCCCTCCTCGGCGCTCCCAAGGGCGTGTTGCTCTTCGGTCCGCCAGGTTGTGGCAAGACGATGCTTGCAAAGGCGCTCGCAAAGGAGTCCGGCGCAACGTTCATCAACATCGCCGCGTCCGTACTCACGAACAAGTGGTACGGCGAGTCGAACAAGCTCGTCGCGGGTCTCTTCTCGCTCGCGCGCAAGACGCAGCCGAGTATTGTGTTCATCGACGAGATCGACTCCTTCCTGCGCGAGCGCACGAAGGGCGACCACGAAGTCACGGGCATGATGAAGGCTGAGTTCATGACGTGAGTACCTTCTCGATTTGAGTTGCGACCGGGGCGCTCAGGGTAGGCATAGACTCTGGGACGGCCTCACCTCGAGCACCGACCGGATACTAGTCCTCGGCGCAACGAACAGGCCGAATGACATTGACTCTGCCATCCTCCGCCGCATGCCCAAACGTTTTTCGATAGGCCTGCCAGATGTGGATCAGCGCGAGAAAATCCTCAGCCTCGTAAGCTCTCGGCCAGCCTCCACAATTCCCGCCCGTGCTTACCCATAGTATGCAGATGCTTACAGATACCCCCCTCGCGCCTGAATTTTCAATCCGGTTACTCGCGGAGCAAGCAGACGGCCTGTCAGGTTCTGACTTGAAAGAGCTGTGTCGAAACGCGGCGATGCGCCCCATGCGCGAGTTTATGCGACAGGCCGACGGCGACCACGAGAAGCTTGCCCAAAGCCAGAACGACGTTGGTTTTTTTTTCTGCATCGCCTCCCCAATCTTCTAACGTGGTTGCTTTTTACGTAGGGATTCAAGCTGCGACCACTAACGATGGACGACTTCTTCCAGCTCGACGGCGCGAGCGTGCTCCCTGTCGACTAGCTACGTTTATAACGCGGGTTATGAAGGACATGATACCTTGTACGTATATGCTAGTGTATGGGCGTTTAATGCGATTAGATTTAGATGTTCTCTCGTACCTTCTGGACAAACCGAGTGTGTTCTGGTAAGCATCCCGTCCTCTATGGCCTGTGGGTGCCTGTGGTGGCTAGTGGTCTATTGCTTTCAGGATATCGCGATTTTAAGCTCCTGGAGACTTCAAACTTGAAGTTCAGAGCTTATCGGATGACCACTGGCATGGGTCAAGTACTAATACTCGTTGACGTACGTAATACCTGCGGTCCGTGGTTCTATCCACTCCAAAGAATTCACCCACCGTTCAAAACACAGCATCACACTGGCAGCAGACAGCTGAGCGTTACCACCTCTTGCAAAGGGCACGACGGTGACTGCTCCGAACGTGTCACCTGCGGTGGCTCCCTATCCATGTGGGTCATCAGCTGCAGCAAGAGTCTGGTGTGTACTGCGGTCATTCCGGCACTATCGAGTCGGCGGACTTCCTGTTGGAGTCCAGGTGGTGCATGTAGGTGATGCATGTAGGAGTCAGTGATATCGCTCGGGGAAAAAAATGTTCCCCGCCAGCCACGTCGCTGCCAGTGTGCGCCTGTCTAAAAATTGTAAGTCGACGTGCTATTCGGAGAGCTCGGGCATGGCACTCCGGCCATGATAGAGAACTGACACTTGTGTATCTGATAATAGGCATTGCTTTTCGCGGCTGCTGACTGCGAACGCGTTTCCAGGGGCCCGCGTTCCACGCTCATTTCCGGATATAACGTGTCGTTGTGTCGAAAGCGGAACACCTGTCTTTTACGGAAGGACCACGCACGATGCATCTGCGGCCTGTCGCAGGAAGAACCTTTGTAGGGCAAACGTAGGCCCTGATGAACAATATCTGTGTAGAGCGCTGCCACTCATACATCTATAGTACTCCCGGCCGCCCGACTGCATAGGCGGATCCGATGTCAAAAGGCACGCCGGCAGCGACGTTGACCGGATACAATGCCAGGAACTGTTCGGTGGAGAAGATGTTCAAGTTCGGGAGAAAACTCAGCCTGTCGGGATAGGGTATGTATGCATGGAGCTCTTCGCCGGTCCTAGAGCGTCTTGCACAGCCAGGTCAAAGGGTTTGAGGATCGGCGTTTGGCTGAACTCCAGTTCGATGTAGACGAATGCTCATATGATTGGCCCACAGCCAGCAATGCAGTCAGCTCGCCTTCTTGTAACAGAAAACCACAATGTGGTGGACAAGGTTTGGGTGTGGAGAACGCTGGAGCCTGGAGCGGACTAACACCACTGCAAGCAGGATACCAGCCTTCCCAGCCTCAAGCGGTTTCTACGGCGGCGCGTCAACGATGCGCAGTTCTTATCCAGAGGGAGACCCGAGAAACATCGACATCATCGAAGGTGAGTCTTCTCATCTGCTTCATATCCAGAACCAATTCCGCAGGCTACGGAAAGTTGCAGCTCCGGTAGGAACCGTCAAGCTCTGGCCTGCGGCGAGAATCGGCTCGTCATGCCGCGTACGGCCTGTTAAGGCGTGTCGTAAGGGGCATCCAGGCCCAGACGCGGGAGTATATTTGGGAGGGCGCAGTTCATCTCATGCAGTACTATCAGCCTACTTACCGATGATGTTTGAAGGGCAGCGGGAATCCGGATTTCATGGACGCACAGCGGGCGCGGCCTTTGGGATCGCTGACAACGTGCAACGGCTCAAACGCTCAATGGCATGAATAGCTGCTACGCCGCGGGGGAGATCGCGCCCACGTCCTCAGTAATCTCGGAGGGGCGAGAGACGGATATGAAGAGTATTATAGGAACTTGGATGGTATCAAAGCAGATTCGTACGCGGATCATCCAAGATGGTTGGCCGTCAAGCGCGGAGATACACTTCTTGTTCGATAAAATTTCGAATGGTGATAGCTTGTTGGCAGTGCACGGTGAGTACTATCTGGACTTGAGGAGCATCTATCGACGATCGCTCATAAACTTTGCTGAAGATGATCCGAGTCAGTGCGCAGAATCTGACAACCCGGGTAAGTACTACCTCTCGTCCGTAATATCTAGTTGTGCGGTCCGAATCCCCTGTCGGCTCAGCTGAGTGAGGCCAACGTTTCTTGAATGTTCGTTCGTAGCATTGGCGTGACCTCTATTGCGAATCGTAAAAGGTCGTCTGGGATAAACGCTACGCGGCCTGCCTGTTTGCAGATACTATTCCTAAAGAGGGTATACTTCAGCTAATGACACTTCAGTAAGACAAGGAAACTTACAAGGGTCAAGCCTTACCATAGTAGCTGTCACTTACAATTTTCTCCTCCCTCACGGAAGCTGTGCTAGAGAAACCCGATTGGGAGTATCATACTCAAACTAGCAAGTACTGGCACGGTTTGATTTCCTTCTAGATCTGCATCCAATCATTGAATTATCATGTCTTCACTCATCAAAAAACAGACAAACGGCCCGCGCTTATTGCTAGACCTCGTGGTAATTATACAACAAGATTCGTAAGTATAGAGGACCACGCAGTAAGACAGACTACACGCAGGTCGATGTCGCTCCGAAAATCAAGTCACGGCGCGATCCCACGTCCACCCAAGGTGCACCTCCTCACGTAAGGTCCGCAAAGGATATCGTGTTGTTGTCCAGGTTGTGCTGCACGTACCGCCCCTGGAACCACGTCTGGCCAATGGACCATTGCGGTGCGTCGACCGTCGACGTGCCGAGGATGTTCGCGGTGCAGATACGCCCGTCCGCTGTGCGGTTCAGCTCGTTCGCGGCGAGGTCGATGTAGTGCACTGCGGTGCTTGGCGGGAAGCTGAACCCGACGCGCGCCGGGGTTCGCGCACAATCGTACGTGCCCTGTCAAAAGTGTCGTTAAACAGGGGGCCTTGGAAAAGGGACATAGTCGTCTAGGGTGCATACCAGTGCGACGGTAATGCGGTCTTCGTTCGTCTGCTCGGTGATGTTGTACCCGACGAGGGTCAGAATGTCACGCACTTGCTGTAGCGAGCCGATAATGTTCGGTGTCCCGCTGTCGACTTTCCGAATGTCAGATGAAACAGAATGTCAACACGGCGAGCAAATGGACTGACATGTGGCCAGGATTGGGGAGAATGGCGTGCCGTCAATGACGATATTCGGCGCATCGGCCGCGGTAGCATTGGTGACCGTCCACGAATCGGTCTATGAACGAGAAAGGCAAGGTTTAGAATGCTCGTTCTTGGAGCGAACATGAAAGCGATAGGTTGCCGTACCTTCGTCGTCGGGAGCACGGTGACATCTCCCGAAATCTTCGATGTGTCTGGGTAAGAGTTGAGTGATGTAGGACTGATTATAACGACACAGTGATATCTTACCAATCTCCCCAAAGATGAAGGAGCCTTGGCGGTCTTTCCCGAGGGCAAGACCAAACTGACAAGGCATCACTAAGATACGTCGAGTGAGTTGGATGTGGTACACCCCGAAATCTGTGAGAAACTCACGGTCTCCCTGCGCGCAGATGGTTTCGATCAGGCCTTGACCACTGGATAGGTCCTCGTTGCCGGACGCGGGGGGACTGAAGCCCGCCACGCTAATATAAACGAGTCAATGACCATGGCAAATTATGAGGAAGTAAATGCACTTACCCATCGCCAGGTAGGTCGTCACCAAAAGTGATGTTACCAGCCAAGAAGTCGTGAACGGTAACTCCGGCGAACTCGATATCGTCGCGGACATAGAATATAGTCTCCTGCGCAAGTCGGTGAGTGTTACAGACGCAAGGTTCTGGTCCGAAGCAACGCACCGACGCGGGTGCTATGCCATCTTCGCTGGCGCCATTGAACTGGATGAACTCGCTGATGTTAGTCTGTTGGGTGGCGGGGCCAGGCTTGTACAGCCCCTCTTTGACCAAGATGGCAAAGCTCCCGGTATCGATTGTCAGCTGGGGACCGTCCTCAGCACTAGCCCGATAGAGAGAGCGCTTTCGAGACCCACGGAGAAGTTTTGAACACCGACAGTGAAGTCGCCACGCCAGAACCCCTAGGATCGGCATGGTAAATATGCACCGGAGCGTGAGTCTATTGCCATTTGCACACGCACCTCGCTTAACTGTAGAGGCACCGTACTGGGCAAGCCATACGCGATGGCAGCAGCAGACAACAACACTGTACCGCGGGTGAGCATGGTGAACGGATGCTTCAAGTTCTGGGTCTCAGTGAGGGCACCAGTCTTGATCAACCGTCGCTCCACTAGCCGCCCTTATATGCGTGCATTAGAAATGGCGCAGCAGTCGGCTGCCAGATCAACTTCGGGCGCGTTCGGCCTTCGACGACCGCGTATATGTACCGAGGCAGTGCCGTTTCACTCGCCATATCCACATGGCGCGGCGCTCCCACTGCGATCATTAATCTATGTATGAGTGGTGTTCCCGAGATGCTGGAACGTGTTTTGCTTGCGTTCGTAATTAATAGGGTATAAATCACTGCAGTTGCATAGAGTTGCACTCACTACAATAGTGGCAGAGGAACGATTTGATCTGCTATGATTCCGAGAAGTCAAGAGGCCTGCTCCCGCATAGTCGGATTGACGTCTATCCATCTTGCAGTACAATCAGCACATCTAGTTCAAACAGTAAAGGTCACTTACTCACAAGTAGTAGTCAACGTCTGTAGCACGTCTTGTGAACATCCGTGAAAGGACGTCTGTGCTTTCCAGAGTCATCATGAACGCAAAATGAAACGAATCGCGCAAGCGCCCTCGTAGCCAAGAAATGCGTAAATTCCGTAAGTCGCGTCACAATATGGTACATCATCTCGTCGTCAGTCCGTTCCAAACTCGTTCATGGCAATATGCAAGGCAGCGAGGCCTTGCAGCTTTTGGATCGTCACCTTCACGATCACAGGTTCAGCAGCGCGGCGATGGCGACGCCCATGAGGACCGTGAAGAACGAGACAGCGCTGGAAGCCGGCGCCGCGTTGTTCACCGTATTGCCCGCGCTTGTCGACGACGACCCGGCTCCTGACGCAGTCGTCGTCGGCGAAGTCGTCGTTTGGACTTGCGCTAGAAGATCCGGGCATTGCGGGGCGACGAGAACGTCTCCGTACGTGCTTGCAACCCAGAGAAGGACACCGTTAGTCCATCCGAAGCCGGCCTGCGCAAAGCACGGAGCGTAAGTGAGTGTGAAATGAGAAGAAAGGATAGAACATTTCCGTACCTGTACCGTGTACTCGCCGCCGCGACCAGCGGAGTCGATGTCCGACGTCGAGAACTTCTCAAACATCTACATGCCACATATCAGATGACTGCAGAGGCGCGCCGCCGCAAGGAGGAATGGAGGAGGGACTAACATTGCCGGTATTGGTAACGCTCTGGGTGACATTCAGCTCCTGGTCAGACAGCCTGGGAAGCAGGTTGGGGATCTGGCCACCGGTCGCATGCCTGTAGCGGAGCGCGCGCATGAGCGGACCACATACATCCCAAAATAGCACGACCACGTACCAGCTGCACAGTGTGCTCGCGACGTAGCGGTTCGCAAGCTGCCTCTGCAGCGCCGCAGCCCACCCCTCTCCGCTGGTGGCGTTGCCGCCGTTGACGACAGTGCCGTTAAGCGTGTTGATATCCGCCCCATTCCCGGTCTTCGTGGCGTTCGCGCCCGTGCCGCTGATGAGTTGCCCGGGGAGCGCAGCCTCGTCCACACCGATCTGGCCGGAAGGGAGCAGATCGAACGTCGAATTCCCTGCTGCGGGCGTGGGAAGCGCGCCGGAAGTAACGTTGGCGGGGAGCGCACGCAGAGCCTGGAGCGCGATGTGCTGGTGCGGCGGCCATGCGTTCGGAGCGTCCCACTGCTGCCCGCTCTCGAGGAAAGTGACGGGGAATGTGCCGTTGTAGCGGTTGAGCACCATGTTAAGCGCAGCGAACACTCCGAAGGCGTTCGTGCTGGAAGAGAGCACCTCGTCGGGAATGATCCCGTTCCACAGGGGGTAGAACGTTGCACTCGTGAAGAGACTGTTGCGAGCGTTCGAAGTGAGGTTGAAGTCGTAGAATGCGAGCTTGGACGAGTCCCAGAACAGGTCGAGCACGCCAGCGCGGAAGGTGCTAGCGGTCGAGCGATGGGTCGTCGCTGAAGAATTCTGCTTCTGCGTGGAGTACAGGTCCGCAAGCAAAGTATGTGCCTTGTCTGATGGCTGTCAGAAGATTGTAACAGAGTCCGACATTGAAAACTCACAAAGGATACTGTTCAGGCAGACGGGGATAGTCTTGCGGATGTTCAGAGTACGCAGTGCCGGGTTCGTGTTGTTGCTGCCGCCAGCAAGAGGCTGCGCCATCCAGCGACTTGAGTAGTCCCAACCAGTCTCCGCACCGGACGCGAGCTCGGCATACAAGTCAGCACGCTCCTGCTCAGTCAGGGGCGTTGACAAGGTAGGATCATTCGCGGTCAGGTAATCTAGTAGACAACGCCTCTCGTTAGATGTCCATGAGCGTGATGCTTAGTCCAGACGTACCTTCCAAGTATGATTCAGGACGAGGGGCAGAGTTGTTCACCGCATAGTGCGCCATGGCGTACGTCCGGTTTGTGAACGGGCTGGTGACGTTCAACGTACGGTTGTCCGCCCACCACTTGAGCTCTTTCTCAGCCAGTGGCAATGCGCGTTTCAGGATGGACGTGTCATTGCTGGCCGCAACATAGTCCGAGAGCATCTTGAGCTATGCGTTAGTAGAGGCAGGGTGATGGCGCGCCGACAACTTACATGGATGAACAGCGGAGGCTGAGAGCGATCCAAGTCTGCGGCGATGTCAGCGTCACATATACGCGGGTTTCGTGAAACTTACAGTAAATCCGGCCTCCGTTCGGAATAAATCCGAAATTCTCGATCTCATCCATAAAGTTCTGGAGCGTGTCGTTAACAGTGGAGAACAGCTCCGACTCGATGAGACCTTGTATGATCCAGTAAGAGTCCCAGTAGTCTGTTGCTATCGTTTAGTATCGTTTGTTACCTGCAGTACCTTTTACTCACATTGCTCGCGGAAACGGCCGCCAGGAACGACGAAGGTATGGTTGAGCGGTATAAGTGAGCTTTCGCACTTGCCACTTGTAGTACCCTCCGGGCACAAGGCTGTTTGGTTTGTGTTCCTAACGAGCTGCGTCCAGAAACCATGGACGGTCTGAGAAAACGCCTTGATCAAGGGGTCCGCAACTCCGTTTAGGAAAGACGGTTCGTCCTTGAAGTCCGCAATCGTCACAGCCTCAAGTTCGAGACCTTCTCCACTGAAATCGTTGTCCACGAAATTCAGGAGATCGCCTTCGGTTACGCTGTTGTTATTGAGCGCGTTGAAGTCCGAGAGCACTTGTTGAGAAGATTTCGAAGTGGGCTTGTCCACGAAAGTCTTGGAGTCCGGGAACAGGCGTGCCAAGTTCACGGTTTGAATGAGCTAGTGGGATACTTCGGGGTGAGCAGATATAAAAATTACAACGGGGTGCAAGACATACCGCTCCCGCACAGAAGATGCTACTTGGGCACCACGACTGAATGGGCGGCACAGGGACCTGGGACGGGATGGTCGACGAAAGCGGAGCTGAGGGACTTGCCACCGCAGTCGAGATGGTCACGGTGGGCGGCGCCGTTGCGCTGCTGGGAGCGGCCTGGGGCAAGGCATGGGCTCCCTGAAGGAGAGCCGAGGTCAGCACCACTGCAGCAGTCGTGTAACGCATCTTCTCCGGGTCGTCGGTGGACGAGGGGTGAACGTTGCGCAGGTCCGCTTTTTATACCAACATCGAGCGTCTTCAGTCACCGCCAGCCGCTGACGCGCGCCGATTCCCACCCCTCGCGCACTTCTCGTATTTGGCAGATGCGTGCGGGGCGGGGCATGTGGATGGTCGCCGAGCCGTAATTCAGAGGCAGCGGGCGGTCTGCTGACCTGATCGCGCTGGGCAAGGCAACTTCCAATCATTCGACGTCATGGCCGCAGGTCGGGATCCTGCAAGTGCACCCCGCATGTCGTCCACTCCGACCGTTCGAAGTCCAGAGCTTGAGCTTGCGCGCGTCCAGAGAGTATGCGGAAGACGTGAAGCTGACAGCATGGCCGACATCCACGCTGGGAAGGATAGATCGGGTGTGGGGAAATGAGCACTCTATTTCCCCAGACGAAAGTGATGGCGTAGGCCCAGCGTCCAGAATCCGGCCACTGACGCTGTGATGGATCAATCATCCGCAAGTCCGGTCTCATGCAATTGTGGGTTCCCCTCTGGCGCTATCCGCGAGTAGAGAAGCTAGGAAAGACTCCAGCGGTTCGTTGGTATGTACGAGGGAGAGACGTTGGTCACTGAGTGAAGATGCAGAAAGACGACGACGCGAAAAGAGATGCAAATTCGAGCATTTCCAGCGTTATGGCAGGTTCAAGCGGAGCATGTCGGCAGGTGTCATCGCTACTGGATGACTTGTGTCTCCGACACCCAGTTTTGATTACCGCTACGGCACGAAGCGCCGTAACTCACGCCTTCGCCGCTTGTGTCCTACCGCTACCTTCGCTCACTGTTCTTACCCGTTCTGTCTGGTCAATATGCAGCCCAATCGAATGGGGCTTGGTGCACGGCCCCCAATGCCTTCCTATGGCCAGGGACCCTCAATCTCAGCTCTTGCAGCGCAACAGCAAATGCAACATCCTCAGTTCGTGCCGCCGCAACCAAAAGCAATCACCCTCTTCATCGGTTCAATCTCAGGAGGCATAACAGACGGATTTCTCAACGACATACTTAGCGTGCGTTCTGCTGCGTATGCTAGTGAATGGACTACTAACCCCTCTGCAGGCCTGCGGCCCCGTTATCTCCTTCAAGCGGCTGATCACTCCTGCCAACAAGCCCCAAGGATTTGGATTTGCTGAGTTCCAAGATCCTGACAGTGCTCTTCGTGCTATGGCGCTCTTGAACGGAGTTGAGCTACCTGCATTAGAAGATGGGTGCGTAAACAAAAAGCTTTTGGTATGTACCCTTGTTTGAGTGAAACCTACTCCCAATAATCGTTGTTCGCATAGGTCAAAGCAGACGAACGGACAAAGTCATTCCTCGAGGCATATCAGGCTCAGAAGATGCGGACAGATGTACGTGGCATATCTATATCTCGTCGTCTTGTCTTGGGAAAACAGGGTTAGCTCGCGAGTAAAGTTGCGGCACCTTCTTGCGCCTCCACTCTACCCGCGAGCCCGCAGCATCGCCCATGTACGGACTCGCTAGTAGGCGTGGGAGTAGTCGGGACATGGACCGCTTTCTAGGATGCTGAGTAGCTCACCGCGAATAGACCCTTCTCACGCGTCCCCGACTGCTCACGGGGTCCGGTACGTGCGGAGCACATGTCCTTGAACCTATACCTGTACCCGTCATCGCTCACTCCATCTGTTCGGAATGTATCCGGATGATGTTGCCCCGTGTGCAAAAATAACGGGCAAGCATGTCGTATGATCGGAGGCTCCAAACGAGAAGTAGCGCTAAGCATTACACTCCGCATTCAGGCCGACGACGAGCAAGTACGCCAGGCCAAAGGCCGAGTGGACGCGATGCTCAATGACATCAACAAGAAGTCGCAAGAGGCAGCAAGTAATGGGCTCATCGACCGGGAGAAGTACGTTATCCCACCCCATCTGCACGATCTCCAGGAGGCCGACCTGCCCGAGACACAACGCGGTCTCGTCATGACCGAGATTGCGCAGTTCCGCGAACGTGCCGCGAAGCGCGAGCGCGAGAAGATGCGCGATGTACGGGAAGCCATGCCAAACGTTCTCGCCGCCCCGAGCGGACCTAAGGTCCGCGAGTGGGGGAAAGCACAGCTACAGGAGGAACTACCACAGGGTGGAAAGGGATTCGGTAACGGTGCGCAGGGGTACAACAAGCCTGTCGGTTTTGTCAAGGCCGACGATGGGGGCTATACGCCTAGGTCGGATAGGCCGTCGTCCGCCCGACCCACGAAGACTGACGAAGAGCTGGAGGCGGAGAGACGAGAGGCACGACGACGAGACGAGGAGAATTCCTACAAAGACGTGAGTCCACGCCACCATACGCCTGTGATTCGTTAACTCTGCTTGCCCTTCAGCGAGAACGTCGCTATGAGCCTCGAGAGCGTACCCGAATAACGGCGCTGGAACGTGCTATCACGCGAGAGCGGGCAATGAAGGAGGCGGAGGAACGGGATCGGTCAGAGATGCGCGCCCGGTTGGATGTGTGGGACGATGACGAGAGCGATGAGATATTCTACACCGACCGGGCCCGGTGGCGAGCACTACGCTCCCGACGGCTCGCAGCCGAGCAAGCAGCGGACGAAGAATCGCGGCTCTACGAGGAGCGGGAGACGGACAACCTACGTCGGGAGTCCGAGGCGTTCCTTGCACGACAGATGGACGAGATGCAGGCTCTGCAAGACGAGCAGCGCAAGGCCGGCATGCTCCTCGACGATGGCGCCCCTGTCAAACTCGGTGTGTCCATCACTGCGGCTGCGACAAAGAAAGCGGATACAGCGCCAAAGGAGAAGGCGGCGACCTTGTTCGGGCAGGAGGAAGAGGAGGAAGAAGCTATCAAGAAGCGGAAAGTACCACTACCAAAGCTGGATCTTGCGGAGAGTGGCGAGAAGGCGAAGGAACGCCTGGAAAAGATCCGGAACGAGGTCACGCGCGACAAGGAAACGCTCTTCAAGAGCAAGGTCCGTTGGGACGGTGTCTCCGACGTGAGTTTAAACCAGGGGATGCCATTCGACGGTGCTGACCTGTGTTCAGGTCATGATCGACAGGAAACTAGAACCGCTTGTCAAGCGGCAGATGACGAAGTACTTGGGCGAACTCGAAGACGACGACTTGATTATGTTCGTCCTAGAGCATCTCAAGGACCACAAGGGACCCCAGAAGCTCATCGAAGGTCTCGAGCCGGTGCGTGTCCAGTTGCTTCCCGTTTTGTACCTTACGTCCAGGCGGCATGTACACACGAATATCGCTCACCCATGGGCGCATACAGGTACTCGAAGAAGAGGCATCCGAGTTCGTCGTCAGCATCTGGCGCCAGATCATCTTCGAGAGCATAGCCTACGGCGAAGGCCTACACACCGAGAAGCTTATGGTCGACTAAACCTCCCTCCTCAATATTGTCTTGCTCGCCCGAAGACCGCGGAGGGCGTCGGAGATGCAGAAGGAGGAGCCTCCGAGTGCGGTGCTTGGGGCAGGTACGTTTGCGTAGTATCAGCGTGCTTTCCACTGAGATGTACAAGATATGCCATGCCATGCGAATCGTCTACTTCTGCTTACCGTCACGGTGTGGCTTTCGCGGAGACGGGGCGGGTCGCCAATGCGGTGGTGTCGGTCCGTGCAGTTGCGTCGCGCGGCAGTGTCGTGAGTTGCATATTCATCCGGCGTTGTGGCAAAGATGATGGTTCGCACTTCGATCTGCTCCAAAGAGCGGCTGTTCAGCGCGCTTTATCATGCAAGTCCGGCGTTGCGTTGCGATGGGAGGCTGGTGGCTGCCATGTCGTCGTCCCTGATGAGTGCCCACCTTTTTCTGCGCGGAGCTATTGACGTGCCATGATGGAATACGGTCTCACGCAACGAAGCACTTGTTGCTCTCACGCCGAAGCCCTGGTCACGCAGTACTTCATTTAAGACTACGGTGATCCGTGGAGGTGAGTTCTCAATTTTGTTTGCTAGTAGTATCATTGCCTGGCGTAGGTAGGCGGTGAGTCAGTGTCATTCCTTGCAGCAATATATACGTCTCTTCTCCTCTTCTGGCTAGTGGATGTGACTGTTCCAACATGCTCCGTGTTCCGTCATACCAGGTCTACCCAATGAGTCGACGTTGTTGCAAAGTATGACGGTTTCATCGACCCGCGCGGGCCTCAAATTCACGGGCCGTATCTTCCTTTTCGTCTCGTATCACGAACGCAGCGAGGCAGGATTCTTGATTTCTTGGGTACAGGGCTGGGGCTGACATCTAACTTGAAACGCCTACAGCTTTTGCTGAACAGCGCTCAGCACCCACACACCAGGCTGCCACCCCCGGTCCAAACGGCACTTCTCCTAACTCTGGACATCTTCATCCGCCTGCGCGCGGAGCGCGTTGTATTATCCCCCGTGCCCTGCGGTGTGTCTGCGGTCGCTGGTGAGAGTGAAGTGCGCCTCAAGGCAGTATAATCGTTGGATTTAGCGGCAATCGATTGCATCGAGGGTTTTAAGGGGGATGCCCTCCTTCCACTAACCCTGGCTATCTCCATAGCTAAGCCCACATCCTCACTCTATCAGCAGGCCGTAAGACTTCGCAGACCACTCCGAGGACTCCTGTGGTTTGCCAGCGGCTCCGTTGCGTCGCCCAAGTGTTGAGGCCACATTGATCCGAGGATAGTCGGCGTGCCTCCCCATAACGGAGATACGAGCGCGGAGTACAAGGACTGACATTTTGGGAATGGACTCGCGAAGCTCACGGTACGTATGCCATCGGTGCCGTAGACCTCCCCGTCCAGATTCGTGCTCACTGACTCGCAGTGGGACTCTCCGTCGGAGCGCAACACCAGTTGCGAAGGGCCCGCTGCGTAGAACAGACCACAATGTGTTGGATGGCACCCACATAGATAAACAATGTCGGAACGTCATTACGGCTAGGCTTTAATGAAGGCCCCGCCCATCCGGTACGTGGCGGCCATGACTATCCTCCCGCGTGAGATCGCGCCCCCCTCAACCTGACACATCTACGCTGCAGTCGGCCTGCCGCCTTTGCTCTGTATGACGTTGCTTGGTCTCGCGGAAGGGGAGAACCATGTCGCTCGGCTCGGAGATGAAATCAGATTCACGCGATCACTGTAAGCTGCCCCTTATACCCGGCCCTCCATGCTCTGATGATCAGTCCGAACGCAACGTCTACTCCGCAGATTCTCGAAGTACGCGTCGCTTCTCCCAGCACCTCGTCCCAAACCGTCCACAGTGACTCTGTGTGAGACGGCAGCGGGAGGGCGGCCGTCGCGCGGAGTGCTGCTCGGCGGGCCCAAACGGTGGGCACGCCGTCACGCCGACGTCTCTTATAGCCAGGCGTCGCGCCAGTCTGGGAGCCAGCCTCGGCACCCCACCAACCGGCATGTTCGACCCAAGCTCCTCAGACTCCGAAGAGTACGACGCGTACGAGCGCCAGCTCGGCCCCAACCCGTCGCTCGCGCTCGTGCAGTACCCTCAGATCGAGCAGCTGCGCACGACGCTCAGCGAGACGCTGCCGTACTGTTGCGGCACGATCGTTTTGCCCACCGACAGCGTCATGCTGTACTACGGCAAGACCGACCTCGCCAAGTATGTTCTTTCATCGATCAAACCACACGCTTAGTACTTAATCTGCAATATAGGCGTCTCGATCTGCTGCACGCGTCCGAGGCCGCCCTAGCTGACCTCGAGGCAACGTGCGAGCCTGCTACACTCGGAACGCCCCAGAGGGGCGTGGTCGATGCGACGTATCGGCCAGCCGCTCAGCTCTCCCGAGAGCACTTCGCCATCAATCTAGACGTCGAGCACTTGGGTGTGCTGGAAGCCGTACGAACAGGGCTGTTCACCGGCAAAGAGCAGCACCGCTCGGTACAGGCAGAACTACGCGAACTTAACATATACGGTAAGCTGGTTCCACCGTCTTTGTTTTTCGTGTCTTGCTCACTCTTAAATTGTAGGGGAAGGGTCCTTCTACAAATCCCACAAAGACACCCCCCGCTCTACATCTATGTTCGCCTCCCTCGTGCTGATATTCCCCACCCTGCACGCGGGTGGGGTGCTCTGTATTCAGCACGATGGTGGGCATTGGGCATTCGACGCTGCGGCCGTGCTTGCAGATGCCTCACGCTCTAGCCCGCGTGTTGCCTACGTAGCTGTGTACAGCGACGTAGAGCACGAGGTGACTCAGATCACTTCTGGCCACAGAGTGACGATCACGTACAATCTGTACTACACCGATGAACCCCAACCTGGCCTGGCTGCCAGCGTCGAGGTGATCCAGCCGCGGGGGGCAAGCGGTCACAGGCTGAAGAAGACGCTCGCGTCCCTTCTTCAAGACGCCTCTTTTCTTCCCAACGGAGGCACGCTCGGGTTCGGTCTCCGCCACGGGTACCCTTTCCCGACGTCGTTCAGCGCGCATGAAGATAACACCCTTGAGACTCTTCGGGACAAGCTCAAGGGTGTAGACGCCGCGCTCTTCCGGGCCTGCAGCGAGCTCGTCGGAGCCGCGCCCGTCTTCTACACCATATTCGAAGCGAGTGATCAAGTTGCCGCGGACGGGCGCCGCGCACTCGTCGCATGCCCGCGCGTCGTCAAGTTCCACAGCCACGACCTCGACAACAAGGATGAGCTGCCCGTCTGGGAGAAGCTCTGCCGCAAGTGGGACGGTGCGCTCGTCAACTTCCCGCCCGAGCAGCTCGCCGCCAAGGAGCCCACCGCCGTCCAGAGTTGGGTGGTGCATTGGGTCACACCGCTCTCTGAGGTGAATAGGGTGAAGACGCGCTTCGCGGCGTATGCGGGCGAGCCCATGATTGGGTATCTGTACCAGCGTATCTGCATGCTGGTCAAGGTAGGCCCACCTGGGTCCCGCCTGGCTGTCTGACGTGTGCATCAAAGAAGCAAAGACGTGCTCAAGCCATGTGTTCCTAGCTATCGTTTCGTTTCGCTTTCCACCGCTATCTGCTCTATAAAACATACATCGACCCTTGTTGTATCTGTACTCGCGTTGTTTCCTCACCTCTGCTCTGCTCGTAATGCTATCACTACTACAGACGCGTTCGAGGGGTGTGATTTTGGGCCAAGCGTTGAGTATTTAAATACGCAGGCCCGCCTGAATGCCTGCGATTTCTATGTCGCTGAGAGGGTGAGCGCATGGCGGCAAAACATACCCTAAAATGGTAAGTATGATACTTAATTGCATGTTCAGCGACAACTCCACGCCGATAAAAACTCACAGCTGGCCTTATTAAATAAAGTATCCTGCTCTCGTGTGCGTGTATACCGGTGCAGACGTCCACCCACAAGTGAGTGAATATTCGAGTGAGTTTTGGCAGCGAGGGCCTGAAGGAGCCTTGCGTCGCTAGCGCCCATGCGGTGCCCGACGTAATGTGAGCGTCTCTGAGTGCGAAATATGAGGCGGAGACTCGGCGGTCGCCGTTTGCGCAGGTCCTGGTGAGGCGGTCGTCGTCGCCGTTCGACCCAACGTCCACATCGTCGAGCTCGCCCTCTTTGCCGTCCAACTCCTTTCTTTGAACACGTCACTATGTCCGAGCTCTGCCCCGTCTACGCGCCCTTCTTCGGTGCCATGGTGCGTGCAGCTCGCCACATGGTGCAATTCGGCGCGACTGACCTATGACGAATGTGAACTGCAGGGCTGCACCAGCGCCATCGTCTTCACTTGTAAGTCCCAGCGCGCATCCAGAAGTTGTTCAGCTCACTCACGCGCACTGTACAGGCATTGGTGCCAGGTGAGAAACATACGCACTCGTGTTGGCCTACGCTGCGCAACGACTAATCACGAAACGCGTCAGTTATGGTACCGCGAAGTCAGGAGTTGGCATTTCTGCCATGTCGGTGCTCCGGCCTGACCTGATGATGAAGTGTGTCATCCCCGTCATCATGGCTGGTATCATTGCTGTGAGTGTACTCAAAGCTTGCATGCGGGCAAACGCGCTGACAGCATGGTCAACAGATCTACGGCCTCGTCGTCTCCGTCCTCATCTCCGGCAACTGTACGTAGTGCGCATACATCCGTATTGGAGGCACCACTCACACTTCAATTGCAGTGTCTATGCACATGACCCTGTTCCAGGGCTTCGTGCAGCTCGGTGCCGGTCTCTCTGTCGGTCTTGCGGGTCTCGCGGCCGGTTTCGCGATTGGCATTGTCGGTGACGCTGGTGTACGGGGAACCGCTCAGCAGCCACGACTCTTCGTCGGCATGGTCAGTGCTATGTGTCGTGTTATGCATGCGCCGTGCTTACAAGTTCTCCCTAGATCCTTATCCTCATTTTCGCCGAAGTCTTGGGTCTGTACGGCCTCATTGTCGCCCTCATCATGAACTCGAGAGCTGGTGACGTCGCAGGAGCGGTAAGCACGCCTCCTCGCAGGAGATTTTTTGCATACTGAATCTCTCACTGCAGTGCACGGCATGAAATAGTTGACGAGTGATACCAGGAGCTGCGGAGGGCGCACAACAGGAGCTCATGCCATACATGGACGCTTCGCCGCGCGCCTCCTCCTATGAACTTTGTCGCATACAGTCAATGCTCTCGCTTCCGCTTCTACACCCATGTGCTGTACGGTACATATAATACCACACTTTCCCAGCGAGATATGTTTGGAACGAGAGGAACGTGCGACGGAGGTCTGACGTGGCTTGGGCGTCTGCCGCTAGATAAGATAACTTTAGCATGGATTGGATGCGTTCCTGGTCCGCCACTTGCACCCGCACTCGCCATCTCTCACCGTCACCCCACCACAACCCACGACGTGGCCGGCATCGACAACGACGGCGAGCACCCTTGGCCCCAGGATGCTACTGTCTCTGCCGACGTCCCTCCTCGCTCTCCTCTTCGCTTCGCCTGTGCTGTCGGGCCCGACTACACCGAATGACCTCTTTCATGACATAGCGGTGCTTGCGCGCAAGCAGCCAGAAGAGCCGGTGTGCTGCTTGCGGCCCCTCTCTCCTCTGGAATCTCCCTCGGAAGATGACCTTCTACTGTCGTTTGAGGAGTGGAAGGCTAAGCGGTTGTCAGACGCAACGGAGCGGGAGCCTACCTCTGCACAATCAGCACCACAGAGACCCGCTGAGAATGCCTCCCAGGCGGTCGTCCCGGACGCTACTCCGCAACATACCGACGCTCAAGGCTCCATACCCTCCGATGTCCAGGAGAGCGGAACAGCACAGGAGGTCGTGCCGTCACACCTGCAGATTCCAATTCACGACCGCTTCAATTATGCCTCCCTCGACTGCTCAGCACGCGTGCACGCAGCACACAAGACCTCGAAGTCTCCCTCATCTATCCTCTCGTCGAAGAAGGATCGATATATGCTCAGTCCTTGTGCGGAGCAGAAGCAGTTCGTGATCGTAGAGCTCTGCGAGGACATCCGGATCGACACCGTGCAGCTCGCGAACTACGAGTTCTTCAGCGGGGTCTTCAAGGACTTCACTGTGAGCGTGTCGAAGAAGTACTACCCGAATGACCCGGAGAGCTGGACTTTTGCGGGCACGTACCGAGCGAAGAATGCGCGTGGGGTGCAGGTGAGTAGACTTCGCTGCACATGTGAGGCCATATATTGAACGCTATGAAGTCGTTCCACCCTCCGCCGACGCTACGCGGTTTCTACCGCTTCATACGGATCGACTTCCACTCCCACTATGGCAACGAGTACTACTGCCCTCTGTCTCTGCTCCGTGTCTACGGTCTTACACATTTGGAGGAATGGCAATGGGAAACGTGGGATGCGGAGAGCCGTGCGAAACGGTCGATAGAGGAGGCGAGCTCGCCTGTGGAGGTCCTCGCTGAACCGCCTATGCCCCTACATGCCCCCGTTCTGGAGCAGCAAGTCGAGGAGAAGAGCGGTTCTCCGTCAGTGGTGTCTGACGATATCCCTCCTTCACCGGGGTTCTCTACCGAGTCTGTGGCCACTGTCACCTCAGACTCCCTCCCTTCTGCCCATGACGGCCCCTTACCTTCGTCGTATACTTTGGAGACGATCCCGAAGACGGCGGACCTACACGTCGGTGCCCAGCATCAAGCACACACAGAGACGCTCTCGTCCACACCCAAAACCTCTGCCCCTGCGGACAGCATGCCTAATGACCCCTCACGACCCCCAACCGACTCTCTGTACAACACCAAGACCGCCACGATTCACTCCTCCGCCAGTGTGTTCCTGTCGCAATCTTCACTGGCTTCATCATCTTCCCACATTCAATCTCAGAACCTCTCCACCGCATCTGACAATCACTCAACTATATTTATCGACACTCACTCGGATTCTAGCTCTCACTCTGCATCTTCTCATTCCTCATCGAATCGCTCTTCCGCTGCGTCACCCCACGTCTCTTCTCTATCAGTCGTCTCCTCTTCATACTCTCCTCCCGCCCCGCCCGCCCCTCCTGCATCGACCGGTGGAGAATCCATCTACCGCCTGATCATGAACCGTCTCACCGCCCTCGAAGCGAACACGACCCTCTACGCCCGATACGTCGAAGAACAGACCGCAGGTATGCGGGAAGTACTTCGACGGCTGAGCGAGGACATCGGTCGCCTGGAGAGCATTGTGAGTCCCTATATGCGGTGAAATCCACCCGTGCTCAATAGATCGCATACAGGGAAAGACACAAGCTCAGTTGTACCAGCGCTCTGTCGTCGAGCTGGAGAAGCAAACTCGGAGACTAGAAAGCGAGCACAAGCAGTTGGTCTCACATGTTAACCATCTCACCGACGAGGTTCGTCCCGCGCCCCCGAGTCGCTGCATGTCACTTTGCTCATTTATTGCTATAGGTCGTGTTGGAGAAACGCCTCGGCATCGCACAATTGTGCCTCCTCCTGACTGTACTTGTCTTTTTGGCACTCACGCGCGGCTCGAGGGGCGAGGTTGTGTACCCCAAGCGTGGCTCGACCATGCGAGAGTGGGGTCGTCGAACGCTGAGTATCAGCGGAGACTGGGTCAGCCGTCTACGAACTCGCAGTACGACTCCCCCGCGGCAGCCCGGACAGAAACCTGGAGGTAATTATCTGGTTCAGCTCATTACAGCGACGATGTCTGACATATGTTACCTACGCTAGAGAACGAAGTCGCTTTCCCCTCTCTAGACATGCAGGCTGTCGATCAACTATCGCGCAGTAATCGCCGAGCACCATCGGTCTCCAACGGTACTCGCAGACATGCCGCCCGGGCGCATACACCCACCTCCCACCGCACCCCCACCTCCCGGCACGCCATACATCACCGAGCCGTGCCATCCTCTCCCTCTTTCCACCTCCCTCGGCCCAGCATTCAACGCTCGAGCTCAGGGAGCATGACACTTGGTTTCGGCGGCATAGGGCCTGTGCCTAAGTCGGCCAAGCGCTGGGCGCGTAGTGCGCACCTACACGAAGTGAAGGGCGCCACCACGTCCTCGCCAAGCGTGGAGGGTCTGCGTCGTCGGAAGTCTGGCGAGGCGACGCCTCTCGCGTCCATGCCTGCAAGTGATGCAGACACAGAGGACGTCTTCAACCCACCGTCACAAGCACAGGTCCTCACCATTCCCTTCCTCGACGGCTCGAATACTATCAGTAAAGGCAAGGCGCGAGCTATCGGGCTTCAACCGCTCCGACAACCCTCACCTCTACGGGCATCCCCTGTTATCGACCTCGCATCACCCCCACCACCCGCACGCGGCCGCGGTTTAGGGAGACGCCCTAGTCAAGCGGAGTCCGAGGTGAGCGAGGGAGACGCCTGGGTGGATACGGACATGGACGGTTCGGAATGCGATCTGGCGATGGGCTCGGACTCGCTCGGGCGCGAACGGACATACACTGGGCCTTCGGCGAATAGCTCGCTTTAACCGCGCGGGATCTCCTACAGGTCGTTGATTCGTGTACATGTTCTTGTTTGTGGCCAATTCTACTTCTGGATGGATTATTCGATTGCCTCTCTACGCGCGCCGCCAAGCATGCGCGATGACATGGGCCGCCGCACAAGGTTCCATCGCAAACATTTGGCCCACATCATTGTTATCCCCACTGGCATTGGGGTTACGTCTAGATCCAACCTGGAGCAACGATTCTCTGGGCAACGGGTCGCCGTACACATACGACTACGCCCAGGCTCTCGAATCTTGAACGCCGCTGTGAGTGATGCCACACTCGCCGTGCTTCCTGCGAGCTGATGGGAATGAACATACATGTTCGCACTTCGGATGCAATATCCTCCTGCTGTCCTCCGGTCAACGGCAGTTCACAATCGGGCGTTGGGTACATCCGATACCTCGAGGCTCGCTTGTTGCCCCTCGCCTGGGCTCGCCATACGTACGCTACGTACGGTGAGTATACCGCCGGCATAAACGAGGTCATCGCCGGTACCATATGAGCCGGAAGCCGGAGGTACGCCCGACCGCGCGCTCGGAGTCGGTAAAAGGATGGATACAACTTGTCGGTGAGTTTCTCGGCCTTCTGGATGTTTGCGGGAACTTTTCGAGAGATGTGCGGGATCCGCCAAGGAAGTGTGCACCCGGGCAATCTAGATCGACGGTGGTTCAAGCTGTGCACCCGGTCCGCGCTCCCCGAAAACATCGGTGTCGCCGACGCTATTGTATCCGGGCCCGCGACGCAATCTTGAAGACCTTCAATTTCTATATTTACAGGGAGACCTCTAGAGCTGCTCGGTGTCCAGTACTAGTGGACGCTGGACAGCCAAGAAACATGCAGGAGATATTTTCTCATGTTCGTACTTCCATGCTGACTTTTCATGCTGAGCACACGAAATACGCTCGGGCCCAACGAAGCACCGATGCTGCGAGTTCGTTGAACCTATCCTCCCGCGCAACTACCGCGCAGTAGCTTAATCGTATTTGCCCGGCTTGTCCCTCGACCGCGAGCCTCCTCGATGTTGCTCCTGATTTACCGGGGGACATGCCGACTCCAACCGATGACCGGGTGTACCTGCCACCATGAACAACGTGGACATCGGTGCCCGTTATGGGATCACGACGGTGACGTTTCCTGTTGCCGCCACGATCGAAAGATTCGAAACGCCTTTGCACCTCTGCGTCGAACCTGGCCCGTACCCGCAGTTGTCCGCAGATTTCAACAAAAGGCGCGACACCAAGCGCTAACCTTCCAAGACAGTGCTGGTCATCACCCCCGTCAAGCTTCACCGCGTGAATCCGCGATTACGTCTCGTCCGGACATCGACACCACATTGCCTCCGTAAGTCCAATTCCTCGTCTTCGCGGGCGCTGCACACTTACGGTTCGGGGACGTACAAAGCCGTCCAGAGTTCTCGAGATGTCGCATATAATAGGCGGCCTGCTGCAGGGCCTTTCGCTATCACCACAATCCACCATGCCTGGCACTCCCATCCCCACTCCCCCCGCTGTTCCATTCCTCGGTCATGTCAACACCATCGACAAGGACCTGCCCATACGCTCGCTCGATCTCCTCGCGCGGCAGTACGGAGAGATCTACCAGCTCAACGTTCTGGGTGAGTGCGAGCGCCGTGCTATGTTTTCCATGCTAATGAACATCGTATAGGTGATAAGAGGATCTTTGTGAACTCTTACGCGCTCCAGAACGAAACCTCCGACGAGAAACGTTTCGCGAAGAAGATCTCGGCGAACCTAAACCAGGTCCGCAACGCCGCCGGCGATGGTCTCTTTACCGCCCGCGTCCCGGAGGAGCAGAACTGGTACATCGCCCACCGCCTCTTGATGCCCTGCTTCAGCGCAGCGAACGTGTACGGCATGACGGACGACATGATGGATATCATCTCTCAGCTGACCCTGAAATGGGAACGGTGCGGCGTCCACACTACCGTATTCGTATCTCCGCAAGGGGCTGATGTGCCTCCGTACCAGATTCGGGTCGAAGGATGTCATTGACCCTGCTTCGGACTTCACACGGCTGACGCTGGATGCGATCTCGCTGTGTGCGATGTCGTTCCGGTACGTCCGAGCTTGGCGAACGCGTCAGGTCGATTGCTCACAGAAGTGTACCCAGCCTGAACTCGTTCTATCGGGTGGGCATTGCAGTTTACATAGCGATGCCGACGGCCGTCTGACGTCTGCTTTTGTTTTTAGGAGGATCTGCACCCCTTCGCCCACGCGATGGGTGACTTCCTGATCGAGAGCGGGAAGCGTGCCAACCGCCCGACCATTGTTCAGAGCATGATGTCAAGCACGAACGCGAAGTACGAAGAGGACCAGAGAATCCTGGGACAGCTCGTCAATGAAAGTACGTTACCAATGTCTGATACGAAAAGCTAAATTGAACGGCCTTCGTCCCTAGTTCTGGAAGAACATCGTGCCCACCCTCCGGCGAAGCAGGACATCCTGAGTGTCATGCTGAACGGCCGGGACAAGGAGACCGGGCTCGGTCTCTCCGACGAGAACATAAAGAATAACGTACGTGCACGCTTGTCACAATATCCGCATGCTTTCTGATACAGTTTCGTGTAGCTCCTGACCTTCCTCATCGCTGGTATGTTTTACTACATGCGCATATTCGAACCGTACTAACCCTCCGCAACAGGCCACGAGACGACCTCAGGCATGCTCACCTTCACTGTATACTACCTGCTCAAGAACCCCGCAACGATGCGGAAACTCCGCGAGGAGATCGACACCCTGATCGGCGACCGGCCCATGGCGTCCAAGGACGTCAACAAGCTGCCCTATCTCCTCGCGGTCCTGCGCGAAAGTCTGCGCCTAGGGCCGACCGCACCTGCGCGCTCCGTGGCTCCGCACGAGGACACGACGATCGGCAGCAAGTACTTCGTGGAGAAGGGCACCTCGATCGTCATCAACACCTACAACGCCCATAGGGACACTGCCGTGTGGGGCGAGGACGTACGTGATCACTGCACTGCCGAAGCGGCCGGCCTCTCACGAAACTTGTAGGCCGAGGTGTTCAGACCGGAGCGGATGCTCGACGGCAAATTTGAGGCTCTTCCTGTGAGTTGATTTTCTCAGATCCGTCTTGCGACACTCGACTCACACCTTCGCCCAGCCTAACGCATGGCAACCGTTCGGGTTCGGCACTCGCGGCTGCATCGTAAGAATCCATCCCCTTCCCTCGCACCACCTTCGCCCAGACTCACCCGTCCACGCAGGGTCGCCCATTCGCGTGGCAAGAGGCACAGCTCGCACTCGTCACCATCCTGCAGCGCTTCGACCTCGTCATGCACGACCCGACGTATGAGCTCGCGCTGAAGCAGACGCTCACCATCAAGCCGCACAACTTCTTCATCCACGCGCTCCCGCGCAAGGACCGCGCACGCGTCTTCGCGCTCCCTTCCGCGGGGCTCCGCAGCGAGCGCACCGCGCAGGGGAGTGCGCAGGTCGGGCCGAGCGCGACGGTGTCCGCAGATGCGGCGAAGCTGCAGCCGCTGTATGTGCTGTACGGCTCGAACACGGGCAACTCGGAGTCGTTCGCGCAGCGGCTTGCGTCGGATGCTCCCGCTCATGGTATGTGCTATCTATTACTTTTATGATACGTGCGTATTCATACCTAGCTAGGCTTCCGCGCATCGATCGGGACGTTGGATTCTGCATCCGAGCATCTGCCCAAGGACGGTCCGCTCGTCATCGTCACCGCGTCCTTCGAAGGCCAGCCCGCGGACAACGCCGCGCACTTCTTCGAGTGGCTGACGAACACCGAGGGTGCGGACGCGCTCGCGGGGATCAAGTACGCCATCTTCGGCTGCGGCAACCGCGACTGGGTGAAGACGTACCAGCGTGTCCCGACGCTCATCGACGAGACGTTCGCGGCGCGTGGCGCGACGCGCTTGGTGGAGCGTGGGGAGGGTGATGCTGGTGGCGCGGAGTTCTTCGAGGCGTTCGATACTTGGGAGGATGCCCTGTGGAAGAAGCTCAGCGCGACGTACGCTACGACGGGTAACGCCGAGGCCGCTGCATTGGGCCTCAAGGTCGTTTCGCCTGGCACAGCGCGCGCGTCGGTCCTGCGCCAGCCCGACACTGCGCTCGGAACGGTTGTGCAGAACAAGCTTTTGACCTCGCCTAATGCGCCTCCAAAGCGTCACCTGGGTACGTTAGCGACACAGTCTTTGGTAGCAGTTCGCGCGTTTATATTAGTTACCTGCAGAGTTCTCTTTGCCCGAGGGCACGACTTACCGGGCCGGGGACTACCTCGCCATGTCAGTCTACTTTCAACTTTCATGATGCCGTGCAGTACTAACTGTTTTTTATAGTCTTCCTGTCAACCCCGAGCGCATCGTACGCAGAGCTCTCGCGCGCTTTGGGATGTCGGCGGAGCAAGAGGTGAACCCCTCGGGTACTACGTTGCGAGACATGAGCTCATACAGCCTCTACAGATCGAGCTGTCGACAGGTGGCCCTACCTCGCTCCCCGTCAACAAGCCGGTTACCGTGTCTTCCGTACTCAGTGGCTACGTCGAGCTGTCTCAGCCGGCTACCACGCGCGACCTTGACATTCTGCTCAAGACCAAGAACTCGGAGTCCTCGCTGAAGGCCCTCCAGGAGCTTTCTAGCAACTACGCCGAAAACGTATTCAAGAAGCGCCTGAGCGTCCTCGACATCCTGGAGGAACACCCGGACATCGACCTCCCCCTGTCCGCCTTCCTGCAAATGCTTCCCTCCATGCGCATCCGGCAGTACTCCATCTCGTCCTCTCCGCTCTGGAACGCGCAGCACGTGACGCTCACCATCAGTGTGCTCGATGCACCTGCGCTTTCCGGGCGCACCGAGCCGTTCCTCGGCGTCGCGTCGACGTACCTGGCGGGCCTGCGCGCGGGCGACCGCGTGCAGCTCTCCGTGCGCGCGTCGAACGCGGCATTCCACCCGCCCAACGACCTCGACGTCCCACTCGTGATGATGTGCGCGGGCAGCGGGCTCGCGCCGATGCGCGGCTTCCTGCAGGAGCGCGCGATGCAGAAGCAGGCCGGGCGTGCGGTGGGAAAGAGCCTGCTGTTCTTCGGGTGCCGTAACCCGCGCGAGGACTTCTTGTACGGTGATGCGGAGCTGAAGCAGTGGAGCGACCTGGGTGTTGTCGACGTCCGCCCTGCGTTCTCGCGCTCGACTGCGGACTCCGAAGGGTGCCGATACGTGCAAGAGTATGTGGTCGTGCTTACTTTTTGGTAATTTGCGCTGACATGCCTTGTGTGACTCGTAGCCGTGTCCTCTTCAACAAGGCTGAGGTTGTCGGTGCTTTCCTGAAGGGCGGCAAGGTAAGCCCACTTCATGTATTGGCTGGCCTACATAGAAATGCTGACCGCAACGTCACCGTGCAGTTCTTCGTTTGCGGCTCGAGCAAGGTTGCCAGCGGCGTGAAGCGGGTGCTCGTCGAGATCATCAAGGAGACCAGGCACCTCGACGACGAGGCGGCTCTGGTGGCTTTCGACGAGATCATGAACGGCCGCTACGCCACGGACATCTTCGAGTAGTTGCTGTCGTCTTCACATCATAGAAGGGCTCGTAGTGTTCCTGGGCTGCCTTCATCGGAGCTGTACTATATGCGATTGTGGACCATCATAGACTTGTATACGTTCATGGATTTCTGCGCTTCCTCCGAATCAATGCGATTGCAAACATGTTACCTCGAAGTTTGGCACTATGGGCGAAACCCCTCAGAGACTCACTTTCCGAAGAAGGTCGTGAAAGTAGACGTATTCCTAATGCAGCCACAAGTAAGGTGACGTGAATCGAAGGCTTGCAATTGAACATCTCACAGCGACGCGTGCTGGCGGGCGGCTGTCGCGACAGATGTATACAACGCAAATTACAAGCACCCGTGGCAGACAGCCCAGTCCTGGACAACCAAAATCCCTTGCAACTCGTACCAGTACAGAGCTATGCTACTCATGGAAAGACAGTCACTCCACCCTACGCCTTCTTCGACACGTTGATGGAGCGCGGGACGAACTGGTGCGGGCTGGTCTTGCGCGGGACGGCGCGGATGAAGAAGTCCTTCGGCTTGATGCTCAGCGTCTGCTTCATTTGCAGCTCGTACGTGGGGTCGTTCATGACGAGATCGAAGTGCTGGAAGATCGTCACGAGCGCGATCTGGGCCTCTTGCCACGCGAACGCGCCACCCTGCGAGTACGGAAGGTCAACATATGCATAACGGCGTGAGCGGACGGGAGAGGAGGCTTACAATGCACGCGCGCATCCCGAACCCGAAGGCTTGCCAGGCGTTGGACTGGACATATGTCGTCAGATGAGACACAGCGAGCTACGTTGTGTGTGTGTGGGGTGCTTACCGGGAGCGCTTCGAACTTGCCGTCGAGCATGCGCTCGGGCTTGAACTCCTCCGCCTGCGTCGTGGTCAGCGCGACGCAGCAGAAAATGTAGAGAACGGTATACGCACATCATCGCCCCACACCTCGCGGTCCCGCTGGCAGTCGAACGTGTCGACCGTAATCGACGCGTCCTTCGCGACGAAGTACTTGCCGCCGATAATCGTGTCTTCGAAGGGCGCGACGGTGCGCGCGGGGGCGGTCGGCGCCAGGCGCAGCGTCTCGCGCATGACGGCTACAATTATGTTTATGTTAGTACAGGGTACGCAGAGAAGATGTAGGACGCCGACGTGCCGACGAGGTAGGGCATGGTGTTCATGTCTGCGGTGGTGAAGGGGCGCTGGCCCATAACGCTGTCGATCTCGTCGCGGAGCTTGCGCATCGTGTCAGGGTTCTTCAAGAGATAGTAGATCGCGAAGACCAGCATGCCTGCGTGAAGGGTTGGTGATATCACCAAAATAAAACTTGGGGGACGTACCAGAGGTCGTCTCATGACCAGCAATAAGGAAAGTCAAGAGCTGCGTTTTCAAAGGTCAGCATTGACACTCGGGAGGGACTCAGTGTTCAAAGGCATACGTTGTACTGGACCGTCTTGTCAGGAAGGGAGAGGCCAGTCTCCTTGTCCTTCCCGTACATCATAAGGCCGAGGACGTCCTGCCTGTCCGTAGGGTTGGCGCGGCGCTCGTTCATGACTATCCGCCACATATGAGTATCGTGTTGTAAACATGGAGATGAAGAATTCCAGTATGGCCACTCACTTTCCTCGGCCATCTGGAACATGATCTTCTGGTCCGCTTCGTATTTGGCGTTCTCGGCAACGAGCGTGGCCTGCACGGCGGGAGGGCGTGATCCGCGCTTTGTGCTCACGAGAAGGAAGTCGGCCATAGCCACCGCCAGGGGGTGCAGGTCCTCCTGTAGCGGGTCGTTAGTACCGTGCCTACTGTGTCGCGCAGATGGCACGCACCCGGTAGAAGGAGTTCAGGCGGTATCCCATCGCAGTGAGGCAGATGGTGTCTAGAGTGACCCGGGACAAATCCTCGGCGGTGTCGATGACGGCCTTTGCACCGAAACTTGTGACAGTCGTGAGCTGTGGTAAATTATGCATGAACCTCGCATGTTACTCACCGTTCCCACTTGAGGACGAGCTGGGAGACGATGTCTAGCATGTCGTCTGCGATATTGCACACGCTCCCGGGTGTGAAAATCGGCATCAGCAGACGATCTAGAGGGACAGATAAGCACCGATGGACAGCCAGGAAATGCATTCGCTCGTCACTTACGCGCAATGCCCCAGTTCTTCTCCTCTGGGGCGCGTGCCTAAACATTTGTGAGTCTACTATGGTTTGCGGCGACAAGCTGGAACTGGAATGCGTACAGTAAACAAGCCGTCCCCAGCGGCATTCCGGAGCTGGTTCGAGTTCGCTGCGATCTTCTTGTAGAAACGCGTCTCGTCCGAGACCTCGTTCAGGAGGTCGCGTGAGTTGATCACGATCATCTTGTTGCCTGCGCCATAACACCACACCGATGAGCGCAAAGCTCCCGTACGCTAGGGAGAGCGGGACGCACCCATGACGTTCAGCTCGTAGATCGCACCATACTTCTGGGCGAGCTCATGGAGCGACTTGATGGGCAGGTCCGAGTCGATGGCGTCGATGTTCCCGAGGCCGGGCACGCCCGGCGGCGAGGGGATCGGCGTGTGCTGTGTCGTCGTCGTGGCCGTTCCCGCCCTCGACAGGCCGTTCTTGATAGCGTTCGTCAACATCGTGATTGCGTGTCTGTCAGTGGGGTCTGCAGGACAAGCCTGAGGCTCACGGAATATATATACTAACACCCGTGCAGCCTGTAGACGCTGTCATGGACGTCGCGTTGTCGGCGACCGAGTTGGCTGCCCATGAGGCCTTCAGTGGCGGCGTCGGGTGACCCTAGCGAACGCGAATGCCTACCATTATCCTGCCAAACGTAATGCTCCCGCCCTCTGCGAAGTGTCGAGGCAGGGTCTCATGCCTTAGCTGTCATTTGAGGGTTCGCCGTGCATGGGCGGTCATGTCACGAAGGTGGAATGGAAGGTCTTGGGGTACAGAGGCTGCAGGGAACGCAGATGCTCAATTGTGACAACGTTGGCAAAAGCCAGTACATCGGCTACCCCGGCGATGTACGTGTTGGTGGCTTCCCCGTTGACCTGACACGATTGGCGATTAAGTTGCCTCCCCGACGAGTGGCGAATGACAATGGGACACTAGAACAGCTTTGCCCCCCGGCTGCGGTACCACGTGCAGGACGATACCTCTCGCAAAACGAGTAGACGGTTGAATGACACCGCTTGCCGCTACAGCGTCTGTATGTACGTGTAAACTCAGCTGTCCGACGTTGACGATTGAGTTTACGACACTTACGAGCATTGCTTTGCTTGGATGTTGTACATCGGATGAGTGAACTGACAGGAAGTCCTCGCATTAAACACAGCATTGACATGGAGGTACAACGCAAGTGCTCACCGGAGCTCCCATAACAGCGGTGTCCTGGGCGCTGGAAGCTCTCCGGGCAGCACATTCCAAGGCAATCCGGCTGCATCTCAACGCACTACTGCCGCACTTCCCATACTCTGTCTGTGTCCCAGAACCACACCGTTTGCCGTAGTTCGGGAGAATGTCCGAGGGTAGCGTGTACGTTGGACACGATGACGCTGTCGCGCGCTGACCGTCGAGAGGGAGCGGAAAGCAATATGCCCCCTCCCAGGAGATGCCTACTCAAGTGGCAACATGAGTCGTTTGAAAGGCCCGCCTCGAGGCACGGCAAAGACGAGTTGAGGTATTGCTCGCATCTTGTTCGGCCCATGGTATTCTTACAGTGGAGATTAACGGGCACTTCCATTCTCCCCGTCACATACGCACCGACGGCGTGTAGCACGCGATACGTGTACTCATACGTACCGGACCTACCGCGCCAACCACGACTTCCACCCGCTCGCATCCCACCCCTTCTCGAACTCCTCCGCCGAGAACTTCTGCACCGCGATTGTGCGTGCACGCTGCCGCACAGCGAGCTCCGCCGCCTTCGGGAGCGTGAACACCGTGCGGAAGGCCTCTGCGAACGTCTCTGGCGACGTCGCGTGATATCCGGTCGGTTCACCGTCGAGCGGGACGATGATATCGAGGAGCGGCCCTCCGGAGGCATGTGCAATAGGAATCACACCCGCAGCCTGGGAAGTGGAGGTTCAATATGGAGGGAGGTGAGGCTACTTGTAAAGCGCACCATGAATTCCACCACGTTGATGCCAAAGTGTTCATCCACCATCGTACTGAGGCCGATGCTTGCGCGCGAGAGCCAGTTCAGGATCTCCGAGTACTTGGCGTTGACTACGAATTGCACTTGAGACTGGGGGGGGGGGTAGTGAGTACCGCGTCATATGTGGAGAAGTAATGACTAACCTCGATGCCGAGCTCCTGCGCGAGCGCATGCAAGCTTTCCACGCGCGTCGCATCCCCGACGTTGCGGCTGCCTCCCATCAACACTAGCTTGACTGCAGACGCTCCGGAACCTCGATATTCGGGGTACAGCTCAAGGAACCTGTGGAACGCATGGAGTTGGCCGGCGTGGTCCTTTTCCGGTCTTCTCGACGTGAGCGGGGCATAAGAAATAGCTGAGGAAGCGTGTCTTACCTGAACTGCGCGATGCTCAGAATCACGCGTTCGCGTCCCTCCAACGAGAACACCGACATTTGCCGGGTATCACAAGAGGGGTAGACTATCTGCGCAGCTTTGGGACGCTGTGACTTCTTCAGTGAGAAGAGCTTCAAGAGCAGGAGTGGAGGTAGGAAGTGGATGGTGTCGAGAAGGATATCTTGGTGTTGTAGGATGGAGTCGACGTGGCCCTTCGTCCACGAAGAGTTCACCATCAAGAAGCGAGCTTGGCGGAGAGAGTAGGCGTAGTAATACATAAACACACGATAGTATCTTCAAGCAGAGTCAATACGATGAGGTATATGCGCGGCGGAGTTGGGACATACAGCAGTTTGCCTTGGCTTAGGAAGGCGGATGAAGAGATGGCCTCCGAATTTGTCACTCCTTGGGCTCGCGACCTTACACGAGAGAGCATGGTCGTGCTGATAGTTGGGTAGTGCACGTAGGCCCCGATGGGAATGTTCCCGAGTAGAGAGACAATGGGGAACGTGAAAGCGTAACCCATGGTGTCTGCAATGGTGCGCGTGTTTAGTTGGTGCAAACACGGGCATAGTCTAGCAACAGGGCTCACCGATGAAGAGGTCCGGAATGAGTTCGGTCATGGCTTCCCATGCAAGATACATGGATCCAAGGCTCTGTCCTAGCAGAGTGAACCGCGGCCATGCCGAGTCTTCGACAAGGTGACGAGACTGCAGGAAGACGAAATGCAGTGTTTGCGGAGACAACTCGATATCAAACCGAGCCTATTGCGAATGAGCATAACGAAACCAATGGAGTATCCGACCATACTACATACCCTAACTTTGTCAATGATCTTCTCTTTCGTCGCGTCGGTGTCGCCGCTGTATACGACGGAAATCACGTCGGGCTCCTTCCTCTGTAGAGCATGTATAGCGGCCCAAAGCACGCGCTCGCCGCCTCCGCCAGCATTACTTGACAAGGCTACGTGAGATGAGAGCCGCACTCACTGCGTCACTTGGGAAACACTCACCAATACGGATGGAAAAACCCAACAATCTTCTTGGCGTCTCCAGCCCCCAAGGAGGAAAGTAGCTTCGCTCGTCGCTGGACGTTGCTGCGACGCAAGCCCAAAATTCGGCCGACTGCTTGCGCCAGGACAAGACCGACCAAAAACGTGATTAAAGCCAGCGACATGTCGAATCCTCAAATATCCCTTCCGTCGCGGTAGCTGAGCACTTCCGCGTCCACAAGAGTCTCCAAGCAGTAAATGTTGAGTAGAGGAAGATGAATGTTGGCACTGACAATGAAAGGATGAGCGTTGCGCATAGGTTTCGGCCAGCGCGGGCGTCCCGCCCCGTGGCATGATCCGCACGTCCCACGCCCGCTCTCCCCGCTTCTGCCATCTCCCCTCATCTCCCCCGACGCTCTTTACCTATCTTACCTGCGGCAATGGACTACGACCGCAAGAGCACCGTCTCGTCGTTCTACGGCGGACGCAGGACGTCGGTTGACGCTCTCAACAACGACTTCCCTCCACCCGGCCCTCCTGGCGGACGCACTCGCGCCGACTCAGCCTCCTCTTTCTATGGCGCAAACAGGGCATCAAGAGCAGACCCTTTCGATGCTGGAACACCCTCTGCGGGATACAATAGGGCTTCGTACTTCGATGGCGGCCGGACAGCGCCCGTGAAGCCCGGCGTGGACGAGGAGTCTCAGGCGGCGGCGGACCCCGCATGGGATGTCTACGCTGACTTCAACAACGCCGGTCCACGGTATTCCACTGCATTTGGTATGGGTGACGATGGGTGAGTGGTTTGCAACACCTTGCCATATCTATCACTTATGCTCGCATAGCTACCGCCAAGTGCCCTCTCCCACACCATACAGCCCTGGTGGTGCCGCGTGAGTGTCCTTATTATATCTCGTAGCACCGGAGGCACCTATACGTGTCACCATTGCGCATTAGTAGCGCGGCAGCGTCCGTTCACTGTCAGATGTAGCAAGCCTCCGCCCAGGCAAGCTTGCTGATTACACACGCCGCCATTTATTGCCTCCGGCGTATCTCTCCTCTGCGACTATATATGGTTGTTCGCGCTCACACTTTGTCAGACAAGGGCAATACTCCACATCTGCACTCCGCGGCGAGGAACCTGCGACCCAGGGTAACGTAGAGATGGTGACCGTACCAGCTCTCGGGCCCGAGTGGAAGGCGGAGGAGATGCGAGGCATGTCCAAAAAGGCCAAACGGGAGGAGAAGATAGAGAATGCGGCTGTCAAGTGGAAGGAGTGGAAGCGCGGTCAGCGCGGCCTTTGCGGCAAGTACTTCACCAGGAAGTTCACGGCTTGGTTTGTCTTCTTTTTGGTCGCCGCGTAAGTGCAACTCCCTTTAATCTATATCAGATTTCGCTGACGTCTTTGCAGCATCGCCCTCGTGCTGGTGTTCACCATACCTCGAGTGCCAGGCTTCAGTGTGAACTCTGCGGATCCGCTCATAGCCGCGGAGGCACCATTCAACACTACTGTTGTTACCGACTTCTCGCGCGCCCCAACCAACTTCAGTTTCCCTGGAGAAATGAAGCTGCAAGCGGACACTGGCGGCAACTTCCTCCCCCTGACGTTTAACAACATCCACGGCTCAGTATTCGATCTGCAGACGAAGCGGCAGGTTGCTTCCGGAGATACCGGCAAACTCACCGTGCCTGCGAAGGAGTTCCCCATCATCACACTTCCTCTGAACTTCACGTATACTGCGACAAACGACTCCGATCAAACATGTGCGTTCAGGTTTACCATCTCAATTTCGCTTCCTGACGTGACACATTCAGGGGTGAACTGGTATAACGGTTGCAAGAACGCAGCACTCTACGCCGATGGCAAGCGACCAGGTATGCTGCCGCTCTGTATATTCCGACGCACAACTCCCACTGACAGCGCTCCAGCCGTTCAATTCCGTCTCATCATCGACATGTCTATTGCCGGCCTTATTGGAAAGAAGAGCACTTCCACGGACGTCACGGATGCGGCATGTCCGATCGAGCTCCCGCAGAACTCGGTTTGAACACTTCGATCCTTCCTCCTTCGTTTTCGCTTTCTTTATTTACCTTGGATTTTCTGATCGGACTGCCAGACGGACATGTGCATCCATAGTTATCTCATCATCTGCATGCTCCTCGATGTCCCTCAATTTGCTAGTAGCGTATGCCATCGTATTCTTGGACCTTACACTCTTTGTGAATACGGGGTGTCCGCATCCCGATAGTCAACTATGTCAGCCGCTGGCGAGGACGTCCTTTGGGCGGCTGACATTTGCATCTGGACTGGCGGTAATTTCCCCTAAACTACTATCCGCTGATACGTGATTCAATCCTGGTTGTAGCGGCTGACATCGCCTCTTCCCTGCAGACCACCACCATGGAACGTCGCTATCCCTCAACATCGTCGGCCCTCACGAACCGGTCGTCCATACGGCATCGCTCCGCCGCATACAGCCCGAAAACAGGGAACCATGCCAAGGACGTCGCCGCGAAGGCAAAACGCCGGAACTCGCTCAGCGAGCAAAGCGAGCGCACCGACCACACCCTAACCGTCCAAGTCGAAGACACGGACGATGTGGATCGCAGTGTTCCGACCGTTCTGCTCGTGCGCCACTCGAAGGCAACGTCGCGCCTGAAGCCTTTACCGGATATACCTTGCGAAGAGGATTTCCTCACAAGCACTGCGGGACCGTCCGCGCTCAGACTCTCTGCGGCCGACCTCAACATCGGTACCCCCATATTTTCACCAGCTGCACCAGCGGAACACCTCGACGAGCACTCCTTGAGTCCTGTCCCACTTACACCTCGCCCTCTCCAGACCGACCGCGGCATCTCAGCAGCATCCGTATATACAGAGGCGTCGCGTGTCTCGGAGGCCCCCAAGCTCCCTACGCCCGACTACCCCTCTGGTTCGAGCTTGGGAAGGCGAATCAGTTCCTACTTCAACCGCGTACAATCATTCCGCGTTGGGCGCCGCGCTCAAGCTCCCGCGCCGCCACCGGTTACACGGACGGACTCCGACTACTCGACATACTCGGAGGAGAGCACCACACTTTCGGACCGTTCGCGCACCCTCGCTGGCACCGTGGCTGAGCGACGGGTCCCCACATCAATTAAGGACAAGCGGCCAATGCTTGCAACGTCGTTCAGCACGCACGATAAGTTCACGAACAAGTTCCCGCGGCCGCGGTCGGTTAAGAGTTTGAGCTATAACGGGAGTGTGCCGAGTCTCCCTGGCCAGGGCGCGATCGCGGCTACGATGCTCGAGGAAGGCGAGGGTCTCGGGCTGGAACTGCACGTCGGTAGGTGGACACTGCACAAGTGGTGTCTCGTGCTGTCTGTGTGCACGGTCTTTGTATATGGGACGGCCGGTCTGATCTGTGCGATCTTGACATGGTTCAGAGGTACGTCTTTTGGTAGTTCCCAAATAGATCTATGCTAACAACGGCTACCTAGCCTGGGATCACGCGGATGTGATGTACGTCGCCGACTACGACATCCTAGTGCTCATCACCCTGGCCTCCTCTATCCTCCTCCTAACCTTCCTCGTCGGCATCTCCGGCGCACTCCTCAACTCGCGCCCACTCCTCGCTGTATACGCCCTCCTCCTATGGCCCGCTCTCGTCTCGATGCTCGCGATCGGCTACACCTCATACAAACGATCGGCCTTCGCGCTCGACCGCAAGCTCAACCTCGCGTGGTCGCAGTGGTACACGCCGCGCGGGCGACTCGTCATCCAGGAATCGCTCCGCTGCTGTGGGTTCTACAGCGCTTTGCACGAGGCGGCCGCGAGCAAGGCGTGTTACCCGCGCACGCCGCTACCCGGGTGCAAGGGCAAGCTCTGGCGCGTCGAGCGCGAGAGCCTTGCACTCGTATGGAACACCGTGTTCTCGCTCGTGCCGGTGCACATCCTGAACATCGTGGTTGCACTCCTCTGCGCGAATCACGTCACGCGTACGTTTGGGAAAGGTCTCACTCCGAAGCGATACAGGCTGAGCGGGGAGGACGTGCGCGCGGACGCGCAGGCGCTCATGAAAGCTCTGGGGCCGTTCGGCGACGTGCGTCCCGTCGCCCGTCCGGGATTCACGCGCGCGCCATCAAGCGGGGTGTTCAGGGAGGACAAGTCGTACTATGATAGCTTGGACGAGTGGGAGTCTGACTCGAAAGCCGATACCGTTGGGCTTGGGATTCGGAGACGCTAAAATTCGAGAAATCATGATGGATCTCGTGGTGTACAAGCCATCTAACGCAATTTATATGGTAGTCGAAGCCTGTCCACTTTTATAAGTCATTCTGAGTTTTCAGATACGCTATCATGGTCTATTTGAAACAATAACACAGAATGCACCACGTTATTGAAAATATGACTTAGTGTGAAAAGTATTTGACTGGATCACAATCTTGCTTCTTCCGGTGACAGGTGGCTGTGCCGTCATGGTGTTGAGTTGCGCTTTGCGGCCGACCACTTCGTAGAGTAGGACCACCATCATCCCCTAGCCCCGCTTCAGGAATCTCAGTACACGGCGAGAATCCAACGCACCAATATTGGCCCAATTTTGGACACCATAGGTGGTCTTTTGATCTCTTTATTGCGCTTTCAATAATGACTTCTCAACGACGTGACTTTTTGTTCAGACTACTTCGCGGAAGTTCGCTTCTTGTTTTGGGGTGTGCGGAGTTTTACTCGATCAGCAACAGGAGACCGCCTGGAGGAGTATAGGTGTCGAAAGGCATATAGACGCGGTACGTGATGCTCCAGAGCCAGTGTGGCATTATCAGGTGCTGAAGGACTGAAGGGCCGATTTAGCCACAGCACTACCACCCGAAGTTCACACAAAGTCGGAGCTGCGCCGGCGTGTTAGGTCGATATGTCGCTGAACATCGACATCTATCTGATGTTGATGGACCACCTTGACTCGCTCTCCGACATATCTGCGCTCATGCGCTCATGCAAGACCCTCTGCGCTCTGGGCGCGAAACGGCTCCTCCTCCCGGGAGTAACCATTCGCAGTGACGCGGCCCTCGTGTCGTTCAGCCGCTTTATGCTCCGGGATCTCGCAGCCCGCAGCCCGCATCTCCACCGACTCTTTCTCTGCATAGAGCTGCAGCTCATCGACGATGACGGCTCGGGCTCCGTTTATGCATGCGACCCGGAGATTATCGAACAAGAGATGCTCAAAGGCGGCAGGCTCCTCTACCGTGTACTGCGCCGTGCCACCTCACTGCAACACCTCACGGTTCATTTTTGCGAGGAACTTTTGGAACGCGAGGAGTCACTCGTGGATGCCCTTGTCGCCCTCGAAAGCGTCCGGTATCTCCACATCTCGTCATACGGCCTGCGGGCACACGAAGTCGTCGCCGAAATCCACTCGCCTCTTGTCCACATCAACGTTGACTGTGCCTCCAGTGCAGACCAGGCGGTGGAAATAGGGCATGCCCTGGCACGTCATCGAGAAACGCTGGAGAAGATCACGGCCTGGGACGTCAACTTGCTGGTAGAGCTGGTAGAAGAGGACGACGATATCGTCTTCCCACGCGTGCATTCGCTTTGCTTGCGTTCGTCCCTCACGCTCGACCTCTCATATCTCGTTGGCACCTTTCCAAACGTACGGTCGCTCGAAGTCGTCAACGTCTATCTGGAGGACGGTTCCCCATCAGAGAATGCATCACAACTGCGCGACAGAAATCTCGCAACCACCGATACGTGGTGCGGCTTGGACTATCTGTGTGGGGACGAGTGGAGCATCTACATCCTCGGCCTGCAATGCCCCGTGAAAAGGCTCGACGTGACGCTGGATGGCATGGGATGGCTGGGCCCCCCTGTGGCGAACGTGAGGCCTACCCATTTTCTGCTGCACTGTGGGTTCGCGGAGGAGGCCCACTCCGGTTCTTTCCTTTGGGAACTGCCGGAAGAGCTGGTTGGTATGAACGGATCTATCACACACCTCGGACTTGATTTGTGCACCAACGGGCTCGAGGCAGATGTGGGTGTGATCATGGTGCGTGCCTCTCTCATTAAGCTCCGCACATATACTCGCTATATCTCACCCTGCCGTTCATGTTCGCCGCGATATAGCCCTCCATCATCCGCTACATCGCAGCCGCCTCCAGTCTCACCTTCTTCGCACTGCGGATGCGCGCGCTCCCACTCGAAGAAGAGTCTGCGTACGCGCGCAGCGATTCCCGCTACCCGACGGCTCCTGCGCTCCCGCCCACCACCCGAAAAATGCTGCGCAGTCTCGGAGGGACCGACGTCCTCCCCATATGGGTACGCGGTATGGCGAAGGCGGCGCCCGCGTTGCAGTATATCACGTTCGATCTCGAGGGGTATGCGCCGAGCTGCTGGCAGATTGTCGCGTCAGCGGAGGACCCGAGTCGCATCGTCGTGGCTCCACTTGACCAGGAAGAGGGGGAGGTCATTGCACGCGCGGAGGGGATGGAGTGGCGCCGTCGCGAGCCTGAGCCTCCGCGGTTCGACGAGGACAAAATGGTCGAGAGGGGTATCCCAGATGAGGAGGACGAGTGGGCGCGAAATGAAGATTGTGAGGACTCTGAGAGTGAGGACGATTCGGATTGAGGACGTTCTCATCTTTTGCTTATTTACGATTGCTTATTTGTCGTTCAACGGATTTATCTGAACAAGTCGCATGTGCTTAAAGTGCGCGAGTACATAAGTCCTTTAACGCTAGTATACAGCTGTGCTCGCAACGCCTCTTAAAAACCCATTGTATACCTAACATTTCTATAATCAAAGACGAGGAGAGCGAAGTCCAAATTGTCATGGGGTCATGAGCAGATAATTTATAAAGTTGAAAGCGGCACCGTGTGGGTTTTGCAGCTCGCTGGCAAACTGCTCACATTACTAAATGTATCAAGCGTGCGTCCCGACTTTGCTCAATACTGTGGATATAGATGCCGCGTAGCTTGCGGTTTCCTCGGTGGCTTTTGAGTGAGATCAAATTCCACTAGGCTCACGAATCGAGTCGGAGCGCGGCGCAGCAGCACGGTTGAGAAATGAGATCCGCATCGGCTGCGCTGCTGCGGCATTTCTGCGGCCCAATCCTCGGCTATCACTCACGTCACTCCGATAACATCGGAACACATCCTCAGCAGCTGCCATGCATGCGGTCCCCGCATGTTTGTATCGTCCGTCTTCCTTATGCTGACCCCGGGGTTCCCGCTGCGCATACGAGTACAGGTGTGACAACATTGGTGATATTCAAAGTATGGACTACGCGGAGATGGACGACAGGTGGACGCGATGTGGTTTCGGAGTGGTCGAATGGGAGGGGAGGGGAGTGCAGGACAGGTAGGAGAGCGTAGCGCGATAACGGGGTGCGATGAGCAACGGTAGGCGGCTTCCCTGCGTCGCCTGAAGTACAGAGGAGAGCGAAATATCGTACAGAGCAATAAGGGTAAACCAAATGAGAAATAGGGTATACAGGTCATGGGCGGTCTCGTGAACTACGATGGATGAATGTAGTGGGCGATGTCCGATAGCGCGATGTCGTGACGAAGGTATCCGGGGGTGGCCATGTCATGGTGGAGGGACGCCTGCACGGCCCTTACGGGGGCGGTGCCGCGACGTGAGGCGCCTACGCGGTATGCGCGGCAGGGGGGACAGACAGCACGGCGAAGTCATGTCCAGCGCCGGACGCCCCCGAGAAGATCGAGGACGAGCGCGTGTACTGCGAGGGGGCGCCCGGGGAGGGCGGGGGGCTCGCCTGATCGCCGTGGACGCCACCGTAGACCGAGCCCTCTGTGCTGATCTTGCGCGAGGACTTCCAGCGACGCGGGGTAGAGGTCGGATAGGTGACGCCGCCCTGGTTCATGGTAGGGGAGGGGATGGGAGCGGGGGAGGGGGAGGCCCACGACCGGACACGCCGCACCATGCGTCCCCACAACTTGCGCCCAAACACGATGAACAGGATCAAGCCAATCACGGGTATGACTGAATGGGAGGGGATTTGAAGGGGGACATTGGAGGGTATCGGGAACATCAGAGGAGGCAAATTGCAGGAAGGGAGGAGCCGACTCACGAACTCCCACTACGATACTGGTGTTGCTAGACCCCGTACTCCCGTCGGAAGGCTGGGCGGCGACAGTGAGGACTGGCATGGTTGCGGGGGTGGTGATCGTCTAAGGAAGACGAAGATGATGCATGAAGATCGGAGTAGACGTCAAGCGAGAGACGGGTGCACTCACTGTGGGGGTGGGGGTGGTGGGGGTAGTTCCTGCTGCGAGGCGCGAGCCCGAGAGTGGATGCGTCGAATGACTCGACGAAAGCACACTCTGATGAAGTGGGAGCGCAGACGACGAGCGGATGCGGAGGAGGAGGACGAGGTGACTCCTGCCTCGCGGAGGGTCTTAAGTACATCACTTTTGGGAAGTCCCGTGCACACGCGCTCCGGCCTCGAGGGCGCTCCTTTGCGGCTTGCTGGGACTCAGCCTGGGAATCTTCTTTTGCTCAGAAAGGCATGCCGCAGCCCTGGAACCTTATTCGTCAAGAACATGAGCCGTACTTGTTAAGCGAGTGGCACAGCTCATGTATGCCGACGGATCACTTAATGCAGACTTGCAGCTTAATAGTCGAACAACAGATACCCCGCATGCACGTGTTTTGCTTGTGGGTATCTGGTTGAATCGCATTTTAGGAGGATGTGCATGTACAACCGCTCGAATGGATTTAGTCCCCAGCGTCGACGCGTCGGGAAATGTGACGTCTGAATGCAAAGAGTATTGGGCGTTTATAATCCAAGAAATCAGATGGACTGAACTCGCTAGCAGCTGGAGATATCCATGCACAGCTCTTTGTACAGCCCTGGGGCCGTCCCGTGGCGGATGCACAGCACAATTCAATGTTCGACGTACTCCGACGCAACAAACGTTACGCATCAAGGAGACCGAGCGTCTTACTGACTGTCCGCCGAAAGAGGCAGCTTCCAGTTGCACGGGGGTCGTACCAGATGCTTCCAGACAGCATTCAACGCGCAGCTTCGCCACGCACGATACGGGCACCGGTATGGTGGCCACTGCAGCGCAGCTAGTGGCAGGGGGAGCGCAATACGGCGGGATGGAGGACGGTGCACGGGTGAGGCCCTGACCGCTTCGACAGCCAAGACCACATCTGTGCCGTCGGACTTAACGCATATACGTTTCATGGCAAGAGGAGCACGCTCTGACTCAGTACGATGCGCAGAAGAGACGGTCTATCACGAACTCAAAGAGACCGTAAGCAATAAAGCCCGACACAGCCATATTCGCGCGAGAGCAAGCCCGCGGCGGCCGTCGTGCACGGCTACGGATGTGCTGCGATTAGCCCGCGATAGTGGCCACGCATGTCGGAAGATCGGACGGAATCAGCCAAGCAAGGAAACTACCGGGGACCCCGTAGCGCCGCACCGCCGCCCAACGTCAACGGCCGGTGCGTCGTAACAGTCCGGAGCAGAATGTGTTCCCGTGGTACTCGAAACACGACGACAGGCTAACGCACCAGGAGGACTTGTCTTCGGGGATGACACGCATGTCGGTCTTGTGCCGAACCCGACCGGGTGTGCCACTCGGCCGCGCAGATGAGAACGGGGGAGGGCTGAGAACCCATCTCACGATCGATACGTTTGTGGGCGCTCAGGAAGCTGATCAGTGAGGGTGCTCTGAGTGGCCCAACGTAAGGCGTGCAGGGTTGCGAGGAGATCAAGCTGGAAGCGGCCAGGTATGGTATATTGTTTTCAGACCCCAAGCCTCAGAAGATCTAGACATCAACCAGTACTACAGGGTGCGAAAAGCCCGTCCCAGAGAGCCCCCTCAGCTCGCACTGTGAACTGCGCAGACCCCCATGTGTTGCTTTTACGCTGAGAGATGAAGATGACAGAGCCGAGAGCAGATGGCAGAGCAAAGGGAAGAGGTGTTTGTATTGAGTGACAGAGATGATGCTGGACGTTCGAGTAAAAGAACGTTGCGAAGGATATTTCCCGTTTCGTCCACGCCACGAGTAGCCAAACAAGACCAAACTTGAGTTCTGCGAATTTGTAGCCAGCGCTAAAGTACTACTGTTGGCACGACTGCACACTTTGTACTGAGTATTCGCATCTGCCCACAATCACCATCGCTGGCAGCTGCCCGGATATTGGGAAGACGGGAATACTGTGTCCTAGCTCGCAGTACGCACTCGGCGACAGGATATCCAAGACGGGCGCCTGCACACGTATATCCTCGGCGAAACTCCAAGGAAGCTTCCCTGCGGCTTCGGATCCAGTACTGCCAGAGTCTCGGTCGGCCGTCCCCTGGACGTACGCATCGCACACTTGGGTACGTGCCACAGAGTCGGGAATCTGCTGCGCTTACCCCAATATGGGCAGCTTGGATGTGGTGCTACGCCGGGTGCGGAGCGCCCGGGTCGGGGGCTCGCGACCGGTTACATCGAGGGGCGAAGTTCTGTGGTCATTCTACGCGAACTTGAATATCGCAGGTACGGAGCGCCGACTCGCTTACTTGTGAATGTCTTTGTGGCGCGAAAGCTGGACACGCGGTGATATGGCGGCTCTCGGGAAGCGCAACGCCACCACTGCCAGTGTCCCTGCAGCACACCTATTATTTTGCCACGCGCACCTTTTGGATTAGCGCATCCGTCTGCTCTGCACAAATCTGGGCTAGCAGGGCCACAGACAGGCGTTGTGCTTGATGCATCGCAACAGCGCACGGTCTCGCATGCTACACTGCTGAAGATCTCACTCTCACAGCGCGCCACGAAGCCAAAGATTCACGGGCCCACAGATCATCCTTCCAGATAACACGAGGTTAGAACCGCATCCCCATATACCTGCCTTACAGGGGTGTTTTCACGCACAGCGCCACGAGCCGCGCTTTCTGCGCTATCGAACCTTGTACACAGGAAGGTGCGCCACCATCTCATATCAAGCCACGTTGCAGCAGCGCTCTAAACGCAGAATACAGTCATGCAAGATGCCCGGTAGCTTTGTCATGCCTTGCCACCGACAACCGGTCACGACGGTCATGTTCTACTCGTCTAGCAGCCGCCCGAGCGCCCTCGTGACGCCAGGTGCCGCCCATGGAAGGCCGGCACGGCAGGAGGGATGAGGTACGGGCCGCACGCACTCCCCGGTCTTTGAGTTCGAGGTCTATTCCCATGGCCAACCCAGGGGCTTCCATTCTAAAGCTTCGGACGCGCAGCATACCGTAGCACGTACGCCAGGCGCTGATCGTCCTTCCTCAATCCCCTACACCCTGCCTCCCGCCAATCGACCCATCTACCCGAGCCACCCGCACGCGCGATCATAAACGATGTCCGCCTCGTCGACTGCAAACCCCGAGGAGTCCAGAACGTACGGATCGGCACCGGGACGGTGGTCCGGCTACATGCGCGAGCTCTTCGCGAGCAGACGCCCTCCTCCCCTGGGCTCCGTCGACCCCGACAAGATAGAGGCTGCTGCACGGGAGAAGCTCAAGGACAGCCCAGGTATGCACGCCCGCCCCTGCACCACGAGTACCCATCTGACGCCCGCTCCAGGCTCATTCGCCTTCGTGTTCGGGAACGCGGGTTCGGGGGAGACGTTCCGCAACAACCGCGCTGCTTTCAGCAAATGGCAAATCGTGCCCCGCATGCTGCGAGACGTGACCCACCGGACGATCGAGGTGTGTGTGCAGCCAGATCTTCGTGCTGTGCATCCTCTGAGATGCTGTTGTGCAGACCACGTTGTTCGGTGTCACCCACCCTTCACCGCTTATCGTCGCTCCGATAGGATGCCAGGGCATCCTGCACGCAGACGGAGAACTCGCGACTGCGCGCGCGGCAGGAGGTCTGGGCATTCCGATGATTCTCAGCGGTGCAGCGACCAAGTCTATCGAGGCCGTCGCGAAGGCGAACGGACAGGGGCACCGTTGGTACCAACTCTACTGGTGCGTCAGCTCCGCGTTTCAGGACCCCCTTGCAGCACTCATTTGGAGAGCACAGGCCGATAAACGATGACATCACGCTGTCCATCCTCTCGCGTGCGAAGCAGAACGGGTACTCGGCGCTCGTCGTGACCGTGGACACGATGGCCATCGGCTGGCGGCCGTACGACGTCGACGCCGCGTTCATCCCGTTCGCGCACAGCGTCGGGATCCAGGTCGCGCTGTCCGACCCCGCGTTCATGAAGGCGCAGGGACTCGAGGTGGACCCGAACGATGACATCGTCGAGTTCCCGTACGACCCCGCGAAGTTCGACGAGCTGTACGTGAACGGCGACGAGAAGACGCGGCGGGGCGTGAAGCTCGCGGCGGCGTGGGGCCAGCAGGCGGTGAACGGCGTGTTCAGGACGTGGACGCACGTGGAGTTCCTGAGGCAGAATTGGGAGGGACCGCTGATCATTAAGGGGATCGTGAGCGTTGAGGCGAGTAGACGCGCCCCCGCAGGCACTGCCGCACAGCCTGATCATGCTATTCCAGGACGCTGAGTTCGCGATCGACAACGGGGTAGACGGAATCATCGTATCTAACCACGGTAAGCATAGATAGCGGTTCTCGTCTTCTGTCGCTGAACACGGCTCGTTGCAGGCGGACGTCAGGTTGACGGAGCGATCTCTACGCTGCTCGCTCTGGAGCGCATCATGGCGTCTCCGACGGTGAAGGCGGCGCAGGCGAGCGGAAAGTTCACCATCCTCTTCGACTCGGGCATCAGATCTGGGGCAGACATCTTCCGCGCGATTGCACTGGGCGCCCAAGGCGTACTTCGTCAGTCTCAAAACCTTGATAAAGCGTACACGGGGGTTTGCTTACCGGAGTTTTCGCAGTCGGCCGGACCTACGCATACGCGCTCACTGTGGCTGGGCAGACAGGCGTGGAGACGCACATCAAGAGCATCCTCGCGGATTTCGAGCTGACGCTGGGGCTGTCGGGCTACCGGAGTATCGCCGAGATACAAGGGAAGGCGGGCGTAGCCACGATTAAGGTGGAGTAGGTGGACTGCCGACGTCGGAGGTGAGTGGAGGCGTGCTTCGTCTAATGGAGTCCGTGTACATGTGCTACGGCGTAGAGTACATATCTCAAGAATGACCTATCCCCCAAGACCTTCCGGACTTGCGTTCTCAGGTGGGCCGCCGGCACTTACACTGCAGATGCGGTATTATACATTCGCATGAGGTCCGGATGGAAATCTCACATTATCTTAGCTCGCCGCCTGGACCTCACTATGAAGGAGACTGTTGGGTCTCTCCGGATAACGAGATCCCGGCGCGACGCCCAAGGGCGCGTTCTCTCTCTTTCTCTCTCGCCATGCCGCCCCTTCCGCATACGACAGCCAGCCCGCACTCGTAATGTCCCACTCAAGAAGCCCTGCGTTTGTCGATCGGTACGGCGGCTTTCATCTCGATAGACTGCAGCTATTTTATTCTGCTTAGGGATGGATGGAGTGATACAAACCTCCACATACGGGAGGTTAACACACCGGCCGCGTACATCTTCCCGTCCTCGGCAAGATCACACATCGCCTGCCTAGGGGAGACAACCTGCCTTGTATCACAGCCAGTTTCATACGATCGGGCGTACTAATTGACAACCTCTAGACGAGTGCAGGTGTTCCGATTGCTCCATGAACGCAAGAAATTCGCATTGGTCTATCGAGATGTATGCCGCTATTACGGCGTCGAATGACACCCGGCCTTCCCCCTTAAGAGTTCAAGCTTCAAGCCGCGGATATCCCCGCTTCTTCTTCCGTTCATGGACATGAGCGTGCTTGACACAGCATCAGAACGAGGATAGGACTCATGGGAGAGGGCGGTTGATGTGCTCGGAGTCTGCCGCACAAGGTTTACGTCGGGTTCACGTATTGCACAGGTCCCATTGGTGGTAACGTCGGTATGTACTTTCATCACCATCGGAGCTCACCAATGCGATACATGGATTGAGCGCGTCTGCACCCAACGCATGACCTTTCACTCGTATTCGACCTGTTCCTATTGCTTGCGAGTAGGACCCGTGCCTCTCCACCAAAGGTTTGTCCAAAGTTTGCTTGTTGGACCTTCCATATATGGTAATTATCCTTGTCCACTTTGCTTGTTCGAGCTACCAAATTGGGAATAGACGCCCGTTAGACGCCGAAGTCCTTGTCCACGCGTTGCATGTTTGAGGCCTTCTTGAGACCCAGTCGAGATATTTCGGCCAAATGCTGTTGAATGTTGTGCCTCTAGACTACCATCATCATCAGCAATATATTACGAGATTTTGTGCCGTGGATTCACGCAGGGTTGCGGAACGATATTTCTTTACCGATCCGGATCCCGCGGCCAAGCGGCGAAGGTGGCGAAGGCAAGTGTGTTAGCGGGTGCTTATTTCGTAGCTTTGCTGATATGGATTTCTCATGCAAACACTTCCAGAGAGCGGCGCGCTCATTTCGCTCGCTTTCGTGGCGACGAGATGATTCACAGACGATCTAGCGTATGTTTTCTGAGCTCTGACATAACCAAATATGGAAAGTCACACTTGGTGACATTACGTTACTTCGTGACTTACGTGACAACCCTTGTCCGATTTGGCTTGTTTGAGGGCCAAAAGTTTGCTTGTTTGAGGCCGAAATTTGGCGGCGGGATGGACAGACCTTTGGTGGAGAGGCACGGGTCCTTTGCGAGTGTCAGTGTGAAGGGCGCTTGTTTCGAGAACATTTGGAATTGTCCCTGCCTGCGGCGACGGCTGCCCAACTGCCAATCTGCTACTGGCTGCCACGTCCATCGGAGACGTGTTCGCTGGATCGTCCATGCCCACCGTCGCATTGCGCAAGGAGGAGGAGTTGGTCAGCGTCGAGCGTGCGCCGTCGCCGATTTCCCAGCAGACATCCAATCGGCGCACGTGACCGGCAGATAATCTCTTGACTAAGAAGCCGCAAGTTGACCGTGACCACCATCTGCCGTATAAGTTTCGTGCTCGCCGCTCTTCTCAGCCCACCACGTTTAGAACACCCAACACCCGTGCTCTCCTCAGAGCGATCCCTCTCGCAGCCTCCGCCAAGTACTCTGCCAACACAACTACCAAGATGGCACCCACAACAGCTCCCACCGTCCCCCAGAGCTCGAAGCTGCACTCAAAAGTGGTACGTCTGTCTGTCGTGAGATCAGCTGTATCGTCCAACTCAAGATCGCGTTATAGGTCATCATCGGTTCAGGACCTGCTGGTCACACCGCTGCCATCTATCTCGCGCGTGCCAACCTCAACCCCGTTCTGTTCGAGGGATTCATGGCGAATGGATTCGCGGCGGGCGGGCAATTGACGACCACGACGGATGGTGCGCACTATCGCCTCTCGCATTCACAGCGACTCACGTTCGTATCCTTACAGTCGAGAACTTCCCCGGTTTCCCCTCCGGTATCCTGGGTCCCGAGCTCATGGACAAGTTCCGCGCACAATCCCTCCGGTTCGGCACGAAGATCATCACCGAGACCGTGTCAAAAGTCGACCTCTCCGCACGCCCGTTCCGCTACTGGCGCGAGTACCAGGAGGACTCGGAACCCGAGACCGCCGACACCCTTATCATCGCAACCGGCGCGTCCGCAAAGCGCCTACACCTCAAGGGCGAGGACATCTACTGGCAGAGCGGCATCTCCGCGTGCGCTGTTTGCGACGGCGCCGTCCCCATCTTCAGGTAAGTACCTTGCCGGTCTGCTGTTCGCACGCGCGCTGCTGCGAACTCGCCGGCAGCGGTCACGTGCGCAGCCTCGTCCCATCCCGAGTGGCCTCGCTGACACTCTCGCCCATAGGAATAAGCCGCTCGCGGTTATCGGCGGTGGTGATTCTGCGGCAGAAGAGGCGACCTGTACGTCCCCCCATCATCTGACATCTCCAGAGCACCGAGAATAACGGCCCGGACAGACCTCACAAAGTACGGCTCGCACGTCTACGTGCTCGTGCGCCGCGGCGAGCTGCGCGCGTCGAAGATCATGGCGAAGCGCCTGATCAACCACCCGAAGATCACGCTGCTGTGGAACACCGTCGCGGTCGAGTGCCAGGGCGACGGCGACCTGCTGAACAACCTGCGGATCAAGAACGTGCAGACGGGCGAGGAGAAGGACCTGCCCGTGAACGGGCTCTTCTACGCGATCGGGCACGAGCCCGCGACGCAGCTCGTGCGCAACCAGCTCCAGACGGACCTCGACGGGTACATCGTGACCGTGCCCGGGACGACGCAGACGAGCGTGAAGGGCGTGTTCGCGGCGGGCGACGTGCAGGACAAGCGCTACCGGCAGGCGATCACGAGCGCGGGCTCTGGCTGCATGGCTGCGCTTGAGGCGGAGCGTCTGATTGCGGAGGAGGAGGAGGGGATTGAGGATTAGGCGGACTGTTTGCGTGGGGTATATATCGTCTAGAAGTATTATTAGGTGTGCATTAGAGCCTGTATATATCATACTGGAATCACCATCTTCCGCTACTATCCACTTGTAGACGGTCGTGTCCTTCATGGTCCCTCCATCGCTGCAATAGGTATCACGAGCATTGAAACGTAGCTTCCTTCTATTTCGGAACTACTATCTGCTAACGCCCCCGAAGTCACTTCAGGTTTCGGCCTCAAGATGTTGGGTCAGCGGTAATCCGCAGTCGTCGATACATTCTGGCCTCGTCATCCAGTCGCCTACTGGATTCACCGTACGCTCCCTTTGTAGACGGACATGTCCCTGAAGGTGCTGACGGTGAGTCGACGGTATTACTATTCCGCAGTCGCAGGTACATCTGAGCCTTCCTGAGCCTTCCTGACCTCATCATCCTTGTAGTTTCGCGATATCGCGGTCCAATCATACGGGAGTCTATGACCCCATCAATGCGACTCTTGTGTCTTCGGCTGCAGGCCTTCGACAACTTGGCATTTCGACCGCAGCGGCTCGATTACGAATATGAATGGGATCGTACGAGACGGTGACGCGCCCGCAGCCCAGCGGCGCCGGCACGCCACGGAGATATTCACCGGAGGATCTCCGTGGCGTTGTATCGTATCGTCTAGACCGAGGCACAAACGCCCCGGGGAAACCGCGAACTCGTCAACGATGCGTCCACAAGATCATGTGCCGACCGCGGACCCACCGCGCTCTGTCACGGCGCAGCGGGCCCGCAGCGGACCTGAGGCCTGATGGCGGGACCGTCCCCTGCGCAGCCACTCATGTCGGTTGCGCGTGCGCCACTCCGAGCACGAGCGGGGTGCGAACGCGTGAGCGCGAGTTGCGCAGCAGCGCTCGGAAACGTCGATCGCGGATTGAGCGTGCATGGGCGGCGATACTGGAGGCGAAGGTGGGAGGTGCTATTGAGGCCGGGGTCGGCAGACTGACTAGGGGGAGGGGCGCGCAGCGGCGCCTTGCGCTGCGGGTGTCAGGTTACGTGTGGTGTTGGACTACGCAGGATGTAGCGAGTTCGAGTCCAGGAACGAAGGGGGAGTGAGTGCGCGATTCAAAAGGCGGGGGAGATGAGAGGGATGAGGACAAGCCGCTCTAGTCGACGAACACCTCCAGATCCTCTGCATCGCCTCACTCCGCACTATTATCACCATGAGCAACAACACCAACCAGACTACCGACAGCAAGAAGCAGGTCGCTGACAGCGACGGTATGTTCAGCGTTCTCGATTTTTCCTTGGCGATGGTGTACTGACTGCTACGAGTAGCCGCGTCTTTCACCTCCGCAAGCAGCACCCTCTACGACGGGAAGGGCAGCTCAACGACGAAGAAATCGCCGAAGAAGAGCACGGGAACGAAGCTCGACGACTCCGCGACCTCTTTCGCCAAGAAGGCAGGCGAAGAAGGATGGAGCTCGCCGACTGCCACGCGCCCCTCTATGGGCTGATGAACCTGGCTCTCTCGTGTACGTGCTGCATGCATCTCGCTCGAGCCCGATCGCATGCTCACCATAGTATCCGACAGCTTGTAAAACGAATCACATCACCGCCAGTGCTGCTTCTACTTTTTCGTTGTTTTCCCCACTGTTGTATATGTATCCGCCCCGATTGAAATAGTAAGAGACCGTGCGCACCATGTTCGAGGGATGTTTGGTATGAATGGGAGGACTCGAGGAGTCATGACGCGCGCTCGTATCGTCCTACATGAAATCGTCCATCATCTCCTGCACTGACCGCTTCGGTTCCGGGATCTCGTCCTCGTCGTCGCCGGAGAAGAGGTTGTCGTACGACCGTGCTGCCTTTTCTGCTTCCCGAGCCTTCGCAAGTTCTGCATCAGCCTTTTTCTACATAACATCCGTTAGACCACGGTCCCTCAAGCAAGCGTAAAAAATAAGTGGCAAGTACCTTAGCGGCTGCAGCGGCTCGCTTGACGGCGTTTTCCTTCTTGATGCGCTCAACCTTTTCGTTCTCGTGGTCCACTTCTCGCTCGACCTTGGTCTTGTTCAATCGATTGACGATGACGTTTTCGCGCTTGGGAACGTGCACTTCCGGGCAACATCAGTAATCGCTGAGAGAGCATGTGTACGATAAACGTACCGCGCTTGACCTGTTGGTGCGGGGCGTCAATGCGATTGAACGCTTAGCGGAGAGCGATGGACTTACGCGTTTGTCGCTATGAAAGGAGACTTGCCCGACGGCCATGTCGCCCGATTTCTAAGGTTGGAGGTTTAGATCATAAGCCCACGCATGTTATGCCGGAGGAAAATACCTTGAGGTTATCTCCGGGCGTGTAGATGATCGTTATGTTGTCCTTTTTATTGCCTACACGCCTAAAGATGTTACTGCCAGCCAACCAGCGAGACGATTTTGTGAAGTGTACCTTCGATGGAGTTGGCTTTAACAAGTTGCGCGCAGTCTGTCAGGAGTGCCTCCGGGATGGCCTCCCATGTCATCCCATCGGGCATCCGTAGGTAGACGTGCGCTGAGGAGAGCTTGTCGACGTGGAACCACACATCCTGTGGCCACGCGTACTTGATCAAGTCCTCATCTGGAGAGGTTTCATGGTGTGAATGAAATCCGAGTGGGGAAAGCATCCCGGCACGCACTCTCGTGCTTGTCCTTGCCCATGTAGATGACCGCGGGCGGGGTCGTCGCTGTACCGGGAGCGGAACTTATTTAGACTCGTTATAGCTCTTCGTTCTGCACACATACCGTTGGAAGTAAAGAACAGGACCATTTTCTACTTCGACGCTAACGATAAGCTCGCTGGATCCAAGAAACCGATTCAGCGGTGGTGGCGGTCCGCGGCGAAGTCAATTCGCAGCATGGGCGCTAATGGAGGAGAGGTAACACCGGCCGGTACTCGGGCCGAGAAGCTTTTGCCATATATGGACCGATATTCCTCCAGGTGTTGAAGTCGCCCCTCTGACTCTTCCCAACGAGACTTTGTTTCGATCCACCATCGTGAATAGCCCATCGCTCTGGACTGCCGTTTCCCTAAACTCCACATCTGGACTGTGAACTAGGCAAACCCAGGACTGCTTGATGTTTGGTAAACCTTGTCAGATACCCGTGAGTTATTGTTTGTGCAGACAATAAGCTTAAGACATCTCGGCCCAAAGCCCTTCCACATTTCGGTATTTATGCTTGCCCGTGGACCTCAGCATCTCCGAACAACATGTACAGCGTGCTATTGCTTGTCACCAGTTTTCTAGCTGCGGCCGTAGCGGCCGTTGGCGCATATCTCTTCTACCTCATTGTCCTCTGGCCCCGGTGGAATCCCCTATGCAGGTTACCCGGCCCACCCACACGGAGCTTTTTTGGGAACCATCTGGCTGCGGTGCTAGAGTGAGTCTTCTACTATCTTTATGCACTTCTAGTCCCCTTTCTCTTTCTCGTGGGTAGACGATGTCGGTGGCGGACGTTCTGTAGAGTCCTCTCCCGCTCCCTCGTCCCGCTTCTTCTATGCCCTTGAAGGGTAACGTCCCGTAGATCTAGGAAAGTGACTCTCACTGAGACCAGAGACTCCCGCTGAAGCTGGGTGGTCGCAGTGAGAGCTACTGCACCGAGGATCCATGTGTTCGTGTCGCGCGACGCGTTGCTTTGCCGCGATTATAATGTCTTGTGCCGTGCTCATCGAGTACAGAGGGTGGGTGCGCTCCCTCGCGGAAGAGCATGCCTGCCTACGTACTTCGGGCTCAATGCGCGCGTTGACCATAGCGTCTTCCCCGTTGCGAGGATACGGTCTGGCATGCTTGTCGGCCCACGCGTGCCAGTACCAAATAGTGAGCGCCTTCAACGGGGGTGTTGAGCCCATACAGCAGGCCTGACTGGAGGACACACACTACGTTTGAGTGAGAGTCACTCGCTGTTTTGGTCGTCACTCTATTGTACATTCCTGTAGTACACGGCCGCTTCCAGTCGCTCCATATGGTTACTAAAACAGCAACAGTCCCTCTAGGTCTCCACGGGTCCACGAGAAGTTCGTCAAAGAGTATGGGCGCAATGTGCGGATACGCGGGCTTTTCCCAGTACGTCCCTCTCCATATTGTTGGTGCCGCCTTACTAAAGCCTTCTTCAGTGGGAAGAACGTCTCATCACCCTAGACCCCATCACCCTCACGCACGTTCTTAAGCATTCCACGATTTACGAGAAGCCCTGGCAGTCGCGCACCCTCATCTCCGGCATGATAGGCGTCGGTATGCTCGCGGCGGAGGGGCAGATGCACAAGCGTCAGCGCCGGGTCGCGACCCCAGCGTTCTCGATTCAGAATATGCGCGCCCTCATCCCAGTGACATTTCAAACAGGCTTGGCGCTCAGGGACAGATGGATGGCACTCATCTCCGATGTGCAAGACGTCCCTGCGAGCGAGAAGTCCGGTGGCGGGAGGAAGCTCGACGTCTGCCACTGGGTGAGCCGTGCTACGTTCGATGTCATCGGCCTAGCAGGCAAGTTCTTCATATCCACGTAGTATGATCTACGTATGCTCACCGACACGCAGGCTTCGACTACCACTTCAATGCCATACACGATGGTTCGAACGAGCTCTTCATGGCCTACAAGGACATGTTTGAAATCGCGATCTCGCAACAGAAAGGCAGTCTTTGGGACATTGCTGTGCTTTACTTCCCGGCACTCGATGGGCTCTGGGTGAGTAGAGGCCCCCTCTCTGTACCCATCGGTCCTTACCAGCAATCGTAGCCCGGAGACCGCTACCGAGTCGTAGCGAAGTCACACGAAGTTATCAACCGCGTGGCGGGTCGTCTCATCCAGGAGAAAAAGACCAAGATCGCAGAAGCCGAGAAGGTTGGAAGCGTCTACGGCGGCAAGGACCTTCTCAGTGCCTTGCGTAGGTTGTCCGTCCCGAATATCGACCTTTATCATTCTAACCACGACGCTCATACAGTAAAGTCGAACATCGCTGTCGACCTCCCGCCCGACCAGCGCATCTCCGACGAGGACATCCTCAACAACATCAATACCTTCCTCTTCGCAGGATCGGACACGAGCTCGCTCACTGTGACTTGGCTCATTTACCTCCTCGCCAAGTATCCCGAGGTGCAAGAACGCCTTCGCGCCGAGCTACGCTCCGTCGCCCCCACGGTGCCCCTCGAGTCGCTCACGCAGGACGAGATCGCCTCCGTGTACGCCTTGGTTGCTGAGCTGCCGTACCTGGAGAACGTCGTCAAGGAGACGCTGCGCCTCATCCCCCCGGTGCACTCGTCGATCAGGGTCGCCACACAGGACGATGTCGTCCCGACCTCCGTCCCAGTCTCGCTGCGCGGCCGAGACGGGACGGTGGCAAAGGTGGACAGCTTTGTGATGCCGAAGGGGGCATGTGTCCACGTCCCGATCGAAGCGTTCAACCTCGATCGCGAAGTGTGGGGCACGGACGGGTGGGCATTCAAGTACGTCGAGTTTGCGATCGTGATCGTATGCTGTGCACTCACTGATATCTTCGTGGTGCCACAGCCCGGATCGGTGGGACAACCTGCCCGAGGCGGTCAAGTCACAGCCCGGGTTATACAATAATATCCTGACCTTTTCCGCAGGCCCTCGGGTACGTCACGACCGCGGTTTTTTTTATAGGGCTAGATGCTGATCGGGGTACAGTCGTGCATAGGCCTCAAGTTCTCGATCATCGAGATCAAGACGTTTGTCTTCATCCTCCTCACGAACTTCAAATTCGCACCGGCTGACCCGGTCGGCAAGGCCAACGTGTATGTATGTTCCCTGCGATGCTAGTACGACCGCGTTACTGACGGCAACGTGTTAGCGTATTGACGCGCCCGTATGTGGTGGACAGGCATAAGGAGGGCAGCCAATGTCCCCTGTTTGTCATTCCTTTGATGAAGGACACACCTGCGCCATAAGTCCTCTAGGGTCCCGTTTCATGAGTTCGCTGGGCGATTTTCTCTGTATCGCACATCATCTTGCGCTTCCTTTGCATCTCATCTCGCATTTGCTTGTATCTGGCATCATATTGTACATGTAGCCTCTGTAGCCCGTATACATTTCTTCTCGTATTGCCCTCATCCTCCCACACGACATGGCCCGCGCCGAACTAACGGATACATCGCCATGCTGATGAGTTGTGTTTAGTGGCCGTACGTCGCCTTCAGACGCTCCTTGACGTAGTCCCCCGCGGTGACGACCTCATACTTCGGCGGCCTTTCCGGGGATACGCAGCTTGGGATCGGCTGCGCCAAACGCGGAAAGCGTCAACGATGTTGAGATCTTTCACTTTATGTAGCGAGGGGGGAGCGTACCTCGAGCTTCACGTCGTAGTCCGTGCCAAAGAAGAGCGGGATCGAGTACCGACGCACGCCGCTGCGGTTGATCGCTCGATGCACCGTCGATTTGAAGATGTCATCTGCAAACATGCAGTTAGCATGTACGTCCTGGTTAGCTAGATACCAATCTACGCACTAGTCCAGCGCGCGAATTGGTCCGCGATGCTACCGCGAGACGTGAGCCTGGGCGCGCACGCGAGTATGAAACTGGGGACAATCACTTCACCACGAGCGTGCCCGGGATCGGCGGCGCGTCGATCCACTGATTCTGCTTGTTGAGTACCTGGAGGGCCTGGATCCCCGGCTCTTGCCACAGGATGGTAAAGCACTGCAATTTACGATGAGACGGAAGGGGCGCAGGGAATAACAGTCAACTGTACCTCGAAGCTGGACGTAGTGGCATAAGATATCAGCTTCGCCTGAAACGAATATTGTGAGACATGACGCGACGTACTCCGTATGTGCGCCAATCCCAATGACTCGGTCGTCCACAGGACCAGTCTGCGGAGGGTAATGCAACACGCGCATAATCGCAGCAGCGTTCTTCGTCTGCGCATGCCCGCGGTCCCCAGCATGAGCATTTGCATTTCCGAGCGCCAAAACCAAGATTCCGAACCTTGTCGTCAAAGAAGTCGGCTGGAAGGTCGAGCGCGAGCGCGAACAGGGGAAAGAGCTTCCGCCCAAGGTCCACTGCTGCGTGGCTGCGGGCCCGGGATTTACGTTAACGCGCGGATAGATGCAGCAGCTTTGCAGGGATGCGCACTAGTAGCTGAGGACGGACTCCCGGAAGTCGGGAAGCTCGGAGGGCCAGACGTTGGCACCAGCCATGACGCCGTCGTTTGCGCGTTTCTCGTCGGCGGCGCGGGCGTCGAGTTCTTCCCAGCCGAACTCGAAGCCTTCGTGGAGGTCGCCGCGGTTGAGCGGGTCGTTGTTGCTGGTGAGGATGGCATTGTACCCCTTGAAGTTCGCGGTTTTGCGGATGTCTAGCTGTCGGGAAGGTGCTGGGCGTTAGGACCAACTCTTCTACGATTGCGCATTCTGCTACCTCCATCTTCTGGTCTAATGGCAGAGAGAAGAAGTCTTTCGATGCAGACAAGGCTTTATCGATGGTCTCCTCGGGAATTCCATGGTTTCTCACTAAGGAGAGTCGTTATCAGCATGGACATTCGGTGTGTTGTGACAGCGGACTGGCGCAGATACGCACCATACAGAAATCCGACGTTGATGCATGCGTCTCTAACAGCCTTTCCGAGTGCCTTCTTGCTCTCGGGGTTAGCGTCGTCTATGTCCTTGAGGTCTCTGCGCCGTATCAAACGTATGAGCCGGGCTGCTGCGTGCCGGAACGAGGCATCTGGAGTGCTACATTATGGGGATGTGGTCGAACGCCTCCGCAGACTCCGCGTCGTGCGCAGCTTGTACTAGCGACATTGTGGTGACTGCTCAGACACCTGAGGTCGGATTTCGAATGAGTGTGAGTTGAAGGTGTGAAATCGCGAACCACCGGGCGCAGCCAAATCCGGCACCGGCGGGACGAGGAGAATGGGCGTCTATCAAACGTCTGACAAGCTTCACGGGCGCTTGTGAAGCTTGAACTTGCCAACTTGCCGCAACTTGTCATCCATACTGAAAAATTCCCACTTTTACCATTGCTTTGTCTGGTGGTCGACTAGGAAGGCCGCCAACAACAAAGGACCTTCGCTTGGACTCACTCTGCAAAATAGTCTGCACTCTGGGCCGGGGGTACCGATGACTGCGCAGCAGTAACTTCGACGAGCGCCGATATGCCAGTGGATGATCCACACCTCCGACGACCATTCCAAGCGCAGCACAGCGACCATATGCTCCGCTCTCTCGCGTGCGTAAGGTTATCGAATTTGTCTTTCAGCCTGCCTCGAGTTCGACGGAGACACGACTCGGTCGGAGTACGCTGCGGTTGCGGCACAGTCATACGGCGCCGGTGCCATCGAGCGAAGCCCAAGGTACCATCCTCGTTGTGGATAGAAGTCGAATCGTGCTGACCGCATGAGGCCGGCGAATACTCCTCCGTAAGTCATGGGTGTTCTGTAGCTCTTCGTTTGAAGTGGCCTTTGCATGACGATGGCTATCGACTGGACTTTGCGGACGGGAGCCTCGATGCTGCGGTCCCACCGCAAGCCTCTCCGAGCCCTTCCCTAGTGAACCTTGAACGTCGCAGTCCAAGCTGACAGAGACAAGCCGTCATGTCCAAGCGTCACTGGTTCAGCGGTATATAGATGCCCTAAGATAGCCAGGGTCTGGCAACCCAACCCTGCAGATCTACAATCTCCCGCACGTACAACCGATTTCTCCAACAGTGTGCAAACATGTCCGACCAAATCAACCCTTCTGCGTCACTTGTCTCTCTTGCTACCACCGCCGAAAATGAAATGCCCGCAACGCCTTCCGCGTCGACCACCGCTTTGATGCCCAAGGTGAGTCACACTCCAACTCGCTCCGTATGCATTCATTGGACAGGACATCTAGTCTGCGTCTTCCACCGCACCCGCACAGACGCCCTCTCGAACGCCCACCGCCAGCCCGCCTGCCAAGAATTACGAGCAGGCGTTCGCAGCGCTGTCGTCATCCTATGGCTTCGCCGGGACTGTCCCGACCAAGAATCCGAAGAAGGACAAGAAGTCGAAGAAGCGCGCAGATAAGGCGCAAAGCCCCAAGGGCGAGGCCTCCGGCTCGGCGCAGGGCGGTGCCAGTGCTGGTGGCGGCCAGTCTGCGCCCGCGAAGTGATCATCAGGTGCCGAGGATGACCCTTCAGGTGAGGATCCCGATTTTGAGTATAACATAGGCTGAGTCTCATTTTTTTAGCGTTGTACGAAGTACGGAAAAGGATGTGAGGGACTATCGTGGCAGCCGGTGTGGGTGGGGACAGCTTTCGGGTTGGTGGCGAGTCGGCGTTCGTGAGTCCAGCCTCCACGGAGAGGTGCTAATATGACGAGGTATAGTTTAGCGGGTTCAAGTCGCGCCAAGAAGAATCGAAGCGAAGATCTTCTTCTCTTTTATTGGCTGAGTTACCGGCGCATGTTCAGCGTCTGAGCGTAGCATGAGTAACGCGTGTCCTTCTCACCCGAGTCATGCGCCACATACACACCTTCCGGCATCCAGCTCTGGCCCAAGAACGAGCAGCACACCGTCATCCGAGCGGGCTATACGGATTTCAGAACGTCAGCCTTCATCCCAGGAAGACCTTAGGCTGTTGTGTGCGCACTTGTGGGCAACGCACATGCACACGCGCAGATTGCACTAACGTGTTTCTACAGATGTGGGGTGCACGTTGAAGTCTATTCGAACACGTTGCCACGCCTTACGGGCATGTGCTCCTGTAGACCAAACCATCAAACTCAGGGACAGCGGAGTTCGGACGCTTACGCCGTCCACCGCCCAAGCGGGTACGATAAAATACACCCCGAGTCCCTCCGCCGTTGCGCACTGTGCCTTCAACGCCACGACGAAGGACGCCAATCGTCCGAGCGAGAACACCTAAAGGAGGTCCCTCGCGAAAGAGAGGGGCGGAGCGGGGGACGTGCGCCGCCGACACAAACAACAAATCGTGCTAAAGATGCCGAGGTTGATGGGGCGTATCCGCCGTCCTCGACCCACGCATCCTTCCTCTGGAACGCCACCACCGCCCCCACCTGCAGTGCGTCCCGAGACTCCGTTCTCCCCGTCCGAACATATTACTGACGCGTGTTTGAGCCGCTGAAGCAACGGGTAGATGGGTCGCGCTGCTAGTGAGCTCGGGGCGGGTGACCTTAGACCATCTCGGGTCCCGAATCGTCCGTCGGAAAATATGCGGTGCTCTTGCTTTGGGCACATCCGCCTCATGACTCCTGTAACTCCCCCGCCAGTCGCACCCTAGGAGCGCGGTATTTGGGTTCTTGATTATCATCCTCACCATCGCGGAAAGGATCCGCGCACGGCCTGTTGTCCTCCGTCCCCTCCCCGCCTCTACGCCCCAAGGAGCCCCCTTGTGGCATCACAACGCCAGGTAGCGCCCCACCATCGATGCGCCCATTTCGAACCCAGCTTGAAAAAATAAAAACACGCCCCTCTGCACCTACTCAAACGAGACGTCCTTTTGTTCAAGGCCACGCGCATGGGCGCCGTGCGTGTCCTCCGGCGGGAGCCGAGATCGGAGGCCCTCCAGGTATAAAAACCCTCCCGGTGGTCGCCCTCTCCTTCCCCAGCTCTCCGCTTTCCCTCTCCGGTCCACATCCCCCGAGGCCTTTAGATGCGTGCGCTGCGATAGCGGCGCGCGCTGTCCTCGTGTGGGATTGACCAGTACGCACACTCTCTGTTCCTCACACTCGATATGGAGGCTAACTCATGTGGCGCTTCGCCACCGCCTATGCAGAGGACGTCGTACGTGAGTTGGCTTGTCTTCTTCCATGACCTCACGCACCTAGCTCACATGAGTATCACTTGCAGGTGCCGTTCGACGTGACGGCCATCGGCGTCGGCTCGCCCCTACATGTTCAACGGCGGGCGGCGATGACTGTGGCGTAATTTGTCGGTCGACTGCATTCTCATACCAGTTGCCGCGCGTAATGCTCACGTTCGCCTCAGCGACTATGCGGGTTGGCTCGAATCCTCGACGTGGGCCTGGGGACCGGCTGGCTCACGGCTGGAACCCGGGCCCTGGCGCGGGCCCCTTCGGGGGGTCATGGAGGCCGCCATTCTGCCTGGGCGTTTTAAAACATCGGTACGCCGATGCCCTCCGCTACCTCACGATCCACACTCTGACGAAGTTGCATCGTCCTAGCTCTGTTCTCTTCCCCGCTCAGGCTCGAGCGGCGGGTTTAACGCCTGCACGCTCGCCTGGTACTCAGCGGGCTATGCTTCTTTATGGACACCAACATGGACACGTTATGTTTAAACAACTCACAAATATGCTCTTCACAGTAACGGCCGCGCGCTGCCCCACCAGCGCCGCGCCACCACCGTGCTGGGCTCTGGGCCCTAACCCGGAGTCCGCGCGGATACTAGGCTGACGTCCCCAAAGACTGAAGCTCTGCGGAACATCGCGCCTCCTACGGAGTGGTGCCGCGTTACGTGGGCCCGGGCCTGGTATAACAGGCTTGGGCTCACAACTACCAGGTGGCTTCAGTCCGAGTCCTCGCGGACTGCAGCCATCTAGCACGATCAGGCCACCCCAAGGCCTGACAGTCGCCGCATGTGATCCCCATGGTGTGCGGCGACTGCGTCGGCACTGGATCCAAGGGATCTGGCTTGGGCCGGTATCGACTTGTGCTACCCAACGAGCTGACGTCCTCAAGGACTGACGCTCGGCGGGGTCTAACGACCCCGCGGCCTCTGGGCGGTGCGGAGGTGGACAATCGTCCCTCTGTACCACCCAGTCAGACGCTTGTTTTCGGGTACCCACCTGAAGCATGCTGCGTCGAGGCCCAGGTCCTAGCGGACCAAGCTTGGCGGAGCACTTCCACTCCGCCGGCGGCACCGCACTCAGAAAGCCATCATGATCGGTCGGGTCGGCCCCTCGGGGAGATCATGTCGGTCATCGATTGATGGACGAGCGGCGAAGTGTGCTGCTGCTTGCGTCTGGACGCCACAACGTGGGTGAGTTCTTTCACTATCCTCCTCGCGTTGCTCCTATGCTCACGCGTTCATGTTTAGGAGGGCAACGAGAGTTCCAGACCACACCGCGCCAAGAGTTATGCACTTGCCTCGGGAAGACCCACGGAGCACCGTTGGATAACACCACCCCTCACGGTAACCAAGGACGCCGCACAGTAGCGGTCGAGGCTGTGGGTGGGTCGCACGCGACCGCCTCTCAGAGTAACCAAAGACGCCGCACAAACCGGCTGAGGCTGTGAGTGGGCGGGCCGCGCCGGGAGTCGGGTCGGCGAAAACCCTGATGGCCCCCGGGTAGAGGTGAGTGTTATATTACTACGGGGGTCGGTGCGGGGTATGGGGTATTGTGCCCACCTCGCGCCGATATCCTCCCCAGGGATAGCGCAGGCCTCTTCGTGGCCCCTGGGACTAGTACCCGCCGCAAGGCGGGGAAGCCAACTGCGCTTGTCCGCTTTAAGCCCGCGGACTTGCAGGTGAGTTAGCCCTATTTTATAGGGCGGAGACGCAACGAGCTGACACTTCGCATTGATGCCAGCGTGCGGGCACTTCCGAGTGCGACGTCATCACTGAAATGTACGTTGCGCCTCGCGTCTCCTTCGCCACGAGATCTGACGCTGACGCGTACTCTGCAACAGGTCATTTCACCCACCGCGCTCGCCGCCGCTGCATGCTCCTCTCGTACCATCTCTGTGTGCCTCAAGACCGTGTGCCTCAAGATCCCCGAGGTACGGGGTCGAGCACACGGGAGGTGTGCTCGGCTCCTGGCGCAGGCCTTTTCGTGGCCCTCGGGATAAGTACCCATCGCCGCTCCGCTTGCGGCGATGGGGAAACCAACTGCGCCCTAGGTAGTGTCGTAGAGTAGAGCGGTGTGGGGGTTGTAGAATTGTACTGTCTCGCGCTCGTCTGCCATCGCATCCATGTCACTATCTGCTGTGTCAACCATACATTCTACTCGCCTTGAGTGGAATTATCTCACCGGTATGTCTATGGAGTCAGGCCACCGGCCAATGACGTCAAATTAAGGGTATAGACAACCGATACGCCCCTTCACACCCAACACACCCGGAAGGTGACTGATCTTCGCGCCTGCCGCTGTTGCACATGTCAAAATTGCGATACCATTCTTTAGTTTATTACGCTACACTGTACGCATGGTGGTAGGACAGATACACAAATAGCTTATACAACGACGCCGATACAACGTGATTACGACGATACATCTACCGCACTGGTCTCATTCTAGGAGATTCTTCAGTCGCTCGCCCAATGTCTCCCCACACTTCCCCGCAAACTCCAACCTCGCCGCCTTCCACTCGCCCTGCTGCTCAAAGCACGCTGGCGGGAGCATGATCGTCCCCTGCCTGTTCTGGCGGTACAGCACGATGTCCCGCACGGCCTCGAGCCCGCTCTGGTCCACCACCGCCTGGAGCAGCTTCTGCGCCCGCTCCTCCCCATCAGACCCGAGGTCCGGCCAGATCCGGCACGCGACATGGTGCACCGCGACAAGCCGAACGAAGCCATCAAGCCCGCCCTTGACGAGCGCGCGCAGGTACGCCCCAACGACCTCTGCATCCGTTTCCACCGGCCAGAGGTACTCCGCGATGTTCCCGGTGACGACCGCCTCTGGTGGCGTGCGGATGGTGCGCATGACGTGGCTGTAGTCTGCCCAGAGGTACTTGCGGTAGTCGACCGGGTAGCGCATCGAGAGCGGGGCTAGCAGCAGGCGCGCGAAGAGCGGGTGCGCGAACGAGATCGCATCATAAAGCCCGACGAAGTCCGTGTACCACTGGTAGAAGGGCACCGCGCTCCCCAGGAAGCGTTTCGCGACGACGTCGATGCTGTCCGCGCTGTGGATTGATGGTGGCGGCGTGTGCAGCGACTTCGCGGAGGCGGACGCGGAGAACGGCGCGAGGAGGTCGCCCATGAAGCGTTCGACGATGCTGTCGCGGAAGACCTCTTCTTGCGAGTCGTCCTGCTGCTGTCCGTGCTCGAGCATGAACACCTTCATGCAGCCGAACGCGACCTCCTCGCGGCTCATGAGGAACCCACTGAGCTGGTGGAACCCAAGGACCTCCTGGCTGACCCGGGCGAGGAGCAACGTCGCGCGCACGACGTCTGCCTCGGACGCATCCCACGAGTCGGGGAGATGCTTGAAGACGCTCGTCTCTCCGGACCGCAGTAGGTGATCCAACGGCGAGAACAGCCAGTCCTTCGTCACAGGCATGCGCAGCTCCCGCTTCTCGTTGGGCATGAGCGACGAAAGAGGAGGCAGCCTCTGAGTGGTCGCAATCGAGATTGAGCGCGGGGTGACGCAGACGGGGCCAACATGAACAGCCGTCCTTGGGCGTAGCGTGTGCGCCAGGAATGGAGCGACGACGGCCATGCCGCCCTTGTCCCATACCTCGCTCGGGACGGACCACCCCCGAGCCTGCAAGAAGTCCGCCGTGACCGTGTCGGTGATGTCGGTGACTGCCCGTTGCGCGCATTCTTCATCCCCAGGAAATAGTCGACAGAGGATTGCGAAGGCTTGCGCCATCCAGAGAGCAGGAGAGTTGTCGGGAATACTCTTCGACAATCGAAGATAGTAGGAAAGTAGATTGGAGAGCGGTCGACAGAGGGAGTGGGTATATGGGACTGTCTCAGGAGTGAACAGCCCAGTCCAGAGAGGATGGTTCGTGGTCGCGGCACAGATATGCGAAAGCTCGGCGAAGGGCAAAGTGAACGGCGGCTCCGGGAGAGGTTCAGAGGATGCTCCGGGGGTGCAGGCAAGGAAAAGACGAATGGCAGCCGCAAGAACGGTTGCATGGCGTCCGACCTTCCTAAGATCGTGAAGGTCGGCTGGGACGATAGACTGTCGCAAGCCGGAGCTGAGTTTGCCTAGCGCATCCCGAGCGCCCTTTACCGCAGTGTTCATCACTCGTCTCTCTACGCCGTTCGAGAAGGCCTCCTTCACGGAGGCTAGGACAGCCGCTCGTTCCTCCTCACCACCCTTCGAACCATTGACCCGTGCCCCTTCAAGGAAGGCGGCCTCGGCGTTCCATAGGCGCCCCCAAATTTCTAGGCTCTGGTCCGTGAGCTGTTGTCGGAGAGCGAGGATATCTTCTGCCCAACCCCACCCAACAACTTGGCTCCAGAGGATCTCGTGACTTGGCGTTGTGCGATGCGGGTCTTGCGCGCACACAATCCAAGTCTCGAGGAGCTGGAGCCACGCCAAACGAAGGTCCTTGGACTGACAATCGGAGGACAGGATGTAGCGGTTGATTTGCAAGAAGTGCTCCTGCGCGGTAGTCGCGATGTGCGCGTACATCCCATACGAACCCAAAGCGGCGTACAGACGGAGTGTCTCGGTGAGCAGGGTGGTGGCGAGAGTCGGGGGAAAGGGAGACGCGGAGGGGATGCTTACGATGAAGCGGAGAAGGGAGTCGGCGGGGCCAACCAGAGCAGAAGCATTTTCACGAGACGCGAGTGCCAAAGTCCTCAAGAATGTGAGAGCAAAAGGCTTTGGGAGGGCTGATCCTGCGGTTGGCGGGATGGGCGTGAGGAGGAATGTTTGGAACGTATTGGCGACGAGACCCTTCGCGGCTACGATCTCAACGGCGTTGCTATTCGAATGTTGGGCCACCCGATGAAGGACCTCAAGGAGCTGCACCATGCTCTCGGACGGTAGATCAGCGGTGGCGAACATGTTGGCAACTTGTGGCAGCATATAGTCCAAGGGCAGGGAGGAGACGGCGCCTTCAGATGATGTTGCAGAAGAGCCCAGGTCCAGATCGTGGAGCTCGACACCGTCGAACAATTGCACTCCTTCGTCCCAGAACACAGTGCATTCCCAGAGGAGCTCGACCGCACGAGCGCCGACGCCACCGCGCTCCCCCATCGCCTCTACCCCTGTGGCGAGCATCCGTTTTCTCAGAGTGAGCTCCTGGCCAGCGAGTTCAGGCAGCCCCTTCTTGCTGTCCGCAGATGTCCTCGCGAGTTTATGCGCAATCTTGGCTAGAAGACCGATCATCGAGGCCCGCTGCGCGGGAACGGTAGATCGCGAGAGGAGGAAGATGTCCTCCAGCGTGTACCCGGCATGCGAGCCTTCGGCGTGGTGGTGAAGGCCAAGATGTGTGGGGAGTTTGGATGCAACTTGCGGAGGTATGGGATTGCCTGTCAAGTCGAAACGAACATTGGGTTCAGCCTCGGGCTCGGCGTCTTGTTCAGTGTCGTCCCGCATCCATGCTAAGGACGGATCGTGTGCGGGAGCTGCGGGGAAGAAGCGTCGTCTGATGTCTTCAGGGGTGCCTTCCTCCAGGCTACCGATCTTAGTGTCATTCCCTTCATCTGTGCCCCCATTCTGCGCGACCTCGGTAGGCTGCAGGGCCGTCAAACTGTTCTTGTCTCGCCACTGGCCCAAAGAGACGGTGGGACCATCACCGTCCGAAGGTGCAGGGAGGGCAAGGGCTTTCCTTCGAGGGGATGGAGGAGCCGACTCGTACACATGGATATCGCCTGCGGTGAGGTCCGCGAAGCGGATTTTACGCTCAGCGCGGCTTGGCGGTCGAGTGCTGCCTGCAGATGTGGATTGGGGGGAAGACGGCCTTATGAGACTGCCTGAACGAATGGTCATATATCCAATCCATTAGGCGCGAACTTATGTACATACTGTGTGACCTCGTCCGTTCACCGATACGTGGTCGACTAGGGGATGATGGAGGAGAGGGCGACACACCGACCTCTGGAGTTTCGCTTCCACCAGCCACCACCTTGCCCTCCCGGGCGGCGCGGGCTTTCCTCAGAACATCCACCACATTCGACCCAAACTTCCCCAAGATCTCAGCTCGTTCTTGGTCGCGCTCTTCCTCTGTCATCGACGCGACCTGCTTCCTGTTGTCTTCTTCCATCTGCGTACGCCAATCATCCGCATTGCTAGGGCCAGAGAAAGGCTTGTGATGTGGTGGCTGAACAGAGGACTGCACTACAGGGACTTCGCGAAGGCGCTCCGTGCCTGGTTTTGAACCATCGCGTCGAGCTCGGGCAAACGCGCTTTGGGATCGGTGTTGTACAGCAGGGAAGCCCGTCTTGGTGGTGGCCTGAGATGGATTGGAAGGCTTCGCAGTCGGCTTCCGTTCAAGGATGGAGCCGATGAGTGAAGATTGTGCCATTACTATTGCATAGTCTGCAGATCCAGTACTCAGAGAGAAAAGGCGTCGTAAAAAGCGAGCAAGAGGACAAGCGCGGTCGCAGTGGAGAAGCAAGAAAACACAAGGAATGCTGTGCAGGAATTTGTTGGCGAAATGCAAGTCCTTTACTTCCCGACCAGCTCCGCACGTCGGAGACAGTTTGTCCAGTGCGTAGTGCCTGACGGTTTCCCACCCCGACTCAACTCCGCTTTGGCCGATCGAGTGCCCCTGAATTCGATTTGATCTCAGAATTGACCACAGACCAGACTACTTACCTCGTTCTCGTCGAGAGTAGCGGTAGGTTCTTTTCCACATCGTAGCGCGTCCTAACGACTGAACTCGCAGAACAAACATGTCCCTTAGACTATCTGCTACACATGCTCAACCGCCACCGGCGGAAGAGCCTCCCTCCGAGGGAGAATCTAGCTCGGAGGACGAAGATGAGGAGACTTGGGACGATTGGGTCTCAGATTCTATGGATCGCCGCCCATGCAAATCTCTATTCGAAGACAAAACGTTTGACTCCGTACAGGAGGCTTTGACGTACGACGAATCTACCCACAAGTTCAATTTGAAGGATATTACTTCACGACTGGGTACGCATCTTTCTCTGCGCAAATGTGCATCCACTCACAGTCGGCATGCGCAGCGCTTGATATGTACCAACGCATCAGGCTAGTAAACTGGATTAGAAAAGAAGTGCGTAGAGCCTCGCCGACAAATATTTTGGACTTACTGACGTCATTGACATAGCATCCCACACCATCGGCAGTAATTGCTTTGAATGGGTCCGAAACCTTCTTCAATTCCGATGAGTACTTAAAGCCTTCTCTCGAGGACGATCCGCTGCTCCGTACGTGTGCACAGTATTTTGAATCTCTCATGTCAGTTGACCATATCCCATTCCAGAGATCGTGCCGGACGACTCAGATTCGGAAGATGAAGAGACTGGGAAGCCCGAGGCTCCGAAGGACCTTACCGCAGCCACTCGCCGCATCGCAGCCTTGCAGCGCAAGCTGGAGCAGGCAAAACAGGACCTTGTGTACTATCGCGGCTTCGTGAGCGAGCGACTCAACCTGGCTGGTCTTGCGGACGAGCTGAAGGAGTCGACCGCTGCATCTACCTCAACCCACGCAGCAGTCCCGCTGCGCGACGACGACTCGCATTATTTTCAGAGCTATGCGGAAAATGGTCAGCACTGTTCGCTATCCGAAACAAGGTTCGTATTCATTCCCGTGTACAGACATCCACTCCGTCATGATCTCGGACAAGGTTCGCACCGCGACCTACGCGAAGTTCATTCTCTCCAACCCGGACGTCTTCCGGGACGCCGTTGTGATGGACGTCGGGTGTGGCACTGGAATCTTGTCGCTGTTTGCGGCCAAGGCGGGCGCGAAGCGCGTGTTTGCCATCGATGCGAGCGATATCGCGGAGAAGGCGACACAGATCGTGAAGGACAACGAGCTTGACAACGTCATCACGTAGGTGCGTTTTCACCGTTATATTGTTCATCTTGACTGACAAGCCCAGCGTCATCCGAGGCAAGGTTGAGGACATCAAGTTGCCCGATGGTTACGACCACGTCGATATCATCATCTCGGAATGGATGGGCTACGCGCTTCTGTACGAGTCGATGCTGGACTCTGTGCTTCACGCACGCGACCGCTTCCTCCGTCCGGAAGGCGTCATGGCCCCCAGTCAGTGCAAGATGATGTTCGCTCTCTGCGATGCCGGAGATCTCTTCAAGGAGCGCATCGGATTCTGGAACGACATCTACGGTATGCCTTTCCGGTAGTCCAGCAACATAAATCAGCTGCTCATTGTGTGTAGGATTCGACCTATCGGCGATGGCGAAGCACGTCTACGATGAGGCGGTAGTCGATGTCGTTGGCCCCCAGACGGTTCTTAGTGAACCCTTTCCAGTCAAGGTATGTCGAAGCGCATCGATTTGAGCGCTTCCGTCTTACACACCCCGTTCAGGACCTCTTCCTCGGCAACATCACATCGAAGCAGCTCGACTTCTCCGCGCCATTCACGCTCGTCTCCACCGCCGAGAGACGCACCAAAATCCACTCCTTCGTGCTCTACTTCGACACCTTCTTCACGAACACCGGAGAGCCCGTCCCAGCAGACACCGAGGTGTACCTCGTCCGCGACGGCGACCCGATCCTGGCGGAGGTCTGGCCCGTCGGCGGGCGCCCGCACCAACCGCGCCGTATGAGTACCGCCGAGCCGCTCAAGGGCAAGGGCCGCCCGAAGGTGACGAGCTTTAGCACGGGTCCCGCGTCCGAGCCGACGCACTGGAAGCAGACTATCTTCTTCCTGCGCGACCCTATCGTCGCGGCTGAAGGTGCGTTAGTCGTTTATCTGTCGTTCGAAGCGGGTAATGATACGTTGGTGGCGCAGGTACGGTCGTGGAGGGCGTGTTCAAGTGCCGCAAGAGCGAGGACAACTCGCGCGAGCTCGACGTCGAGATCCACTACCGGGTCAAGGACCCCGAGACGCCGGACGCAGCGAGCGAGACGATCGTGCAGCTGTACAAGGTCCGGTAACTTAGCCACGGTTCCCCTTCCGCGTGCGTGGGATCTAGGCCCCTGGGAGAAGCGGGCGAAGAAGAATTGCAATGTACCAATGTAGCAGAATATTCGCAGGTGCTGTGTGTATCGTACTTCTCTTCTCGACACTTTGTGAGAGCAGCGAGCGATGACGAGGGAAAGCGTGGGTGTGCTGTGGGGTGACTCTGTGTGCCACCGTGTGGACGATGCGGAGCAGTCAGAGGGAGTCATGTACGGCGCGACGCATGGGAACGTCTCGCCGCGGTAAAGTGCTCGGCGGTGGATCATCGGGCGGTCCCACAAGGGTAGTTCTCACCATCGGCAGCCAAACCTTATCCTCAGCGCGGGACTCTGTATTTCGACAGGGGAGTTTTACGTCTATTACGTGCATCGGCGTACGTCTGCTACTAACGGGCTTAATATCTCCGACCTTGACGATTCAAGACATCCGATTCGAAAGTTGGTACTGGTGCGTGGGTTTAGGGAATATTTCGGAGGTGCATCCGAGGTAAACGCTCTTGTCTCAGGCCTCAGGCGAGCTAGTCAATACCCGGACTGGGTACTTGATCCTGCGAGCGATGCGATGAAGGGCGAGTCGACAAGGTCGCCACACATAATCGAATGCAGAGGCAACCTCGTCGGATACTGGCACATCGGAGTGTAGCTCGATATTCCCAACATTTCAGCATTGTTACACTTTCAACTACACAAGATTGCCACCCATCCTCAGGACCGCATTACAACCGATGATAGAGCGGGAAAATAATAAATACACAGCTAGGAGATACGAAGTCACGATAGCTGGAGTAGATCTATCATGAAGATGAGATACCGTCTCAACGAGATACGTAACTCGAAAGTGCTCACGGACGGCCGCACGCCATTCATTTCACGGGCGCATGCTGCTGAGCGCTGCCACCCGATCCCTGCGCCGAAGGAGTAGTGGGAGCCTGGCCGCTCGGGGCCTGGTCACCTGCCTTGTCCGTGCCCTTCTTCGTCTTCTTCTCCTTCTTCTTCTTGGGGTTCTTCGTCAGGACCGTTCCCGCGAAGCCATACGAGGAGGAGAGGGTCGCGAACGCGGCTTCGTAGTTCTTAGCGGGCGCCGTTGCTGGGGTGCGGGCGGGGGACTGAGCGGGCGGTGCCGCGGGTGCGGGCTGGGCAAATTTGTGGGCGTATGCGTGATAAGCACACACGCGATGCTCTGGAGAGCGGCGGACGGTAGCTGACCTTGCGCACTAAAGTAGTGGTGGACGAGGAGGGCGTCGCGTCCGCCCCTTGAGTGGCGGTGGTGACGAGAGAGACGAGGGAGGCGGAAGGGCTGGTCTGGGACATGTTTGGAAACAGCGTTCGCTAAATTTGCGAGTGGTGTAGACTCGTATGGATGCGGGGGCGTTCTGGCCTGGCATATCATCTCGTCGCAGGGCTTTTATAGGATGCCTCCGAGACGGATTCGCCTCAAAGACATGTTCGACACAGTGCCCTGTAGAGACCACCGCTCAGGGACGTATGGTGCATAACCCGAGGGCCTGGGGCTAGCAGCGGGGCCGCAGCACAAACGCTTCCGCTGCGGAGTCAACCCGACAGCTATCGTACAGCGGGTTCTCATGAGCAAGCTCATGGATAGTGTCACTTTGGACAGGGCTGAAGACAGCCGTGACCTATGGAGGCGGACCTATGCGGTAGTATATGGTCAGCGCAGCCTGTTTGCGCTCTGCATAGAACGGACGGTACCTTGAACTTCGTTCGGTAGCGGAACCACAGATGACTGTGCCGCAGCGGGTGCCTCGGTGCTCGGATCGGGTGCGGAGCCTGCTGAGATGTTACACTGTCGAGCTGCTGCTTGCAAGCAAGTGTTGCACGCGGACGAATCGCTGCGCTCGGGATAGAAGATCTAGGGACATGTTCATGGACGGTCGCTGTAGTACTGCGCTGAGGTGGGTGCATGAGTCATCATGCAAGGCCAGTGGTGCTGGCATCCCGTTTTGGCGCTTACATCTGCTTACATGCAGCCGAGAGCACCCGTGAGAATCCCTTGCATGCTCGAGAACCCGTGGAAACCCACGGACAGTGGTGAGCGAGGTCGGTAGTCACTTCCGAGTCGTCTCGAAAAAGCCAAGTGTCATACAAATGCCGATATACGATGAGACTATCTATAAGTTATATCGCCTGGACCTCGCAATAGTACCTTTGGCGCAGTTGGTTTCCCCATTTCCGCTTGCCGGGATGGGTACTTATCCCGAGGGCCACGAAAAGGCCTGCGCCAGGAGTCAAGCATCCCTTCCGAGTGCTCGACCCCGTACCTCGGGGATCTTGAGGCACGCAGTCTTGAGGCACACATGAATACTTGACGATCCCGGTGGGGCATGCAGCGGCAGCGAGCGCGGTCGGTGAAGTGATCTGTGGTAAAATTGTGTCAGCATTGGCTCTCGCGGCAAGGAAGGGGGGGGGGGCACAACGTACACCTCAGTGCACAACGTACACCTCAGTGCACAACGTACACCTCAGTGCACAGCGTACACCTCAGTGATGACGGCGCGCTCGGAAGTGCCCACATGCTGGAATCGGCGGCGCGAAAAGTAAGCTCGTCACATCGCGGTCAAAAGATATGGCGTCAACTCACCTGCAAGTCCGCACATTTGCATAGGCGAGCGCAGTTAGCTTCCCCGCCGCACATTCGCAGGCGGGTACTAGTCCCGGGGGCCACGAAGAGGCCTGCGCTATCCCCGGGGGCCTTCAGCCAGGGCCGACGCCCGGTGTACCCCCTCTTGCCGGGTGCACACACGCGACGCCGCCCCGACGACTTGCTCAGGATGCCTTCGCCGGCGACTTGAGACGCACGGTGCCCCATTCAGCGGAAAACGTCCGCAGGGTACCGTGCGACGCCCATTTTCCGGCCCGTTGATGTTGATGCACGCGTGTCGGTGTGCTCGTCGAAAGTCACTCAGCTGTAAATGTAACAAAAGTAGGGATCATGGTGGCGCGCATATTGTGACGGGTGGATGTTAGCATGATGGGTTGTGGTGAGTGCGTACCTGGTCGCTGGTTATTAGGCGTGGTGGTTCATATTGATACTTTTTGCGGTTGGACATAGTTGAGAAGTGGATGGTGTGGTGGCGTCCTCCCCAGTGCTGTGACAGCGCCGATGGAAGACGTAGCGAGGGAACGTATTAGCTGATCATCGCTACGTTAGCGCGACGTCCATAACAAGCCTCAGAGACCAATGAGCACCGACGCACCGATATACCCATGCGCCCGTGTAGGACGGCGGCCCCGATGACCCCCCGAGGAGGCCCGCGCCAAGGCCCGGGTTCCAGCCGTCAGCCAACCGGTTCCCAGGCCCGTGTCGAGGATTCGAGCCATGGAGGTCGCTGAGTCCAAGGTTAGCTCGAGTGTCTACTGGGACGAGAACGCAGTCCACCAACAAGTTACGCCACATCTATCGCCGCCCACCGTTGATAATCGTGGGGCGGGCCGACACCGACGGCCGTCACGTCGAACGGCACCTGCAAGCAATACTGGGGTGAGCAAGGTGCGTGAGGTCACGGAAGTTGAAGGTGAGCAACTCACGTACGACGTCCTCTGCATAGGCGGTGGCGGAGCGCCACAGAAGTTAGCCCAATAATCCGAGTCTGAGGGACGATCGAGAGCACGTACTGGTCAATCCCACACGAGGGCGACGCGCGCCGCTGTCGCAGCACACGCATCTAAGGGCATCGGGGGATGTGGACCGGAGAGGGAGAGCAGAGAGCTGGGGATGGGTGGGCGACCACAGGGGGTTTTTATACCTGGAGGGCCTCCAGTTTCGGCTCAGTCCGGGGGGCACGCACGCCGCCCACACGCGTGGCCATGAACAAAAGGGCCTCTTGTTTGAGTAGGTGCAGAGGTGCGTGGTATTATGTTCTCAGGCTGGGTTCGAAATGGGCGCATCGATGGTGGAGGCGCTGCCTGGCGTTGCGATGCCACAAGGGCCTCTCTCTGGCGCAGAGGCGCGGCGACTGTGGTGGCACAACAACAGAGCGAACGCGGAACCTTTCCACGATGGGGAAGATGATAATCAAGGATCCAGGTATCACGCTCCTAGGGCGCTCGGATCCTAGCGGGGGTTTTCGTCAGCCATGAAGCGGGTGTTTCCAAAGCAAGCTCACCATATATTTTTCGGGATAGGAAGCCGGGGAAATTGGGCCACTGACTCTGCACCGATGAGCGTCGCTCGTTCACCGTCAGTAGTCATATCTCTTCTCGAGTCGCTTCGGTTGCTCGGCAACAGGCCGCCTAACTTGGTCGCGCCTCAACGCGTTGGTAGCCGTGAATTGTTTATACAAGAAGAGGGATTGCTATACACGTATTTCGGAGGAGCCCTCAGTGTCTGAGGCATGAAGGAGCCAGATGCTGGAAAGCCGCTATGGTGTTGTCGTTCGAGTTGATATGGGCGCCTGGAGGCAGCTGGAGGCTGTATGTACCACGCGCGCTTAGGCTATATTGCGACCGATCGTTTCCCCCGATCTGGATCTGCTATGCGTGTGCGGGAGCGTCGGTTGTTGCGTCTTTGTCTGCGACACGCTCATTCAGCTTCCACTACGCAGCTCACTCGTGCCTCATACACTCAGTGCTCTAACCTACCGCGATTTACCTCACCTTGCCGCACAACCAGCTCGAGCTTTCAAGCCAGGCGTACCGCCCCTTCGGAGTCAACATGCCTCTCGAGCTCAACGGCTACTCTGCGCATATATGCTGCGATGATAAAGAACTGGAGACCTACGATGTACGCGTGGAGGACGAGAAGACTATCAGCTGTTGGATTCCGAGCGAAGAGGGAAAGGTACGCGCGTCCACCTCCACCCTTCCTCCCAGTCGTTTGTGTGGTGGGTTGGCGCCTAGCACGACCGAACGCTAAGCTACGGCTTTGACTGGATAGGCGTTTACTGTCCATTGGGGCGACGATTCCTCTTCAACAAGCATGTTTGTGAAAGTTATCATGGATGGCCGCAAGGTTGGGAAAACCGCACATCGACCAGTTGCGACGGGGCGCATGGATGGAGCGCGTGAAACCTCAGACACTCTCCGCCCATTCATATTTGCTCCGCTTGTACTCACAGGTTAGTCTATGTGCAACTCTGTGAAGCCACATACGTGTCTTGATTATTACATCTACTGTTGCGCACCAGACGATGATGCTCTGCTGGATTCCGGCGTGAATGAAGACCTCGGTACCATACAAATCGAAATGAAGCTGGTTGAGTACTTTTCGGAGGCGAAAAAATTCTCTGCAATACACGTGCCTGAAATTGGTTCCGTGCATGAAAGAAGCAAGAAGGCGGGGGTTCATGCGGTCGCGTAAGAACCAAGACCTGATCGACTTATAGCACGTATGTCTAATAGCGGCTACATCGTAGTCTCGGGCAGCCTCAGGAGGCCAAATTCGTTAAGTCCTTGAAGGGCCACGGCATCGGCAAAGTCCCCATTGCCACCTTCAAATTCCGTTACCGGCCGTTGGGTGAGTTTCGACAGCTGTGATCCTAGTCATAACCTAACATTCATCGGCAGAACTTTTGCAGGCGAACGGTGTCGCCCCCCTCCCTGAAAAGTCGAGGACGCTCAATAAGCGTCCACTAGGGGACATGGACAAACTTGACAGCGCTGGTCCCAGTAGCCGCAAACGCCAGCATACGGAGCCTGTCGTTAACGTCAAACCGGAAGCTGAGGATGAGGAGGAGGAGGACATGCAATTTCTCGAGGTGCGATAGCTCTGCTCTGCTTGCTGCTTAGTATGTCGGTTGATTTAAATATTGTGCAGGAGCAACTCCAAATGATGCAAAGGCGTGTGGAGAAAGCAAGGGCAGCAACAAAAGCGAAAAACATCGTCAAGCGGGAGGTGTCGCCGATCCGTATCCCGTTCTCGGATAGCAACGACGTCATTGACTTGACCTAGTAGTGTTGTGATTTCCGACGTAAGTCATTTTATCCTGTCGCTATTAGTGTATAACGTGGTCCTGACCTTCACGCAGGTTTTTAACCTACGTCGTCCTAATACCGCATCATAAATTACTCAACTTCTGTATCCAGTGCTCCTCTCCTATAATTTACCATCTGACAGGCTGGTCTGAGATACCGCGCCGCGTCATCCGGCTGCTCCTTCCTCTTCTGCCTTCCATGTGGTCTTCTCGTGCTTGCCGTGGTCTGCCGCGGTCTCCAAGACCTGCAGCTATGTTGCTTTGTGGTATCAACACCCGTATAGGTAGACCCGTGTTGCCTCACTTATACACGTTCAAGCCCCCGCGTACAGGTTCAAGCGCCGCACCTTGAGTACAGGTCCACGCGCCCCAGGGTCCAAGCACCTCTTGGGTTAACAAGGTTGCCACTGGGCCTGCCCTCGGTCGTCCCATTGTCCCCTACACTACTTAAGCTGGCATCACTCGCGTCTGCGCCCCGATACCTGCGACACTACCTAACACACGAAGCAAGGTGACTTAGCATCACAAACTTTTCAAGCACTACACGAAGGTACGTCTCCTTTGTCGTTGATTTAAAGCGCCCTGGTCGTTGCATTGACCGCGTCGGAAGATGTCTTCTCTTGCGCAACTTCCTCCTGACCACCCCCTGAAGCGGGTCCCAGACCCTCTGGCGCGGTGGGACTCTGAAGAACTTACCAAGGCATATCTCGGGAGCAACGTGCCTGCCGTCGCGTCGAGCTATCCGGTGTCCATCCGAACACGCCTCCAATTCCTCCGGGCGCGGCTGGTCGAGCTCAACACGCTCCGGCGTCCACCCCGCCACGAATTTCGACCGCGATCTCGCATTGGCGTTGTACGAGCGCAAATTCCTTCTGTGGCACGAATTTCCCATTCTTGACCTCCCCGATGAAATCCTTGCCCTTATCTTCCATTTTGTCGTCCGGAGTGCCACTGGCGCCGACGAGATCGACAATCGCCGTCTCTACCTGACGTGGGTCTGCGGACGCTTCCGCGCGGTTTCCCTCTCCGACGCGACACTCTGGAGCTCGGTGTGGTTCCGCCAGAGCGTCCCATGGGAGCGCTCGTTTATCTACATCCAACGTGCGGGAACGGCGGCGCTCGACATCCGCATTCAAGAGAGAATCAGGTCGAAGGACAGCACCCACGAAAACCCTCCCAAGAACCCGCCGATTACCGTCATGCAAATCAAGAACCTTCTCGAAGTACTCAAGCCGCGGGTCCGCCAGCTCCGGACCCTCAAGGTCTTTCTCGTGAATATTGAGGTAGTCGAGGCGTTCATGGATGGCTTTTCCAACTTAGCTGGTCCTCTCGCAGCGTTGGAGAATATCACGATTCACCGGAGCGGTCAGCCGTTCCTGTGGCCAAAGGAGAAGTGTGCGGGCGCGGGTGGCCATCTGGCTTTCAGCACGCATCCAATTCCGAAGCTCCGCATTCTCTGGCTGTACGGCGTCACTACCAACTGGAACGCGGTACCGTTTTCCAACTTGAGCATGATCATCCTACGCAGGATCGCTTTCGAGGGGTGCCCCACCTCTGACCGCTGGATGGAGATGCTCCGGGCGTCCCCCCGCCTGCTCAAGCTCGAGCTCGACGGGGCCGGCCCCCAGTTCGACCCGAAGAGCCAGCGCCTCGGGCACACCCGCCCGGTCGACCTCCCGGCTTTGCGCGACCTGACAATCGGCAACATGAGCTGCCATGAAGTGATGCACGTCCTCGGACAAATCAATGCGGAGCACGTCAGGATCCTCGTGCTGGTGTCCCTCACCACGCATGACTACGGACACCTAATTGGGATGTTGGGAGGGCGGTTCCGGGAGGTGCGCCTACTGAAGCTGCACGGCCTGGAGATAGCGAAGACAGACCTGAACACGGAGCGCACGGTGCGCTGGTTCGAGTCGATGCCACGCCTGAAGGTGTTCGCGTTCTGGCGGACGAGTCCGCATGTGCTCAACGCGCTGCTTGCGGATCCGCGCGACTACCGCGCGTCGGGCGAGCAGGACAAGCGGCCAGCGGCCGGCGGGGGGGACAAGCGGCCCGTCCTCTGCCCCGAGCTCGAGACGGTGCGCTTCTACGCGCAGGCACAGAAGGACGTGCACATCTTGGCGAAGGGCCGCAAGGACCTGGGGGTGATGCTGAAGCGGGCGTACACATCCGCTGAGTCGGGTATCACGCAGGAGGAGGCCACACGGCTCCGCGAGAGCGTTGGGCAGCTGCTTGAGGCCTCGCAAAGGATGATAGTGACTCCAGATGAGGAAAGCGTCTACCGCGAGAGAGTCGGTAAGTCATGCGTTGCGACGGAGAAGGCAGCCTGACGCTCGGGGTTGCGCAGTTGTGATTACTAGAGGGCTTCGAAGAGGGAGAGTAGAGCGAGATCGCTAAGATGAAGACTATGCCTCGAGTACTTCTTATGTTGCTCGTATGACTTGTATCGCTAATGCTGTTTCCGAGTGCCCTGCCATGCTACTTTCCCCCCGTACCTTTCATGTTCTACGCCTGCTACTTCACCTATGTGCCCTATAGTATCAAGAGAGTACCACTTCCGTCTGGCGACATTGAAGAGTATAAATGCGATAGCCCGAGATGTATTTGACATATGCATGAATCGCAGGCGCGGAGAAGAGTCCCCCAAGGCTCCCGAGACATACAGTACTGCGGATGATGTGAATCTGGCGTGGACGGGTGTCTTTGACATTTGTCGGCTATATCCCTAACTCTAGGTCATCGTTGGGGAGCCGTTTGTCATTGATGGACGGGTATAACAAGTTCATTCTTAAAGGTGAGTCTCAACTTCACGGCAAATTTCTACATCAAATACGATAACGAGCCGGTACAATTCCACAACCCCAACACCGTTCTATACTGCGAAGGCATTTCGGCGCACCTTTGTTTCCCCAACCCCGCGAGCGGGGATGGGTACTTATCCCGAGGGCCGCGGAAAGGCCTGCACCAGGAGCCGAGCGCCCCTCCCGAGTGCTCGACCCCGTACCTCGGGGATCTTGAGGCACACAGTCTTGAGGCACACATTGTGGTTCCTGGAGAAGCACGCAGCGGCGGCGAGCGCGGTCGGTGAAGTGACCTGTGGCAGAGTCGTGTCAGATTTGGCTCTTGCGGCGAAGGAGAGGGGGACAACGTACACTTCAGTAACGACGGCGCGCTCGGGAGTGTCCACACGCTAGCACAAACACGAAGAGTCAGCTCATCCTCGCCCGACCACGTTGGGGGCTCGAACTCACCTGCAAGTCCACATGGTTCTACAAGCGAGCGCAGTTGGCTTCCCCGCCGCTCATTCGCAGCGGGTACTAGTCCCGGAGGCCACGAAGAGGCCTGCGCTATCCCCGGGGGCCTTCAGCCAGGGCCGACGCCCGGTGTACCCCTTCTTGCCGGGTGCACACACGCGACGCCACCCCGACGACTTGCTCAGGATGCCTTCGCCGGCGACTTGAGACGCACGGTGCTCCATTCGGCGGAATAATAACATCCGCAGGGTACCGTGCGACGCCCATTTTCCGGCCCGTTGATGTTGATGCACGCGTGTCGGAACTGGTGGTGCCCGAGGAGGATGTTGTCACGCAGCTGTGGATGTTGTAGAAGGAGGGATGGTGGTGAAGCGCGCATATGGTGACGGGCGGATGTTAGCGTGGTGGGCGGTGGCGAGTGCGCACCTGGGCGTTGGGTAAAGTTAGACATGGTAGTTCATACTGATACTTTTGGTGGCTGCATATATTCGAGAGCGGATGGTGTGGCGGCGTCTTCCACGGTGCTGTGACAGTGCCGATGGAAGACATTGCGAGGGAACGCACGGGCTAATCATCACGATGTTAGCGCTACGTCTATAACTAGCCGCAGAGACCAATGGACACAGACGTACCGGTGTACCCATACGCCCGAGCAGGATGGCGGCCTCCATGACCCCCCGAGGGGGCCCGCGCCAGGGCCCGGGTTCCAGCCGTCAGCCAGCCGGTACCCAGACCCATGTAGAGGATTCGAGCCGTTCGTGTACGTCGCTGAGCCGCAGGTTAGCTCGATTGTTGACTAGGACGAACGCGGGCTCGACTGACAAGTTGCGCCACAATCATCGCCGCCCACCGCCGAAGGGCGGGCCGACATCGACGGCGGTCACGTAGAACGGCACCTGTCAGTAATGCTGGGTGAGCAACGCGTGGGAGGTCATATAGACAAAGCGACTCACGTCCGACGTCCCCTGTAGGCGATAGCAGAGCACCACAGACGAACGTTAGTCCCCTTTTCCGAGCCTGGAGAACGAGGGAGAGCACGCACTGGTCGATCCCACACGAGGGCAGCGCGCGCCCCTGTAGCAGCGCACGCATCTAAAGGCCTCGGGGGATTTGGACCGGAGAGGGAGAGCGGAGAGCTGGGGAACGAGAGGGCGACCACCGGGAGGGTTTTTATACCCTGGCACACCCCCAGTTTCGGCTCTCGCCGGGGGGCGCGAACGGCGCCCACCCGCGTGGCCTCGAACGAAAAGGCCTCTCGTTTGAGTAGGTGCAGGGGGGCGTGGTGTTGTGTTGTCAGGCTGGGTTAGAAATGGGCGCATCGATGGTGGGGCGCTGCCTGGCGTTGCGATACCACAAGGGGCGTAGAGGCTCGGAGAGGGTGGACGAGAACGGAGCATGCGCGGATCCTGCCGCGATGGGGTGCTCGATAAGCAGGAATCCGAATATCGCGCTCCTAGGGCGCGAATAGCGGGGGAGTTTCGAAAGGCGTGAGGCGGTGGGTGTTTCCAAAGCAAGCGCGGCGCGTGTTCTTGGGCGGTGGCAGGGTCGAGATCCGGAGTCGTCTTACCCAGCGTTCGTCTGGCTCGCCCGCCGGTAGTCGCATGTCTGCTTCGAGCGGTCGCGTTGCCTGGCTGTTTGTGGCGACACGTCAGCGAGGTACGCTTGAGCATAAAAAAAGGGAGGTCGGGACGCACTGGAGGGGACGGGGCGGTGGTGGCGTTCGAGAAGGAGGGCTGAAGGGCGCCAGGTGCGTGCGCCAAATCAACTTCGCGTTGTGTGTTCGTGCCACTGGCGATGTACCCACCCCCTGTTGCCGTGTCCGGGTTTCCGCTCCTCTTTAATCTGATCAGACAGCAGCGGCTGCGGGGACGATGTAAACGATCCCCTTTACGATACTGATAGCTTTTAAAGCACCAGTTGGGATCGTTTACATCGTCCCCGCAGCCGCTGCTGTCTGATCAGAGAACGTTGTCAGCGGCAAGCTCTACGGGTGTTTGTCAGTGCCAGAAGCGGAAAGCATATTGAGTTGGCTCACTTTTCCAGGTCGCCGCATCAGGCCTGCACCTGCGATGAGTTGGTGGGGTCACTTTGGGCCGCAATTCCAGCGCGTATACCAAGGTGCTGCTATCGACATTGGAATGCGTGACTACCCGCAACCAAGTCGACTTCGCGCACGTGAAGTAAGTGGAGTTCGCGCGTACCAAAGCGAATATGACGGCCTCACATAATGAAGCTTGCAAAAACCCCTTTGCCACATCGACAAACGGACAAACGGGCGACGGCACGAGTGTCACCCTGGCCCTAGGCGTGAGGGTGCTTGCACTTCAAAGGGCCATTCAGCACGAGAACAGCATATAAGAAATCAGAACACGTACCTCTCACTCCTCGCATCCCAAATGCCCATCACTCAACCCCCGTGGCCCGGCTTACGCCCAACACCCGAGGCCGCGCGTCGGGATCGTGCTTCGGGTGGCGGCCGATTCGTCCAGCGCGAGGCGCTATGAGCGCTCCGCCGCCCACTCCTGCGCGTGAGAGTGTGGGACCCGCGCGGGGACGGGGATGCTATGGCTCCCCTGGGCGGACGATCGAACACAGCTGCTGCATATGCATGGTAGTGTGCAGCGCGAGGCTTTGCGCGTCAATGCCAGGCGCTCGACACTAGGGGGCGGAGTTGACACGGTCCACGTGGTCCACGTGATCCACGCGAGCGCGGACGACGCGGTAGTGGCGCACGCGTTGGCTCGCGGCCGCACCGAGTGCACCGCGGCGCGAGCACAATTGGGCTGTCGGGGTTTATTTCTGCGCGGCAGCAATGTGCCCGTGTTAGGACATAACGGGCTACTTCAAGAGAGTAACCCTACCGCGGTCAACGTTCGCACTTCCAAAGGCGATGCAGACCGAAGGCTTTCGGGACACACGACATAGCACGGATCAGCCTGGCGGGCTGGCGAGACGCGTGCCTCAGAGGAGAGTCTGCGCCTCATAATGGGCGCACGACGGAGAGGGCTCCACTCGGCGGCACATTATTCCGATCCGAAAGGAGGATACAGATGGATTGTGCTTGAGACAAAACCCTGCAAATGGTGGTTGGAAAAAACGATGTGCACGACGATAACTGCTTGGAAGTGTGTTCTGAGATAGAGAACGCGCGCACTAGGGACGACGGTACGAGAGATTGGACAGAAAGCGGCGAAAACGAGGACTGGGAACAGCGGGGCTAAAGGCGAAGAGACGAGAGATGGATTTACAATACACGAGATATACAGCAAAACATATACAGCAAAACAAAGCAATCGACGCTTCGATGGATGGATACACGAGATGGGAAAGCAACACAAAGCGAAACAGAGCACGAGAACGATGGCGCGCGAGTACAAGAGACAGATGACTGGGATAAGGATAGCGATAATGTAAAGCGATGAGTCCGGTGGTACAGAGGGTCCATGGACGATATCAAATGCGACGAGAACCGAGAAAGAAGGAAGAAAGGCGATGATGGTAGACGATGAGAGGCGGCGAAGCTGAGAAGCGGAGAGTGGAGGAGACGAAGACCGCGCCAGAGACGGGAGCTCCACGACGAGTCCCGCGACGATGACAACCGCGGCTCCGTCGACGGACAGCGTCAACGAAAGAGTCGGCGGGCCGTAGGCCGTGTCGTGCAGTGTCAGCGTCGATGTCCTAGAGGGTGCGGGCGTCGATGAGGATGGGCGGCAGACTGGAAATTCAGAGCGACGCCTCCATGGACTCGATCTCGTCGAGCGTCGTCAAGAACCCGTTGAGCTCGTCGATTTCAGCCTGAAGCTCTGCGCAGCTGGCGCTTTTCCTGTACGTGCCAAACGTCTCTGCAAGCACCTTGTCAATCATGTCGGAGTCCTCGGAGGTCAGAGCAGGGCTGGCGGCATCGACGGCAGGCTGGTCCATGGCGTGGTGGACCTCGATCGCATCGATTGCGGGTGCGAGTGTGTCGTCCGCGTTCGCAGTCGGAGAGTCGTACGCGGACGCGGGGCTCTGACTGAGGAGGGCCGCGTCAACGAACACTGGAGGAGGGTGCGCCAGCCAGGCCACGCCGGTCGCTTGGGCGTTGTTCAACGCGAACATGGCATCCTCGAGGTCTATCGGGCCCGCCAACCCGGCGATGGGCAGGTGGCGAGGGAACGTCTCCTATAGATCGCCAGTTAGTACGTGCATTGTCAGTAACAGAAACGAAAACTCACGTCGAAGAAGTCCCTCGGCGGCAGCCCGTACCACTCGCGCGAGAGGCCTAGCGGGTCGGACGCGCTGAACGACGCCGGAGAAGCTATCGCAGAGTTGGGGAGAAGGTCCCCGCTCGGGGCCTGAGCCGACCACCCCTGGACGATCTGAGGCGCGCAGTAAGAGGCGTCGGGCGCGGGAGGAATGCCCGGCGCGGTGTACTGCACGAAGTCCGAGTCAGGCGCAGCAACCGGAACGAAGGCGGGCGCCGTTGCCTGGAGGGAGAACGGCAGGCTCTGCAGAGTCTCGTCCTCGTACTCGAGCGAGGGCGTCGCCGACGAGAGGCGCGACTCGATGTCCGAGTCGAAGAGGGAGAACATCCCGGTGCCGGGGATCTCATCCGCACCCCGAGACTTAGATGCCGCCGCAGACGTAGAGGACGCGGACTTCCTGGACTTGCGAGGGCGCGCGGCAGCCTGCGAGGGGTCCGCGACAGGCGCGTCGTTCTCCGAAGGAGTTTTACGAGCGCGCAGGGCACGCGCCGACGTCGCGCGCGCAGCTGCCTTCGCTGCCTTCTTCTCGTCTGCGAATGCCTTGTTCTCGGCTGCACGCGCCTTCTTCTCGTCGGCCGCCTTCTCCTTGGCCGCCTGCAGCGCCTCCTTCTGCGCCTTCGTTGTGGGGCGGTACTTATACCACGGATACATCCTCATGTGTTCTATGAGTGCATCGTCGGCCTTCCCGTCGTATTCCTTGCGGACCTCGGCCGGCGCGTCGCGCCACATCGGACTGATGACCTTGGACAATAACTTCTGGTTCATCGAGCCGTAGAGCGCGAAGTTCTCTGCCTTCAGCCGGATGACCGTTGCCCGCCTGTAGAGAATCCATGCGTTGGGGGGGCGCGGGACGTACGGGTGGTCCGTCTCGTCCGTGGCGACGTTAGGCGTTGCGGCCTTACGGCCGCTCTGCTTCGGAGTGCGCGTCGGGGGCATCGTGTGTCGATAGTCAGTGGTGGGGAGGATAGGAGAGGAGAGGGAGTGTTGGAGCGCGAAGGACGCGAACGCGGGCGGCGGTAGGGTGTGAGGAGGGCGCTTCTGAGTGCTGAGGGCGGAAGGGGAGTTTTGGTGAAGGACCCGTATCGCGGGGGAATATATAGGTGCTCGCCCTGGGCCGGGTAAAGGTGAGGAGGGCGCCTACTGAGCAGGAAAGCGGGAGGAGGGCGTCGGAGTTGCGAGCGTGAGAGCGGGCAAAGTGGGGCGGGCGGGGCCCGGACGGGAACGACGCGAGCGACGGACGGCGGGCGAGCGTAGATGCCTTGCACATGGCCCTCTGCGAATCCGAAAACTCGAAGCGAGGAGAAATGGAGAGGGAACGAGGCCCGGGCAGGAACAAATTGCCAAGCGCGGACGAGTGTAGCGAATTGGTGCCGTGCCGCCCTGTCCGAACCTGGAACTCGGGAGGCGTGCTCGAGGCCAATTGCGTCGCGGTGGTTGAACGAATGTGGAAGGTAGTGTCCCACATGGAATCTGCCGTCGGCTACCCATTGTTCGTTCGATTCGTACGTGGGATCGCCCTGCAAATCTCGGTAAGCTTTTCGATATTCGAGACGACAGGGCCGCTCTCCGGGGCGCGGCCCCAGGAAGCAGCGCTGCTCATCGTCCGCCTTGCGGAACAGTTCTCCCTCGAGCTGACTTCTGAAACACTCTGCACATAGGGCGCACGATGAGCGGGGCAGCAGCAGGATTCTGGGCAGCCCGCCGTAATCCTAGCCACAGGCGCTGGCTTGCCCGTAGGTGTGGCTAAGATTACTGCGACCCTGGCTCCCTATTGTCTCCACCGCACCGGGAGAGATTTCCCAGAAACAAAGTGGGTAGATACAGAGCTGCGCCCGCAGTAGGAACACTCCGCTGCAGCACAAGATTGAGCCCGATGGGCAGGGCTCGGATAGCCGTTGGTACCCAAGGGCATGTGTCGTGTGCCATGGAGCCGAGAATCCTGGCAGCAACGACAGGGTGAGACTCACCGACGGGACATTGCCTGTATATCGGGGTGATTGGGGCGCCCCTCGTCCGCTACGAACAGGCTCAGAGCATCCTGCGCGCGAGTCGGGGGTGGTGTCCGCAGCCCGTGTTTACGGGAGCATCTGGTGTGATGTTTCGGAGGGGCTCGAGACGGGGCAGAGAGGTCTACCCCGCTGTATAATCACCTCGTGTCGAGCTGATTGGGGTGCGGGTAAGCGACGATTTCTGGACGGAAACTGTTGCTGCTGCATGGCCCGACGGTGGAGCGTCCACATGTGGTCTCTTCCCCATTCGGGCTCGATCGCTGGCCGCGTAGTACGCGTGCCATCATTCCACTTGCCCTAAACTTGAATCCATATTAGGGAGGGTGAACCAGTGCCAGTCTGCTGCAGCTACCTCGGGGCCCGGGTGTTCTGGGTCAGCCAGCGTGTAGGCTTTCTCGAGGATGAGTCGGACCGCGAGTCCTCCGAGACGAGCAGATGTCCAGCTCTCCTCCCTGGCTCCCGGTCGGCCTTGCTGGGGACTCAAAGGCGATATAGAAGGTGGGAGCAGGGTACACCCCCCGCGCGGGCGGGCGCACACCGAACCCGACAACGCAGAAGACGGGGCGAGATCCGATGGGAGCCGAGCGTCGAGGGAGAAGAGTTTAATTTGCAATCTATGGCGGCGACTTGAATGGAACCCAGTTGCCTAATATGTAAGCTACAGCTGTGCTGTATAAATGCACGCTAGTCGCGCGGATCAAAGTTGATCAGAGATTACTTAGCCGTCGGCGCCTGCGTTCCATCTCCCGCTGCTCAGCGCTCAGCACTTCCCATCACTCTCAGGCCTCCTGCGCTAATTCCAGCTCAACGCTCGCCCTTGGCGAAGACCACCCTGGATTTACTTCTACTTTGGAGCTCTCGCGTAGCGTATACTGACACTGATCCTGCAGAGCTGAAGCGCCAGTGATGCTGCGCTCCGAGTCGGGACGGCGCTATCGCTTCGCCTCCACCCCTAGTCTATCTTTTACCTCTTCGGGCCTAGTATTTAGGGCAAGCCTGGCAGACCCGGGCCAGGACTTGGGTCGTGCCTGGGTCCTCATCATATTCCATTGTTTGTCAAACATAGCACAGCCGAGCCCGAAGACGGACGCCCTCGTATTCCTCCGCCGCCGGTGAGTCAGCGATTTGCTGCATCAGGCTGGCATGTGTCTACGGAGCACGGAGAGGTTGTGCACGGCACGAAGCATGGGGAGACCTCGTCCTCCGAGCTGGGGCCATCCCGAGTGCGCCTCCATGTCGTAGTCACTCGCACGGCAGCGCCCTGCGCGTCGTTATCACTACCGCTGTACGGGTGCGCGTCGGGAGCCGTAATAATGGGCGCGAGTCGCTCCGAGTCCTTGGGCGAAGACGCTTCCACGCGCACTCGTTTGAAATGCCCGTTCGGGCCCATTAATCTCGGTACACGCAGCACCAGCGCTTTGTATGTGGCTCTGCACGAGGTCATGACGCTTCGCGAGCTCGTCGGACACGGACAAACATTTGAGGCAGTTTCTCTGCGAGGTAGATGGGAAGGCTTCGGTGGTCCCGAGCGCGTGTTCCGAGTGAAGTTTAGAGCGAGTGAGACACGGTCGTCGTTACTCATTTGTTGGCGCATACGCTACGTCCCACGACGGTCGTCAATGTTGTTCCAGTCTGGGTCAATCTGTTCTCAATGCCGTCTCCTTTATGCCCAGCGGCTGTTTCCCGCCCCTTGCCCTCTTCCCAACGTCAAGGATGGTTGCCATTCTCGCTCAACGGTCACCTCCCATGTACGGGTATAAAAAATGAGTGTCTGATGAATCTGCCTTACTTGTGGACAAAATGCTGCTGCCTTCCCGAGTCAGCCAGGATATCCATGCACTGAGCGCATTCGGCCGTGGTCATGGTCCATTGTGTGTCGTATTGGGTTCTACATTTTCCTTGAGCTCTTTGAGCAGCGATACCGACATTCGAATGCCCAGGTATAGCTGCACAAAACCAGTGCTTAGCGTCGCTACTCAACGCCACACACATTCATAATGGGCATTCTCTTGGACCTTGCTTTGGATAGCGGAACAAATGGATGCAGATGTCGCACTCGCTAGTCTCCGCCGCAATTATCTTTGATCATAGGCATATATAAGGAGATCGTCTCCCTTCAGCAACGTCTATCGGCCTCCACACGACATGAGAACCACATCCAACTCCCGTGTACGCGCTTTTTCTAACTAGCCATTAATATTCTAAACTGACAATCGGTTTTCAGAACGGACCGCATGGCATGCCCTCTGCAAGTCTCGTCAAGGCTCAGGGCTTCCGCACTGACATCATGTAAGCAACAACTACTTGATTGCACCTCTATGTCGGCTCAACGGAAGGACAGGAATTCGCTCAAGTCTACCCCGCCAAATTCTCGCGTTAAAGAGAAATGCAACTATGAAGGCTGTGATTACGAACACACTTACGAGAGGGACGTTTTTGCCCATTTCCTCAGCGTGCAGTAAGTGATAACGGGCGTACTGCTAAGGCTTGCATATGCATTGACCGCGAGCATTTTCTAGCGTCTCCGAGCCTGTGTTCGTCTGCGTGCATATGATACAGGACAAGCACGGGCGGAAAATCCAGTGCGGTAAGGCGTACCGCCGGGAGAAGAGTCTATTACAGCATCTGAACGAGAACCACCATACGACCCACGATGACGACGAACTTCAGGAAAAGACGACAGCGGAAACGCTCAGGCGTATCCGTTTGCAATACCCCAACATTGTACGCCACAAGTCCGAAAAGCCGCTGTACGACCTTATTCGTGGAGTGGTCAGCATACCGCCTGCCACCACTCATACCCAGCACTTCGAACGCCTTGCAGAACCCCAGCAGACCAACGTCCGCCACGAGACGCAACAGCCTACCATCGCGCATTATCCGACTACTACCGTCGCGGTCCCGGCACATATGCATCCTGGCCACCCATTCGCTCCCTCGGCATCATCGGCTCGGGTGGCAGCGCCGGCCCCAGCGCCCAGCTTTCACGCGGTTGCAAACCTCCAATATTATTGGGAAGAGAGGCCCACGCTTGTACCCCTGGACAAGCTAGAGGAGGCTTATTATCGACTGTATGGAGAGTACAGGGGGGCTCCGAGTCGGAGATAGAGAAAGACACAAGTGGGTGATAGCGGTGCGAGGGAGGAGACAGATAGCGGGAACAATGATACCTAGAAGCCATGGGGACAGAGGCGGGAGATGACTATACGAAGCACGAAATATACAGAAAAGAATGTACAGTATGGTACATGGAAGCAATCGACACTTGGATGAATGGAGACACGAGATAAGAAAACAACATAAAACAAAATGAATCGCGATGTGAGAGGAGAGTACCACACTCAGGCGCAGTGGTAGTGCCATAGGGTAAGAGCAGAAGTGTGCGAGTACAGGGGGAAGATAACGGAGAAGAATCATAACGATAGCGATAATGTCAAGTGGCGAGTTCAGCGGTGCAGAGTGTCCGTTAATCGTGTCGGATAGCGATGCGAACTGAGCGTGGACAACAATCGGACAGCGTGGAAAGTGGAAAGTGGACGATGATGGGAAACAGAGAAGAATTGAGGCGGAGAGGGGAGGGGAAAAGGACCGAGCCAGCGACGGGAGATACACGACGCTCCCAGAGGAAGACCTAGTCGCGCTTGCCGATGTCGTCGTCCGAAAGCGCGCAGCCAGGCCAGACCCACATACCAATACTAGGACGATGACGACCACGGCGTGACAGTCGACGGACAGCATCGAGGAAAGAGACGTGCCGTAGGCCGCATTGTGCTGCGTGGGTATCGGTATGTTGGAGGGTACGGGCGTCGACGAAGATGGGCTCGTAGTCGATGTTCAGAGCGACGGCCCCACGGAGACTCCAATCATTGCCAAGAGCCTGTCAACCTTGTCGAAGTCGCCGGCGGTATCTTGGAAACGCTGCGAGCCCACGTCGTCGCCCCAGACGTACTGTTGAGGTTCTGCGGATACGGACTCGGAGTCCGGGGACGTCGCATGGGCGGAAGGCTCCGTGTAGGTGAGCACCTCCGCAAGCAAGCCATCGAAGGCCGGAGGGAGGTTGTCTGCGGCGGCGTTGACTGTCGACGCGTCGATGGGGTAGTGGGCCTCAGATGCGTCTATCGCGGAAGCAAGCGCGTCGTTCTCGCTCGCGGAAGACCCTTCGTACATGAACAAGGGGCTAAGAGTGATGGAGTTCGGTGTATCGACGTTCATGACCGGAGGGGGCACCATCCAAGCCACGCCGCTCGATTGTGCGTTGTTCAACGCGAACACCGCGTCTTCTAGGTCGATGGGGCCCGTCAACCCAGCGATGGGCAAGTGGTCAGGGAATGACGCCTGTAGAGTCACTCGTTAGTACGCGCATTGCTGTCAAAAGAGAGGAAGACTTACGTCGAGCTCCCTCGGCGGCAGCCCGTACCACTCGCGCGAGAGGCCGAGTGGGTCAAAATCGCTGGATAGTCCTGGAGAGGCCATCGTAAAGCCGGGGAGGAGGTCCCCGCCCGGGGCCTGAGATGACCACCCCTGGACGGCCTGAGGGACGCTGCAGGAGGCTTCGACGGCGGGGGGAAAGCCAGACGCAGTGTATTGCACGAAGCCCGAGCCGGGTGCAACATCCGGAACAAAGGCGGTCGCCGTAGGCTGGAGGGGGAATGGCAGGCACTGCATAACCTCGCCGTCGTACTCAAGCTCCGGCGTGGCCGACGAGAGCCGCGAGTCAGCGTCGGAGTCGACGAGCGAGAAGACGCCCATGCCGGGGAACACAGTAGTGTCCTGAGTCTGGCGCGTCCTGGGTGCGCTAGGTACCGCCTCAGACGTGGAGGCCGCGGACGTCCGCAACTTGCGGCGAGACACCGCTGATTGCGAAGGATCCGGCGGAGGCGGGTCATTCTCCGAAGGAGCGTTGCGTGTGCGCGGTGCGCGTGCCGACGTTGCACGGGACGCAGCCTTCGCCGTCTTCTCCTCGGCCGCGCGCGCCCTCTTCTCCTTAGCTGCAATCGTCTTGGCCTTTTGCAGCGCCTCCTTCTGCGCCTTCGTCCTAGGGCGGTAGACGTACCCCGGGTACATCTGCATGTGTTCCGCGAGTTTGACGATGGCGAGTTCCTTGTACTCGCGGCGGACCTCGGCCGGCGCGTCGTGCCACATCGGACCGATGATCTTGGACAACAGTTTTTGGTTCATTGAGCTGTAGACCGTGGAGTCCTCTTTCTTGAGCCGGGCGACCGTGTCCTTCCGGTAAAGAATCCATGCGTTGGGGGGGCGCGGGATCTTCTTCTCCTTGGCGGCACGAGGCGACGAGGTGTCACGGCTGGTCTGCTTCTGGGTGCGCGTCGCGGGCATTGTGTGTAGAGAGGTAGAGTTTGTAGGGGATAAGTGAAGGGTGGTCTCTTGGAGAGCGAAGGACGCGAACGCGGGCGGTGGTAGGGAGTGGGAGGGCGATGCTGAGTGCTGAGTGCTGAGGGCAGAAATGGATTTGGACTAGGACCCGTTTCGCGGGGGGGTATATAAGGGGCGGTGAGGAGAGCGCCTAGGTAGAAGGAACACGGGAGGAGGGTGTCGGAGTTGCGAGCGTGAGAGCGGGGGAATTGGGGCGAGCGAGGCCCGGACGGGAACGACGCGAGCAACGGACGGCGGGCGAGCGTAGCTGCCTTGCACATGGCCCTCTGCGAATCCGAAAACTCGAAGCGAGGGGAAATGGAGAGAGGGCGAGGCCCGGGCAGGAACGAAGTGCCAAGCGGCGGACGAGCGTTCCGGACGGGTGTCGTGCCGCCTATCCGAACTCCAAAGTCGGTAGGTGTGCCGCGGAAGGCCAATTGCGCGGCTGTGGTTGAACACATCCGGAAGGTGGGATATGCCACCTGGAATCTGCCGTTGGCTACTCATTGTTCGTTCGATTCGTACGTGAGATCGCCTGCAAATCTCGGTAAGCTTTTCGATATTCTGTGCGACATGGTCGCTCTCGGAAAGCGGCCCCAGGCAGGAGCCCTGCTCATCAGTCCGCCGCACGGGATGGTTCTCTCGCGAGCGTACATCGCCAGCACTCTGCACATGGGGCGCACGATGAGTGGGGCGGCAGCCAGATTCTGAGCAGCCTGCCGTAATCCTAGCCACAAGCGCTAGCATATAGGTGTGGCTAAGATCACTGCGACCCTGGTCCCCTATTGTCTCCACCGCACCGGGAGAGGTTGCCCAGAAGCAGAGTGAATGGATGCAGCGAAAGAGGGAGGCGCGCCCGCAGTAGCAACATCTCCGCTGCAGCACAAGATCGAGCCCCGATGGGCAGGGCGGTGGCAGTCGGTATTCCGGGACCCCAGACATGCATCGTGTGCCTTGGGGCCGATACTCATGACAGCAACGGCGGACTGAGACTCACCGATGGGACATGCATATTGGGGCGATTGGGGCACCTTTTTACCGCTACGAATACGCGTAGAGCATCCTGCGCGTGACGAGTCTTCGAGTCGGGGTGGTGTTCCGCAGCCTGTGTTTACGGGAGCATCTGGTGTGCAGCTCCAGAGATGAGCGAGGGAGATGGCGCCCCAAGCATGCCTCGTGTGTCGTAGGGCGGGCACGGTAGCAGCCGCGGCGAGCTGGTAATATTCTCTGATGGAGCGTCGCTTTCTTGCAGCCTGAATTTGAGGTCCTTCCGTCCGCTACGGCACTGCGAATGCGTGTAATGGATCCTCCGCGCGACGGACCCTCCGACTCGAAGATGCTCCGCAGTGTGTGATTGGCTGATTCCATGGAGGGGTTAGATAGAGAGCGAGGGTTTCGGAAGGCGGGAAGAGTTACCCCACTCTATGATCACGTCGTGTGAAGCTGCAGTTGCCTGCGGTGTGTCTACGCACGGACGTCCGCGCCAAGCCTAGCTGCCGCAGCACCCCTTGCCGCTTGATCGCTAGCTGCGTAGCACGTACGCCGCCATCCCACCTATAGGTAAATTTAGCCAGCGAATGGTGCAGATCTGCTGTACTGACCTCTGGTCACGGGCGTTCTGCTGCTCTGAATTCAAGTCGGCTTGTATACTGCTATAGCTTCAAGTTGACTTTTCGGCATATGTATCAATCTTTGCAGGCAGTTACCTTAGCTCACCATCTTGCTAAATGGCTATGGACGACGATCGGAGTGTAAGAGGGACGTGCACACCGTCTGGGGCCCGTGCGCGCAAAATAGATATGCGCCGAGGTTGCAGGGACAGGCGCAGACTCGAGATCACGGTGACGGTCAAGACGATCGACGGAGAACCGGCCGGATTGCGGATAATCTGCGTGGTATGGAGCCCAGGCTGACTGATTTGGACAGAACCGGACAAAAGAGCGCTTTAGCCCGGATCTGCCGATGATTTAGCCGCTGGCGGCCTCGCTTACCCTCTCGATTTCGGCTCGCCTCTCGCACGTAGCAACAGACCGCCCTCAATAATTTCCTTCTTGGAGTCTCTCGCAATATGGACACCCACATGACCCAACATGGTAATACAGCACCAAGTACGCAGCAACGGTGGAAGAATTGACATGCCAGTGCCACGCCAGGATGGGTGCTTGTATCGCTTCACCATTGTTCGACAAGTTTGGTACGTACGTAGCTCCGGACCATACCACCTCGCCCTCTAACGCCCTGGTTCACCAGCACATCGTCCAACTCGAATGTTAATCGTACTCCTTCAGCGAGTCAGCAACCTGGCCCGCGTGTATTTGTCCCCAAAGCGCAGAAAGGACGTTCGTGGCGGCCCTTATGGCCTTGGGCCTCATGTTCGCCGGTCACGGATCAGTGCTGGTGCGTACTATCATGCGCATTCAAATATTCATCTCTCGATCGCACTATGGCAGCCCGTGCGTCGTTGTCGATGGGTACGGTTGCTACGCCAGGTACGAGTTCGAGCCGTTTTGACGCGCGCTATGCGCGAACGATACGCCTGGTGCGCCGCGCGTGTTGGGGGGCATAGGGACAGTGCGCCAACGGTTTTAGGACAGCGAGTTGAAGGGAAAGATGAGATCTTACCGTAGCTCCGCGGCGCACGTGTGGATGAGCTCGGCCTTCGTGTAGCGATGGTCCTTGCGCTCGCGGCGCGTGGATATGACGCGGTTGCGCGCGCACGCGCTCGTGCAACAACGTGGCGCTCGTCCAGGTCCAAGGCCATTGCAGTGGGTGAGCAGGTTCTACCCGGTGATGTACGTCTCTAAGTCAAAGAGGGACAGGATCAGAGAAAGCAAGAAGTCAGCTGCGGCTACCCAGTCCTCGGTGCTGGACTGAGTGGCATGTCCAAGCGTTTACTGGGCAGCTGAGCCACACAAGCTGCCGCACCGGCCCAAGCACCAACTTTACGGTGCATGCCTTGATGCTCTAACTGACACACTTTTGACAGGGTCCACGCGTACACACGATGCGAGGCTGGCCATGACCCCGGTAGCGAGCCCGCATTGACCTCTCAACTCACTCACATATATAGGGCTGTTCGCGATGGTCAATATGTAGCAGCACCCTTGCAGTGCCTCTGAGATCATCCGGCTGCGGTGGAGATTAAGATGAGAGTGAATACCAGTACCCAGCACCAGGTACGTTGTCTTCAACTTCTGCATGGAAGGATATATAGTTATATTGGCTGACCATCTGCCCGCAGTGCGGCATCTGCGACTTCTCATCCACTCGCACTTACGATCTTGAAAGACATAAGAAGAGGCACGCCGTCGATAAATCCAAGTTGTGAGTCCCTAACGCTTTCTGGTCACATTCAACTCTGACCCTGAATGCAGATTGTACAGGTGTGGCTTCGTAGGCTGCAAGAACGTATCTCTCCAAAAGGAGAACATTGAGGCGCATTACATCGCCGTTCAGTGAGTGCCATATCACTTAACTTCGCGCACGGGCTGATTCTTGGCCTCGTATAGCACAACCGAATTCCCGTGGGTCTGCATGCACCGGGCACCAGGAGGTTCTGGGGAGGAAGGCCCCCAGTGCAATGCCTCCTACAACAACTCCACAAGCCTGCGGCGCCATCTCAGAGAAACTGGGCATGGAACTCCTCTCCACGGCCGATTTACCCGCCTCGCAAACGAAAATGTCATAGCGCGTATGCGTATACGCTACCCGAATATGGTGCTGGGGCCCAACGACCGCGTCCCCGGATCACTCAGTCCGCGCGCCTCCACTAGCAGCCCGACTCTACGAGGATCGCGGCGCTCCAAGTATCAGTGTGACACTGACACGAACGCTACCGCTGCCGTTGCCGCTGCTTCCTCCTCCGCCGTCGCCGTGTCCCCATCGAACATTCACCCCTCGTCTCGGTCAATCGCTATGGGGAATGCTCCGCCACCATCTCGCCTTCGCGGAATCATGGATTCAAATGCCGGAGCTCGCGATGGAGGCCGTACGCGGGAAGGGCGCCCCATGCTAGTGCCTCTTGCCGAGCTGGAGAGAGCTCGCTCACAACTACGCGGAGACCCCCCGGTGTATGGCGCGCAACCGGCCCGAGACATCCTTCCGTCGCCACAGCTGCATCTCCGGCCCTTGCTGACGGGCTCCTTCGCGTTGCAGACCGCTCGGTCCAGGGTGGACCTGTTGAACTTCTGTGTCTACGGCTGTGCCGGACCGGGAGTGGCAGTGATAGTGGCTGTGCGTCTACCATACGCCAGCATGGACTTTCCTACTTACCATATACGTACATTCTTTTGTTCTGTACTTACTTGGCATCCTGCCATCCCTCCACATGATTCTGGTACGTTCTACGATGTTCCGGACTATTCTAGACAGCGTCCGGATTACTCGCATTACTCAGCCATGGACTATCTGACCTTATGTCGATTATGCTCCCTTACTCAGCGTTACTCATCGCTCAGTCAGCGTCCTCTGGACGTCACATGCTCTCTTCTTATACGCTTACTCATCGTCCTCCCCAGTAGTATATAAGGAGGACTCTGCAGGCCTCTGCTCTTCAGTCGTTCTCTCACAGACTGAAGAGTAAGTCCCACACTACCTATGCTTCCTTACATGTTTACTTACTAGTACTTGTAGCCTCTCTTTGTGCGGCTTACAGGTACAGTACTATGCAATCATAGTCGTTCTCTCACAGACTGAAGACCTCTCTTTGTGCGGCTTACAGCCTTCCAGGTTCAGAGTTCATCAGTTATGAGCCCTGCGCTCTAACCGGGTTGCTATCTCTTGTCGACACCTTTGCGCGCGCCCCTCCTTCGTCGACCGCTGGTTTGTGCACTCCCTCCTCCATC